AAGTAATGCTACTGATATAGGGGAATTGGGGCTCTCATAAGATATACGCACCTTGACCTGGCTGGACATTGAATAACTGTTATGTATGAGCAGGATGAGTGACTCGGCGATACCTGTCGTCCACAATGCTCACGATGAGGGACGGAGAGCAGCACTGTCAATGTACCAAAAGTACCCGACCGGAAAATACGGGCCTTGCCGGACTCCTTTCCCTTAACTACCAGCGTTGGCGACATTCTCGAGAAACAAGAAAGAGATGGGAAGAAAGTCGTGGTACGCAGCGTCGATGAACTTCAAAAAAGGTTTAGTGAAGGAGTCGTCTTAAGCTTTGCAGTGAGAGTCTGAGACACGAGCAAGAGATGGGTATGACGTCGGGAACCGCGCCACTACTGTTTGCCGAGCTCTGGAACGGGCAGCGTGGGAGATGCAAATTACCCCGTTTTGGAAGGCGAGTAGCGATTTCGTCCACGTCCACAACCTGCTCCTAAACGGACCAGGTACATACCAAAGAAGTATTTTCTTGCATCTAGTATCCTATTATGTACCAATATTTGTATCTCTAAAATCATTGTTAATGATAGGATTTCGTTATATCAATTTTCAGAATTTTATTAAACTCGGAGTAGGCATATTCACAGGTGGGCTTGATTGCGGGCCACATCGGCGAAGACGGCATCGGCTAGATGAGCGGCGTTGGAGCCCGACATATCTCATCTTTGTTGTCTTATCAGCGCCCATTTCTCCGAAACCCTACCCTACCCTATCCTATCCTACCGTAGCTGGCGTACCGATCGGGGCCTAAAGAGATCGAATGACCTTCAAGTTCCATTCATAGTGTACTGTAGGTATGGATCATACCACAGTTCGTCCATTCATGCGAGACGCAAAGAATGATCTTGCATAGCACAAGGTCTCACTTCCTAAACCAGCCCCCACGACCATTCCCATCACCGCCTCCCCGGCTACTGCTAGCCTGCCCGGAAGACCCAGGGAACCGTTGGATGTCAATCTTTCCACCAGTCCTAGTCTCCCATTCGTCATCGTCCAGATACCTATCCACCGCTCTTCCCTCTACCTCATCTCGAATTCCCTCTCCTAAACCATGTTTGTCTTTCCTCGAAGCCTCCTTCCAATCTTTGCCCTCCTTTGACTGATTGTCATCATCTCCACCCTCATCACCATCCGCGAGAGTAACATACGCCTTCGCGACTCTCCAGTCCACCTCCTTCGTCACGAACTGAAACCGCTTCTGCGCCTGCTCCAACTTCCTCAGCCTCTCTCGCTCCTTAGTCTCTTCAGATTGCGTACCTGGATCGAGCTGTGACGGTGTATCGCGTAGTTTATGAGAGGGCGGGAGAGAGATGAAGCTACGAGTGTGGAGAAGGTGAGGGGTCGTGGTGAGGGTGCTTGAAGGGAGGTTGTTCAGACGGCAGAGAGTGCGGCCCTGTTCAACGACGATTATTTAGTGTATATTTGAGCATATGAGACTAAGACGAGGCGTACATCGACACCAGATCGAAGAGCAATACCGTTCAGGGTATCTCCTGGCTTGATGTAGTACTTGGACGGTGCAGTTGAAGGTGCCTGTGCGTCGTCGTTCTCTTTCGGAGAAGCATCACCTTCTCGAGTGCTCGTCTTTCCACCTGTAGGATCACTGCTAGACTTGACAGTCGACCAAGGCTGCGAGACCTCGTCACCAAGTTCGACGTAGGCAGGCGGTGGGGTCGACGATGCCGCCTCTCCTACAACGTCATATTCTTCTTCCTCTTCTTCGCCAATTGCGAACACATCCTCATCCCTGACCGCACCGTCTATGTTGTCCACCTCAATTACGTTCCTTCCATTATCCACCTTCCTCTTCCCCTGAGACCTCGGCCCCACAGCACCTACACCACCAAGACACGCCAAACAAGGATCATACCTCGCAAGTCTCGGATTATGTTCAAGGCATGAGGGACATATTGGTCTACCGCAACATCGTGTAAGGAAGACTTCGGAACTGAATTCGACTAGCGGTGGTGAGGTAGACTTCGATGCCGGTGAGTTCAAAGAGTTTGAGGAGTGTTTAATAAGACGCGGAGGCAGCGATGAGGAGCAGGCGAGACATAAGGTAGTATTTGGATTTATCTGTGATACTCTGAATTGCTGAGGATCTGGAGGGGAACTCGACGAAACCCGAGAAGATGACTGAGATAGACTGGAACCACTGGGCTGCAGCGGTGAGATTGCCATGAGCATGATGTCAAACGTTAGACTGAAAGCCTGTAAGACGTTTGGGCTTTGAACGAGCAAAGACGATGAGCGTTGTGAATAATCAAAAGTCAAGAATGTTCAAGCTCCTTAGGTGATCGGCGGGGCGGGCCGGGAGGGGCCGAGTGGCGCCGCGAGACTATAGCGCATAATTCTGCGTAAATTCATGCTAAATTCTTCTTAGGCTCGACGAGCATATGATTCCTTCCTGCTCATGTCACCTGTTGTCTCTAAGCTTGCACACTTTTAGGCAAGGGCTTTGCGTTCTGCTTCATTAGAATCGGATGGGCTATCGTAAGAGTTGCGTAAGAGGCTAAGTACTTAGTACTAACTTACTACTCGTCGTTCATGACCAAGACTAATTGACAGCTATTAGCTACTCAGTGTGGATAGCCTTTCAGTAAGCGTTCTGGAATCAGATTGCTCACCCGGGAGCTATCAGAAGAACCGAAAATCCCAGGCATCCGAAGGTAGTGGAAAGAAAGTGGCTCTTGGCGTGCGCCAGCGGCCGTACTCAACACCGATTTATTCTGGTCCTTGTCTTCTACCGCAACCAAACTACAACAAACATGATACGGCTACCAGCGGTGAATTGTATTATAGGGCCGTGTAGACCCGTTCAAGTAACCGGACATGGGATAAAAGCTCCGCACAGTAATTTTATCCGGCGACCTGGCGGGGTTTCAGGGTATACGAACTCAGCCTCGAATCGCATAATGCTCTCGTCCTCTTTAGGGACAATGCTCAAACTTCACAATGCTCTTCTTAGTCTCTCGTATCTCAGGCTTCTGCTTTTGATTGTCTGCTCACGGCGAGCGTTACCTGACATCTATTCTCTGCTGCCGTGCTGTACCTCCTTGGAGTCTCCTCATTCCTGATCATCTCTCAGGCTCTATTTTGTTCAATCAAACATGGTCCAAGTAGTAGGGGATGACTTCATACTACCGTCACTTCCCATGCCATCCTCACCATACATACGTCAAGTGAATTCATTCTGCTGTGTATCATGACTCCTCTTCTTGTGGGTATTATCGGCTTCCACCACTGGGATTGCGCCTTGTCAATGACAGCGGTGGGTCAGGTAGGCTACTAAAGATCATACTATTGATATATTTGGCCTTGGCGCAGTATTTCATTCTGTGTACCTGCTGGCTGAAGCGTCTCAAAGATGTTCCTTCAACATTTTGCCGCGTCGAACAGGAAAACATAGGTACGCCCCACTATATGCCTGCCCCTTGGCTTTTCGCGAGGTAGAGAGCGGGGGGAAGAACACGCTTGGTGACATATCCTTGGCGATACCTCAGGGTCGGGCTACGTCGAGACTTAAGAATCTCATTGTTCAAGTCACACGCTGCACCGAGTAATGATGCTTGACTTGGCTCAAGTGCATCGTAAGCAATGGCGCCTCAACAGAGGTACATCGCATCTCCTTCGTATGCCGCGGACATAGCGTCAGACAGGTACTTGTCTTGGCTGGGAGTTTGTCTCGCATCGCTACGGAGTGGAGAGCTCTCATGGTGAGCTTTCCTTTCGAAAGATGTGGCGGTTTGCCTTTGGAGACTTCGGTAGAAGCGGTAAATGGGGTTGTCTTCCTAAAAGATACGATTGACGTAAGCTCCTGTGCATTCATGCTATATTCCTTAGCCCTTTTGGCCGTGTTAGTCGACGGCGGGTGGTGAGTATGCATTGTGGCGTAATTAGGAACGAAGTTGAAAGTGGCGGACCGGCCTCGGGAATAACCGGGTGCGCTGAGTCATCTCATTCGCCGCTTCGATTTTTTTTACCCTTGTTCTTTCTTTTCCATCACATTACTTTCTGCTCTCCCCTCCTCCTGCAAGTTGTCTATACATGTCCAAAGATTCTCGCATGCGCTCCTATCGGCTAACTGGACTTACAGCAGGTTCGTTTCTTCCATATATGCCCACTACTTACGCCCGGTACATCTTCCAGTCATGACGCACTACTGACAGGGGCACATAGTTGTCTGACATAGAGTGACGGACAGAGCACTCATGTTTTTGTGGAGCGGGCGCATCCTAGGCTTGTTCTGAAAGATCAGGTTTCATCCTATGTGCAGCGTCTGCGCTGTCAATCCTAATCCTCCTTTGCCTTAGGAGATGCCAATCGCCGACGGGGAAGCTACAGTACACGAATCTCAACCCTTTCACAGACCAGATCAGAGGATCGTGCTCATGTTTCGTCATATATCAAAGTTCCTGAGGACTGAACACGGTAGTGGTCTTCGCACGAAGGATTCGCAGCGCACGCTCTTTACAGCCAGCTCTGGGTTCACTGGCTAATGTATGCCCCCCATGGTGGTAGCGTCTCTTCTCCACCGACGACCCCACTCGAACTCGTCACCATCTAGTGCGCTTCCCAACTTATCTTTATACGTGTAGGAAGGCAGGATGCCGTCAATTCTTGAGGCCTGGTAGCGTACTTCGAGGATACAGTCAAGGCACTCGACCCATCTTCTCTCTCTTGCAGTCGCTGTTCCTCCGAGGTTACCCATGGGGTAAACGAGGACTTGCAGAATCTTGTTAGAGGAGAAAAACAATCCCTACATGACTCATAACGGTCCTCAAGGAGTTACGTGCTCATGGTTGACATTGCCACAGGGAAGATAAGGCTACCAAATTTGTGGACCAACCTGGCTTGTTGGCGTTCACCATTCTTGTAGACGTATCTTTCGTGTCTCCTTCATGGTCTCGCAAGCTTGTTTCTGATCTGCGCCGCTGGGTGCAGTTCCTTTTGGTAATGTCGGCGCAGCCGCTCTGCTCTATCATTCACCTCAATGCAAGATCCACATATCATTGTTAAACACGTTTTATTGGGGGTCTGAGCACCGCATAGTCCATGTCATTTCTAGGCATTTTGCGTTTCTCTCAGGTTATAGTATTTCGAACATGCTCGGGTACCGGAACCTTTCCCGCACCTGCCAAGTGTCGGGAGCATATGCTGGACCGTAGTCCATTCCTACAGCTGAGCAAAGAACCTGCCTAGTACGTAGAGGCGGTGACGGTGCCGCGCGATATCTAATCCGTGATCTTCTTGGTACCTCTCACGGCGAACCACTTTGGTGTAGCCATGTTTTTTGTTGTCAAAATCGATCAACAGCTATGAACAGTTTGTCCTTCATGTTTCCTTTGCTTGAAAGCCATGTTCAAAGCGCTCTGTTTAGCAGTTAAACGTTGGTCGACAACGGTACTTACGTTAATGAAGAAGCAGATATCGAACGAGGAAGTGAATATGTCCCCGAGGAACACCACCCTTCCCATCAAGAAGTCGGGCCTCCACCAATCGACGCGCGATGGACAACGTATATCCGATCTGGTATGTCCGAGCGTTTATCCATTTTACTTTATCGGTTCATTGTCAAGCTGCGTCGTCCTCGGATCATCATAGAGCACGGGTCCTCATGATAAAATGTGTGCTCCTGCCATATCGAGTCATGGACGCCCTTTCCCTTCGATATCGTCCTTCTACTACCAAATAGCCTCTTCTGCCAAGAGGTTCGTTAAGGCGCGCTGCCGTGTGAATTTAGCTCGAACTTTGTTGCCAAGCGTCTTTCTCACAGACAATGGGCTACCGAACTGGTACCAGTTACAGTGAGCAGCCCGATGTGATTATTTGCCAAGCTAGCTACCCAGGGGAAACTTCGCCGAGGGTGGTGAACAGGGCTTCCTTTGTCTTGTAGTACCTGGTTCGCGCAGGTTGCTGCGCGGTCGAAAATCCGAGCTTAAGGGAGCGTATCAACACGGAGTTCACTCTATTACCACCATATTGGCGCTAATCAGCCCCTCTACTTTTGGACTTCTCTTGCTGGGTGTGGATTTTTTAGCCCGGCGCCGTAACTGCGTGGAATCAGTCACACAGTCTTTTTGAACGCTGTCGCGATCGTCAACTTTTCATTATCCTCGTATCATTCACGCCGCCCGAGTGATACATGAGGTGGCACTACTCGTTTGTTGGCATTTAATTTTAGGATATTCATAGAGTTTCATTTCTTCTAGTGGACAACGATTGGCTAATATCATACTAGTGAAAACGCTGGATGCGTCGGGTATCTAGGCGAAAGCGTGGGACAAGAATCTTGTAGGTATTTCTGCCTCCTGCATCAAACACCGCATCTTATCAGATATACTTATAGACTTTGGGAATCCATTGCTCCGCGGCCTGAAACAGGAACTCAATCCTCCAAATATACGTCACAGTGGTGCCAGAGCACAGAGCAAGAAAATGCCTTCGACAATACATCACGCTACTACTGAGGTACCGATTCACGCCCACTCTCTATCACCGGCACAGGTTTCGCTCGCAGCGCGACCCCTGAGATCAAAGAATTGCCTTCTCGTTCTGTTGTTCCGGCAAAGGAGCTGCAAATCACGACCGGGGTGGAACATCTCAAACAGCGAGCGAAGCCTGTGCTCTCTTGCATTCAGATTCATGGCGCTCCGACCTCCATGGCTCTCATACATAACTCCTGCCATGTCTTCCATCGTGCTTCCTGGCGGCTGCACAACCGCTTTCTTGTTTTGACTGGACGCTTTACCCCAAAAGGATAGGAAAACGATCGTATACAGAGATGTGCAGAGAGGCGCGTACAATAATTGTTCACGATCTCTCTCCATTTCACTATGCCAGTGAGGTATTTTATTGACTGTAGACACCGGACGGAGTCCTCTTGCCGTACTCGGATGGACGCTCAGAATGTTAGTATATGTTGAAACAGCAAAGCTTACATATCACTATTCCACAAGACACATTTGCTTAGACTTCAGGCTTCAGTCATAACGCTCGGGGTTGCATGTTCCTCTGACAGGGAGCTTGAGCTGGTATACGGTCTAGATGCGGGATGTTTACCGGGCATCCTACCACCCGCATATTCTCCGACACGCCTTCGCCTTGACCGAACGACCTTGATCAGAATGGGAATTTGAACTCCTCCTCCGTTCACACCTCCAGCACAGCGGACAGGCGAAGTAAACTTCCCTGCAAACACAGACGATTGACTGACAGATGCCAAGCGCTTATTCACCCGAACCCACGTCCGACTCCACGCTGTGACAAGGTCCCTCTATGTCCAAGTTGGACGGGCTCTTCTCTTTCTCACTTGGCGAGGATTCGCCAAGCTGTCCCGGTCATTTGGTGGTGCTCGGGTCACGTAAACAGGGACCTACCGTCGACCATATAAACCCTCTAGCTGGTGGTATGTTTTCTTGCATCCTCCCTTCGATCCCCTTCACCCACATCTTTCATTCCCTATCCGCTCCATCTCACCCTGAGACTCCCTCTCTCTGTCTCACACCTAAACGACCTTTTCTTCCTATCCCTCTATCCACCATCAATCATGCCCGTCGCCGAAGGTGGTACCCGCTTGCGCCAGCTCCTTGAGGACCCAAACCATCTCATCGTCTGTCCTGGAGTGTATGATGGCTTGTCTGCTCGTATCGCTATCTCTATGGGCTTCGAGGCTGTCTACATGGTGATTTGTTCAACAACTCCCTCTCTTTTTCCGGGTTTTGTTTGACTTTCTTTTACTAACTCGGTTCTCTTGTAGACTGGCGCTGGCACGTCTCTCTCCCGCCTTGGTATGGCTGATCTCGCCATCGCAACATTCAATGACATGCACGCGAACGCGAACATGATCGCCGGTCTCGACCGCACTATTCCTCTCGTCGCTGATGCCGATACTGGGTTCGTCGTCTATTCACCTCTCATACTTCTAAATTCCCGACTGACTGTGATTTCTGATGTATAGTTATGGTGGCCCGATCATGAACTCTCGCACGGCCGAAGCCTACGCTCGCTCCGGTGTCGCAGCCATGCACATCGAGGATCAAGCTCAGGAAAAGCGATGCGGTCATCTCGCCGGCAAACTCATCGTCCCCACGGAAGTTTGGCTCTCCCGCATCCGCGCCGCCGTCAACGCGCGCAACCGCATCGGCTCCGACATGCTCATCATCGCTCGTACCGACGCTCGTCAGGGTCACGGGTACGAAGAGGCCGTCAGGCGACTCGAGAAGGCCGTGGATGTCGGTGCTGATATTGTTCTCTTGGAGGGCATATTGACGAAGGATGAGGGTAGGGACCTCTGCGCGCTGATGAAGACGAAGGGTAACAGGCCCGGCGGCGTTCCGTGCTTGTTGAACATGGTCGCTGGCGGCGTCTCGCCACAGATTACGGTGGAGGAGGCGCAGGAGATGGGATACAGGATCATGATCTTCTCGACGTTGGCGTTTGAGGGCGCGATCAAGGGCATCAAAAACGCCTTCGCGGACTTCCAGAGGACCGGTGTTCAGACTTTGTCGAAGGGGGCTGGTGTGCGAGAGGCGTTTAAGCTCGCGGGTTTGGATGAGCTGATGAGGATTGACGATGAGGCTGGAGGTATGAGCTTGAAGGCGGCATGATGGCCTTTGACCTGCGGTTTTGTTTTATGATTATTAGATGATATTTTCTTATGTTCATTTTTTCTCGGGTCCTTCTGTTCGTTTCTTTGTGTTGTATGGGTTGCTCTTGTCGTTCCTCTCTTGATTTTCCAGTGTTGTATTTCGGACGTTTTCAATTCCTCTGGAGTCAGTCTTCGGTTCTCCTCTTTGACCGATTCTTAGACGGTTGTTGATCACACACGCTCCGAGTCATCAATATTCCTATCACATTTTGTTACTTTTCTGCATAACAGGGTCTATTTACTCTCATGGCCAAGCTGATTATGGGCGGCAGCCGTAGATCAGTCGGTGTCGTATGCCGAAACCGACCTGTCAATCATATCTATTGGACCATGCTCGCATAAACGCAGTCTGGTATGATGGCACTGGCAAGCCACTAGACTGCGACAAGGCTTATGTCATCGCTAGCGGCGGATGCGAAACAAATAGAGTTAAGTCATGTCATCATATATGGGGTGGGACGGCGCAATATACGAACATAGCCTGGCTAAAACGCGATGAGCTGGGAAGCAGCGGAAGGAACGCCGGACAGTAGGCATGCGGGCTCGCTGTCCGAGTCGAAGGGAAAAGGACGAAGAAGAGGATATCTGTTGTGAAGAATGGTACTAGCCACTGATATCTTCGATACCCTCGGATGCAGCACAAAGTATCCTGTGAAGAGGTTTTAATATTAATACATGTACATGAGCTTAATTCATGTGAATGTGGCGTCTCCAAGTCGGTGGCGAGAGAAAGAAACAATAGCCGATACGGGCCGGAATCGGGCCGGAATATCTGCGCACATTTTTGCTTCCTTTCCAGCTTGTTTCCCCAGACTTCAACGAGCTCCAGCGAGCATCGAGAAATTGTTGTAAAGTCCTCCCCTTCTAACACTGCATCGCAATGCCGAATATAATCGTGATACTTCTCGGATTCCAACCTGCTCTGTGCGCGGTTCGATACCAATAGCCTGCCCGTAATGGTCATCCACGACCAAATCCGTCATTTGCTATCTTTCTCTCGGTAGCTCTCACCCATTGGCTTCTTTATCAACGACGACCATCATGTCCTCCGCCGCATCCACTCTCGCTGGGAAGACTCTGAGTGCCCTTTCCGAAACAACGGCCGTTGCTCTTGACGCTGACCCAGTCCGACGTGATACATTCAATGTTGGAGGAATCAATACGCATGTCTACTCCCTCGCGTCGCTTAATCTCTTTGGGAAGCCATGCCCCGAAGAGCCTATCGCCGCGCTGTTTGTGCTGCACGGGAGACAAGGGTCTATGGAGATGGAGAGTATCGAGAAGACTGCGAGAGACGCGGTTCTTTGGGCTGAAGGCAAGAAGCAGAAGGTGAAGGGGCAGGGCGGAAAGCAGAGAGACTTTGTCGTTGTGACTCTCGTGAGTGACCTCCTTTTCCTTCTTCTAAAGCTGCGGAAGGAGACCTGAGCCGATGGTCATGTTCTTGTGCAAAAATAGGATCAGCGCAATCATGGAGGTAGGTTGGTCGAACCTTTGGCGAACAATGCATGGAATCCGGATCCTTCTGTTCATAATGAACGACACGCGTGAGCCCATTCGTCATATATCGAACGCGATGGCCTCACGCTAACCCGGGCTCTGGCGCCACAGCATTGACATGTACGCGATATACAGTTAGCAGCTCACACTTCATTGTCAACCCGCCAGTTTACTGACGCGACGAATGACCAGATGGAACAGCACGAGATGTCTCCTTCCTCATTGACTTCCTCCCTGCTTATCTCTTCCCAAACGGCGAAAGAATGGTAGCGCATTGGGCTGTGGCAGGCATCAGTCTCGGTGGTCACGCTACCTGGTATCTTCTTGCGAACGGTACGTTGAGATTGTATTGACGTCGCATCTTTCCGACTTATACTTATGGGCCAGCTCTTCGTGACACTTTATCACACTAGAACCACGTCTCCGCATTGGTATACCTATAATCGGCTGCCCTGCCTATCTCACAATGCTCGCTCCCCGTGCTCTAAAGGCTTCCATCCCTCTAGCACCCCCATATATTCCAACCACTCTTCTCTCCCGCATCACCGCCGATTTCCCCTCGTTCTACCAATCGTCCGACCCTTCACTCAACCCATTCATCGGCAAGAAGATCTTAGTTTTGAGTGGGGAAAAGGACAGGTTGGTTCCATGGGACGCGTCAAGTGCATTCGTCGAGGGAATGGAGGTAGGCAGAGAAGGTAGGAGGAAGGTCAGGCTGCAGGAAGGAGTTGGGCATGAATTTACGGAGGAGATGAGGCAAGCTTTGATCGAGTTCTTTTGGGAGGAGGCGTTGGTCTCTGGCGTTAATACTCCGGCTGCTGTGGCGTCATCGAGTGTAGGTGCAGGGGCTGGTAGCACTCGTGCGTGAGGCCTCGATGTAAGATGTTTAATTAGGCTATCCTATGTTCGGTTGTATCCAGAATATCAGTGAGTCACCGTCTATAGTTTCACGCTTAGGATTAGACTCGTGCTAATATTCTCTTCCTGCTGCAAAACCGTATCTAGCCATATAAGGAGCTTATATTTGTATGAATTCACCCGTATTGGACTAGTTTGGTTCAGTGATGCTGTCTGCGAGCAATCTTGGGTGCATACCCCAGGTGGCGTACATATACTCCATCATGTGTCACACCATTTCGTCATCCGAAATTAAGTGATACCTCATGTTGAGGCGGGGAGCTTTCACGGTATACTTATTTCCTACAATGCCCTGACAGCGCGCGAAGCCACATCACTGACAGCCTGTCTTTTAAGTATTCTCCGGTATTTCAGATCGTGGCTGGCGGCGATCGCTACATACGAGTCATCACTTCTCTGGAATGCAGAATGAGGGAAAATGGTACGTCCCATGATCATTGCAGTACGGACCTGAACAATGTTCGATCATACATCGTAATCTACAGGTCTCTCCAATGGAACATAAAACTCGTCCAGGCTAAGTTCATCTTCGAATACTTCGCGAATGCACTTTAGAAAGTCAAGCTGCTTCTGCTGCACTATTGCTTCCTCCGTATAGTAAGCTCCCTGCATCGCCTGCTGCCAGCCCCGTTTCTGGACCGCAAATAGCAAGCAAGTCGTCGTAATCCCGATCTCTCGACCTAACCTCCCATTCACTGCCTCGACGTCTAAAAGGTCCTCCCTAATAACCCTTTCGTATTCCTCTATGAGCCACCGGGAGACCCTATTATTTTTCGCCAATACGATCTTGTCTATAGGATTCCACTCCAACTTGTCAAGCTCGGCAATGGCCCTTTTTCGTATGTCATTCAGCTGCCACAGTGTGGTCACCTTCAGGCAAGATGTCCAGTGGCCACGATCGACGACGTTGGGATCATCACATGTCCTGGTAGTCGCGGGAAGCAGAGGTAAGTGTGACCGTTCGTTCCCATCGCACGCCACACTAATGCTAGTGTGGCTTGAAGCAGTACGAAGTTCAGTAGCTGTGAGACTCACAAAAGGTGGACAGCCTTCAGAAATCCACGGAATTCGGCGGCTGTGACTCCAGGAAGGTGAATAGGATGTTCATCCTCTCTGCCCTCGGCGTGATTTGGATCAAGTTGTGGAAGATTGAACATGTCTTCCAACACCCCACTCTTGGCCAGCTCCTGACGCGGTAGCTTGAAGAGGACGTTCTCGACCTGCACACGGGGAGTAAGCGGCTTGTTTTAGGTATATGGTGGCAGGACTTACTCGAAACGCGACGCAATCGAAGTAAAAGGTCTCGTCGCGAACGATAGTGCTCGTCTCGCCTTGCGACCCAGCAGTGCCGGAACGCTCCTTAGGGTCACCCTCGGTTTCTTGAGCTGTAGGAAGAGAGGTGAACGGCCCCACGCTGAAAGACCCTGGTGCGGCAGAAAACATACGCGAAGTCGTTGGGGAGGGTGTAAACGAAATTGGTGGATGATAGGAGATGGTAGCAGCTCTCGGCGAAGGTTGAAACTTAGGGTCATGGGTGCGCAACGTATAGGTATCCTCGCCTGGGCCGATACATCCGAAGAGTATATGAGCCACCACCATGCTAATATTAAATCGCACCGCTTATCGTTTCGATTGTAGGTCATTGTTAATGTTGTGGCGCATCCATGCGAGACCGCCCGAATGTCAATACATGTCTCTTCCTTTCGCTATAGTGGTGCGTGTTTCTAAAACGTTCACGCGTTACTTTTCCTCGTTAAATGCCGTCGTCCCGTTTTCCACTGGTTCCATTGACCTGTAGCAAAGATCAGTCATAGAAAAGACCCAAACAAAGTCGTAGATCAGACGTGATTGTGCAATCGGACCGCGGCCACCCCACGACCTCGTTCTACTCAGGTTGGTACTCCTCATCCTGCTTCAGCTCCTCAAAAACACTGCATACGTCTTGTATGAAATCTTATGTCTGCTTTATAAGATTTGGGATGTCCCTCGCATAATTTTTGGGACGTTCCACGACCGATATTTGAAACCAGCATTCGTTCTTTCACCGCAAGGAGGAGGCCCATCGTCTTCATCCCAAATAAAGGCTCCAATCGCATCACCTCTTCGACGGTCAGATTACGCGTCTGCTCAATCACCGCGAGACATGCTATCGCTTTGCTGTGAAAATCTTGTCGAGTCGCATCCCACCTGAATCGGTCAAGCTTCCAGATCACTTTCTTAGGGCGCGTTCGGCAACCAGAAACGATGCAGCGTTGCTCTGCCAAACAGCTGAGAAACACTGCACCCGTGAGCCGTCGGGAAGCTTAGGGACTGCAGCGCTTCTCTCGTGTTTTGGCGGGGCAACGCTGCAACGTTGATGGCAGCCGAACGCGCCCTTACGCATTCTATCGATATTCCAGAGTGTGGCAAGCTTGAGGCAGGAGGTCCATGTCTATCGATCAGCGACTTTGACGGCGGCAGCATCGTGCGTCCTGGATAGAATTAGGTGGGTTTAGTCTTCGTCTACAGCACAGATGACAGACAGTGAGTGTACTGACATGGGATGTAGGTCCTCAGAAACCCTCGTAAATCTTTAGCTGTGACGCCAGGGAGCTTAATGGGATGCCCGTTATCCCATCCCTCCTGGCCGTTTTCGCCGGGCGGAAGCGCAAACATATCGACGAAAACTCCACTTCCTCCTGCCAGTAATTGCCGTGGCAGATTGAAGAGGGCGTTCTCTGCCTATACGTTCAAAGAAGGTCAGAGCACTACTCCGGGAGAACGAGCGATGATTATTTGGCATACCTGAAGCACGACATAGTCGAAATAGACGTATCGTCTTTAACGATTGTTTCGCCTTGCATGTTATTCGACAAGTGAGGATATCCCAACGACCTCCTTACCCAGGTCCATGTCAAACGAATGGATGTTCATATAACATATCATATTGCAGCGTATGGTACGTAGTTAAAGTAAAGCTTGCAACGAAGAAACCCTGCTAAGCCAACAACATACGACGATCGGCGGGGAAGTGGACGAAGGAAATGCGAGAGTTTGAAGCTGGTTTTCTCTTACGATGAATCCCAAATCGCTTACGGTGTTCCGTCTCCTTCACTCCGCTTCTCTACATTGGATTCCTCTTGACTCGGTTTATGCCCACCGGAAAAGTCATCTCGAGAAGACCCAGCAGTTAACGCATCGTGTCCGATGACGATAACACCTTCAGGCTCGGTGTGGACCATAGTGTTGATTGTCACGATTGGGGGGAGTTTGTAATCCAATTGAGGAGACGAAGTCTTGGAGGTTGTACTGCCGCCGCGCATGATCTGCCTCTTCTCCAAGACGACGAGAAGTATGATGCTTGTCGGATAGATGGTCTAGGAAAGAGTCACATTGAATATGCGAAAAGATATTTCGCCAACAATGTCGAACTCACAATGATCTGGATTAATGCGCTATGGAATGCGTAGAGAGGCACAAGCTGGTTTCCAATGATGACACCTCCCAAGGTATTGAACCTCACCACGAGAGCGATGTAAGCGGCCTATCGGGAGATGTAAATAAATTGAACCTGCGATGTGTGGCGGATGATGTACAAACCCATATACAGATAAAAACGGCGCCTGATTCCACGAAGAGGATGAGGATTTTCTCGGCCATTGTCCGTCGAGAGCTAAACAGGTGTCCTCGCAGTCGCCGTCGGTGAGACCTGATCCATATTCAGAATGTCAAACGATGAAATTCCATACGATCACTGTACGTACCAAGCTTTGAAACCAATGACCGCCGTTGAGAACGCGTTGGACAAGAGTGAGGATGAGAGGAATACTATGCCCGGCCAATCGTAGTATGGACCAAAGATGAGTACTTCCGGAGAGCTCGTGGCGACAAGGACGAGGTTGGCGATGCCTGACACTGAGTCATCCACCCATAATCAACTTCACGAATCGCACGGAAAGGTGGCGTTGCTTACCTATACCCGTGGCTAGCAGCACCGCGGACACAATCACAATGATCGGCCGATTCATCCAAACGACACAGGCCCTCCAAAGAGCAACAGCATCGCTAAAGATAGACTAAAACATCGTGATGTTCAGCCGAACGATTAGTTTTGTGATAATAGGGTGCGCACATTTATGGTGAGAGTTGCCAATATTATTCTCCCTGTTGGAGAACTGGATGTCAGCAGCTGGTACCCGCTAAGTCCCTCGCCTATCCAGCTGTATATTCCAACGACGAAGTGCATCAAGGCAGATGCGTACATGCCAGTCACTGTCGCTAAGAGAACGTTGCTCGATATAGAGTGCCGCCTATCTGCACCCAAACTGAAGAACATCTAGTTAAGCTGGGTGTCCACTGCGTGAGCTGGTGTGCAATACTTACCAGAACAAAATGTATATAGTAGTGACGAGTGTGCTTAGAGCGCCTGATGCAGTCACATTCGCCTCGCATTAGTTACAAGAAACATCCTAAAAGCGATGGACTTGCCAAAGAATACGGCCTCCACCCAGAAATTGGGAAAGATGAATCTAGCGCCAATTCATCAGCCACGCAGTACCTCGCCGAAAATCAGCCAAGGAGCGTACAAGAGAATAGGCATCTCGTATATTGCCCGAAGCGACAGCGCCCAGTGAGCTGCAAAAGCTGCGCAGGCCAATGCAACAGGAAAACTATATGCGACCATCATTCCCCAGTTTCGGAAAGAATACCGTTTGCTGTCGGCAAATAAGTGGTACGAAATGCGAGAACGTAAAGCAAACTTACATGGCATAATAGACGACAAAAATGCCAGGTAATGACGCCATTCCTGTGTACGAGATTAGCCCAGGTCATTTGTTCTGTAAGTTTTGGACAATAATACCAAACATTACACTCTCTAGAATAAACGCGGGGGCCATGTCGTGGTACACATAGTTAGCAAGGGCCTGGTAAAGTTCACCATGTTGTTCGGTGGGGAGGGAGACCATAACCGACTGGATGGACGTCATGTTGGCAAGAGTAAGCGAGTCCAGTCTTGTCGCATCGTCCTGGCGAAAACCGAGTTAAGTAGGGATGGCAAAGCCCCTCACAAATTTAACCTACCTGGTACAAAGCGCCTAGAGGAACAGCATTGGGAGTGGGGATTTGATCGAGCGGTGGTCGTTCAACTTTGTGGTGGAGTTGGGCGGAGCGTTGCTGGTCGCATGCTGGCCGGCATCTTCGCCGAAGGAGGGCACCTGAGCCTCGAGGTGCGTTAGCCCCTCGGTACGAGTTATATTTACACTCAAAACCGAAGATAATAGCTTGCAGAGTTGGAGATATAAGAGATGAAGAGATGGTATCACGTTCTGCGATGTTTGATGCACCACACCGTGTCAATTTCGTCGACGATAATAGATTTAAGCTTGGTGAGTTGGCGACATCAAGAGATGGTGAGATGGTATCACGTTCTGCGATGTTTGATACACCACACCGTGTCAACTTCGTCGAAGATAACAGCTTCAAGCTGGTGAGTTGGAGATATCAAGAGATGGTGACTCGGAGATGGTATCACGTTCTGCGATGTTTGATACACCACACTGTGTCAACTTTGTCGTTTATACACGTTAAACGCCCGTGGCGATGATACTGGTGGAGCTGCCACAGCCTGAGGATACCCCCAAGGTGCCCCAAAAACTGACTCATCAGATTCAGTCATAGGATGAGTACCTAAGAGTACGCACACTTTCCTGTTGAATCTAGGGCGGCATGATCAAATTCAAGAATCGAGCGTATATAAGCCCTGTGTGCTCAGCGATATAGATCTCAGCAGTCCTCACCAACTTCAACCAACTCGAAATCCAAAGAAAGCTACAGCCTCAGCTCAACCATGCAATTTCACTCACTCGTCGTTATCGTCTCCTCTCTCGTGATCGCGGCTCCCGTTCTTGCGATTCCGAATCCGAGTCCTCAACCAGAAGGCTGCGTAAGTCAACTAGCCTGCTCAAACTCTTGTTCCTTACTGACCCACCAACGTATGCAGATACAAGTCTTTGATGGAGCAAGCTGCCCCACGGCCTGGGTCGCTTGCGGCGGGTCAGCTGGATATACTAATTGTTGCGGTACCGGCGTGAGCGTTGTTTTGCGATGGTTGGCATTCCATTCACTGACAGACAGATTGCAGGCTTGTGTCTAAGTCAAAGGACATATCAACAGTCCCTTCCGACACAACGAAACTCTCGCAGACCTTGTTGTACATTTAGCATCGAAGAGTGAAATCAGTTAATCTATCTTGTAGCATGTTTTTAGTAGTGGAGGCCCATGTGCATGTCTTTGTTACGACCAAATGACCTGCTCAACAAGGATCGTGGTTCAGACCACTCAAAAGGAGGAAAGAGGATAAGAGGATAGAGGGTTTTGTGTTTAGCCATGGATCTGTTTCATGAGTATCATGGTGGAAGACCTATAGGGGCTGTAGACATTTTGAGCATACCAGTACTCGGCTTGGCTGGCGGCCGTCAAACCCAAAGACAGATGAATGCATGGGATCTATCAGAAGGATGACATACGGGTGAGTAAACGAGCTTCCGGAACATTAGGACGCGAACCGGTAGAGACTAGTGAATTGATGCTAGTTTGATTGCTGTTGTCGTTGAGCACAAAGTGCAACCATGTGCCGTGGTATCACTGAGTGCTTGTCTGGCATCAGTGAAGGACTTGCTCTGAATCGAGCCATATACAGCCTGAGTCGCGCATCAGTAGATGGGAGGTGCCACAGCATACCACATCACAACCGCACCAGCAAGATGGCACGCAGCTGTGGCGTCTGGAGGCCAATGGGACAGCATTCCCTGATGCGCTGTGTCCAGCTTGTCCACATACGAAGGATTCTGCCCAGCATCCCCAGATGCCAACCTCCCATAGACTTATTGGCATTTGGCGCGACCGATTTGCTTTGGTGTTGTAGCTGTATATCACAACCTGAGACCAGACTCGCACTGGTATGTATATTCACGCGTGCGTCGCCAAGCCACATCTACAAGAACCGTACGACTACGATGGTGTGATTCCTACGTACAAGAAGACTTGAAGCAAGTCAAGGTTCGGGGATGTTCAAATCAGCCCAGTGGGCTGATACTCGAGTGTATAGAAGACAATCGGAACACATCGCGTCGTTCACTTTTCCGACAGCATGCCAGATAAAATACAAGGGCTATTGAACAACACTTTACCTTGACAAAGACATGAGCGCCCGACTACACAGCCCATTGCTGACCCTGGAGAAATCCTGGACCGTATCTCATTACCTCCACCTCCAATGTGACTCATCTTCGGATGCATGAATGGCGAACGAGCTTGATGCGGACAAGAGCGCCTAGCGTAGCCGTTCAGCGTTCATTCTCGATGCAGTGTCGCGCCATACGAAGGGGGTTGTGCCAGTGTGTAGGTTCAATGCAATGTTTATGAGCCAGCGGGAGAGAATCGAGGTAGAAGTGATGAAGTTCGAGGACAGACTTGACAAGTCGGACGGCGGAGGCGCAAGCGCGGATTTCTGCAATAGGGGCCCCTGCGCGGTAAGCTCCGATTTGCTCCGAGAGCCGTGGCGGGACCGTGGCAACATGAAAATTCGAAACACTTTTTTCCGCATTGAGATGAATGTCGCTGTAAGTGATACCTCATGATGAGGCGGCGAACTTTCACTGCATATCTCCTACAATGTCCTACTAAAGCGCGCGAAGTTACATCACTGAAGCCTTGTCCTTTACTCTTCGCTATTTCAGATTGCGACTCGCGGCAATCGTTACCAATCTGGATTCAGAATGCAGAATAAGGAAAAGCAATACGTCTCATGATCATTGAAGCTTGAAGTACGGACCTTTCATGAAATACGGGGGATTCTTCGGTGGGGGATTTTTCGGTGGGATATATTCCTCGTCCTGTTTGAGTTCCTCCTCGAAAACTTCGCAAACGTCTTGTATGAAGTTGTACTGATCAAGTCGTTGCTCGCTAACGCTACGGTATTGTTCCATTACAGAACACCAGCGTCGCTCTTTCACCGCAAGGAGGAGGCAGACGGTCTCCATTCCGAATATAGGCACTAATCGCCTCACCTCTTCGACGGATAGACGATGCCTCTGCAACACCTCAATGTACCCCTCGATCAGCCACCGCGAGACATGATATCGCTTTGCTGTGACAATCTTGTCGATCGCATCCCACCCGTATTGATCGAGCTTACAGATCGCTTTCTTGCGCATTCGATCGATATTCCACTGGGTGGCGAGCTTGAGGCAGGATAACCATGTCTCTCGATCAGCGACTCTCACGTCGTCAACGTCGTACGTCCTGCATAAAGCGAGGCAGATTTAGTGCTGTACGCATATATACCACCGCATCTAGAGCATAAGTGACATTGACTGCACTGACATGGGGTATATAGTCCTCAGAAAGCCTCGAAATTCCTCAGCTGTGATCCCGGGGAGCTTGATGGCATGCTCGTTGTCTCTCCCTTCTTCTTGCCCGTCTTGTCTAGGCGGGAGCGCAAACATATCGGCAAAGACTCCACTACCTGCCAGTAATTGGCGCGGCAGTTTGAAGAGAACATAGCCTGCCTATAAGTTCAAAAAGGGTGAGAGCACTACTTTGACAGAATGATATAGAATTCTCAGACTTACCTGGAACACGACGTTGTCGAAGTAGAACGTATCGTCTTGAACGATTTCATCGCCGCTTTCCATACTATTCGACGAGTGGAGTTATAGGGCACGGGCACTTTAACAGGAGTCGTAGTGGGTGGCAATCTTTGGGGAACTTGCTAAAGCCTTTGAGGATGGGTACTTATGGTTAAGAGACTCAAGCATAGTTGTTGTGGCGTTTGTGAGAGTTCTGACCACGAGCTGACATCAGGTGGGTTGTCTTATCATCGCCTCGTTTATATTTTCCGCTAAACAAGCAGACAGGGCTGGTCGCACCGGCTCAATGAGCGTCATAGTTTCTACCGTTCTGGGTCTTTGCTGGCTACAAGTTGATATCAAACATCCTGTCACAATAGAAGAGGTGCTGACCGTATTCAAAGTTACACGGGTGACTTGTAGTCCTCGTCTAGGGTAAGTTCGTCTCTAAATACCTTATGAATCTCTCCCACGAAATCGAACCTCTTCCTCTGATCCCAAACAGCATGATACCCACACTCGCCATACCTCCTATGCTCCGACGCCGCATGATTCCAACTTCGTTCCCTCACCGCGTAAAGCAGACACGTTGTCGACGATCCCAGAACATTTGCCTCAGGGACAGTGAGCGGGTCGAATCTCCGTAGCAGCTTTTCGTATTCTTCGATCAACCAGCGCGATACACTACTCTCCCTTGCGACGACGACTTTCTCGACGGGGTCCCAGGTCAGACGATCAAGCTCGAGGACGGCTTTTCTGCGGAGTGCGTCCATGTGCCACAGGGTGGCGAGCTTGAGACAGGACACCCATTCTGCGCGGTTGGTGATGGCTGGGTGCTCGTTCGTCCTGTGCAGGCATGTGGTGTCCAATGAGTATCAACCACCACACTCACTCTCGGTCAATTCAATGTACGCGATGTCTCGGAAAACTCACATTGGATGTAATGCTTTCAAAAAGCCACAAAAATCCACAGCCGTCATTCCAGGAAGCTTGATCGGGTGCTCATCGTCCCTTCCCTCTACGTCGGAGTCAGCCTGTGGAAGCTCGAATAGTCCGACGAAAACCCCATTCGCGGCGAATTCTTGGCGAGGCACTTTGAATAGGACGTTATCGACCTAGATCGACCGCATTGGTATCGTCGAATCAATGACCAGGGAGGTCGCTTCGTACACTTACTTCGAAGATGGTATACTCAAAGTAAAAGGTTTCGTCACGGACGCGCGCGCTGGGCTGTCCGCCCTCGGGCGGCGCCTTCGAATCTGCATACACTTCCTCCTCCGGATGAGACGCTGTTTGAATAAATTTGATAGTGGGTGGATCCTGATAGATGCTAGTCATGGTGTGAGCAGTTGGAATCTGATAGAGAGCAACGGTGGGCCCAAAGACGGCGGTCCTCAATCCTCTTAACGCTGAGAGGGCCATGGGCTCATATGCGAGGCATACATCCATCCATCATCATGGTACGCCCTCCCGCGCGTACTAAGCACATATCGGTGACTTCACTGTAAGCGCTGTGTCCTTGTCGTCAAAAGTACCTTCTCGATCGAAACGTCACTTTCATACCGTGGATTGTCAACTATTTCCAGCAGTGCATGGACACTGCGCGTTGGGCGTGGGACGGGAAGAAGCAGCATGACTGCAGCATGTCGGCATCGATGTTGCCTACTGGCATCGTTGGGTACGTCAGTTGACTTGGTTGTGCTGGGATCGTCACACAGACCTGGGGTTGCAACTTGAAGGGGGATGCGAAACGGCTTTTTGGAGATTCTGTGCTGAAGGAGGTAGGTCTCATGCGTCTAAGCTTCTTCGTCTATAAGTATAAACGAAGACCGGTCAGGTCGGGGCACTCTATAGTTCTTTTGAAAGCCGAATTCCGACAATTTGAGTCTCCGGGCGGTGTCCCAGCGTCATTGATACTTGAGCTTGTTAAAAGACTATGCGATTCTCATCTATGATCGGTTGTTCAGTGTCCGCGCCGTGCGTGAGTAAAGGCTTTAGAATAGGTCTCATCGTCACTCACTCTCCTAGTAGGAAGACACGTCTCGCACGACTGATACCCTGGTGCTAATCATTGCTGCGCGAGATCTCACTTCTAACATGCAGTGTCGACCCGGAAAGCTTTTGTGGCTTTCCGAGCGAAGATCTGCTGGGCGTGGAAGACAGCCCTTACCTTGATGACCTGTATGAAATATGCTGGCCGTGGGCAAAGCCTTACAATCGCATAACTAAGGAACAGTCTTCTTTCACTGTAAATGTAGTGTCAGGAGGCACACCGAATGTGCACCAACCAAATGACGAGAGAGATAGCATGGCAGATTAATTTCCAGGGTCTGTTCGAGATACGTCCGCAACGGCCTCTTTTAAAATACTCCAGTGATAGCAAACTAACCATGAAGTGCTAAAGTGAAGATCCACCTCTCCACTAGGGTATCTGTCGACGAAACCGACACTTCACTGAGCCGAAGAACACATTATGGTGTGGCGCAAACCTGAGCCCGACAGCCTGGCTCTCGCGTTGTTCAGGCGCGATCACCGTCATTGAGCGACGCGCCGTTTTTCTCCGTGTCCGCCACTCTACCATGGCTTCCACAACAGCAGAAGCAACAGCAGCAACAGTCACAGAACCAGATGAAGCACCATTCGAGGTGCATGAGATGCGAATTACGAACCACGGCAAGATCAACGCGTGGGTCGATTATGCACTGCAGTTTTTCGAGGCAAGTACGATTTACTCGCGTGCGTTGACTTGTGTGTTCTGATTCAATTGTGACAGGTGAACGAGGACAAGGCTCTCGTTCTGCATACTCTGCCTGCGAAACCTGCACGGAAAGAAGTACCCGCAGAAGAGCTAGAAGAAGGAGAGACCGAGGAGCAAGACAACAGGAAGAAAGGAACGGCGAATCCTAATCTGCCAACATCAACTATTCCCCGGTTAATTTCAGTGGTGGAGATCATCAAGAGAGAGTATGTTAAAGCTATGGCTGCAAATAAGGTTATGGAGGTGCAGGGATTGCATCAGTATAATCAAATCGGATATTTGGAGGAGACAGAAGGTGAGGAAGACGAGGGCGAGGAGGACTTCCTGAAGACACTGGAAACGGCCTTGAGTGGTAGTAAACAGTGCGTACAGGTTAATATTCAGCAAATGATGAGGACTGACCGTGGAACTGAATATAGCGTGAAGATGAAGAGGACAGCGTACATGAAAGTGACGCTTTGCCGACGTGAACTTAGTTCTCTTGTACAGAAAGGCGCGACGTAAGTCTATTCAATGACACGGAAATCCCAAGCTGATCAGCAAATGTAAAGGTACCAAAAACCGGTCAAGAGAGAGATGTCGAAGTCTGCGAGAGGAAGATTGAAGAAGAGGATGAAGATGACAGATAAAGAAGAAGAGGACGGGGCTGCAGAGACGATGGACACTGACTAAGCAGACACAATAGCGAGCGGAGTGGGAAAGAGGCGGAGATAGCCGAGGAGGGCCCGTGTTTGTTGCGGGACGCTCGCTGCTGTTGTCGACCGACAGACCCCCGTCCTCGCCGTTCTCCACAGCGCCGCGCCTGCTCGCCACGGCTTCTGCTTTTATTTGTACACAGCGTCGTTACAGCCTACTGCTATTTTCTATATCTTTCCGTTGAAGACGCGCGACAACATTTGCCGAGCAAAGAAGACCGGCACAATAACGGCTTGCCAAGTTAGCTAAAGCAGGATTGATCTTTCCCCGCGCGCACGCCCCGATGCCTCGTCGCTCCCAGACGCGCTCGGCCGCGCTCGCCACCCCCGCCGTCGCGTCCTCGTCCACTGCCTCTCGCAACAAGAACGCGCATCTCGTCGTCGCCCAACCCATCGTCAATGAGGACCCTTTCTATCCCCAAGTCTCCCTTCTCCGGAAGCAATGGAAGTGGGCTACGTTCAGCCAGTTCTTCTACACCTTCGAGCCTCTATTCAATATGCCCGATGTCAAAATATCTGTGAGTTTTCGCGTTCATTATGGTGTCTGTTAGGGAATTGGCTCGTTGCCACGCGTCGTTCAGGCTGTGCGGAGGGCCCAAACACGAAGAGAGCATCCTCTCCCCTCGTCATGTCTTCAGGATGCTCTGTCCACAGGTGTGGCGAGGAGGAAACATATGTTGGAGGAGCTTGCGAAGGCCTTGATTATACTCGCCAGGTATTCCTAGCCTGGTCGTTCCGGTTATGCAGCCCATTGTCCAGACGCATCGCGCTCACTGTGTCACCACGGGCGAGGTTGTCCCACCCATGAGTACTACCACCGTTCAGCTTGGTGTTCGGATCCAGAATCACCACAAAATTTTCTTTGGATGGTCCTATCGACATTCATGGTCATTTTGCTCCGCACCCCACACTTTTGCGCAGGTCCGTGGGCTCCGTAGCCTATATGTCTATGAGTGGCGCAATGAACACCTTGTCTTCACAAGCCAATGTGGCCCTTATTGCCATGGTAGCGAGCCCATACAGTTTTCCAGCTCTCCAATAAAATTTCACGCCGCATAATTTATATCCTATCATGTCGTCCCCGATCTGACGTCCGTCTTCTCCTCCCACTCACAGGACATCGAAGACGACCTTACACGGTCAACCTCCCTCGTCATTCCAAAGATCATCATAAGACTACTCTACTGCCTCTCCTACGACCGCAAAATCTCGTGAGTGTCTCCTTAATTCCCCCTTCCCTGATATCCTCTCCAACTCTCCTCTATCATCCTCCCTCCCCCTATCTCCACACTTCGACTCTGACCTTCCCCGCCTTTCCATATCCTCAACTAGTCTCAGCAACTGGCAGACCGCCCTCCGTAAACAATATCTCAAGCGAGCTCCAGCTGCGAATCCCATGGGCCCCGAGCCCTCCAAACCTATACCCGAAGACGAAGACCCTGAACAGCCAGAGCTGGCTGTGGACAGCGAAGCCAATGGTACCATAGACGGGCGCAATACAGAGGATCCGAATTCCTCACCAGCACCCGGAGCTTCATCGTCGAAAGACGAATCCGTACCACCGCCTCCTTCTGAGGCGCCCAACGCCGAAACAGATCCTACCAACGCCCCACACACCAACATTTCAGCCTCCGCAGACGGCGAAAACCCGTCCTCCGGTCCTTCGAATGAGCAAGACACAGATCAGGCCAAAGCCAAGGTGGAAGAGGAGATTCCGAAGCAGAAGGTCGCCGAGAGCAAGGATTGGCTCGAGCTTTCGATGCTGGAGAAGCTTGACTCGCTCCATCTCCTCACTGAGTGGCAGTTCCAGAACACATTTCGGTTGAGGCAGATCATGAAGAGTGAGGATGAGACTGCTTCGTGGGTGAGTTGTTTACACCGATTTCCCTTTGCCTAAGACGTGATCGTTGACTTTTTCCCCGCGATTCTTTTCTGAATCTTTATAGCGAATCGAACCTATCGGTTATGACTCCAAGTCGAATGCCTACTGGCTCATTGGACGTACGTCTCTCATATCCGATCCTAAATTTTGTATCTCGTCTTACCTTTCATTGTTATTTTCCCCACAGCCGACCGCCTCTGGATCCAACATATCCCACCCAAACCTCCCCGCTCCAAAACCTCCAAACGCAAACGCCCCACCGGCACCTCCTCGCCCAAGAAACGGCCCGCCCCCACCTCCGACGCCGAATTCGAAGAAGAACCCGAGACTCTCCCGCCACCAGAAAAGAAGCGCAAAGGAGCGAACGGCGCTGGGTCGATCGTCATCCCCGCCCGATCTACTCGAGCCGCCGCCACAGCCGCCACACCCCCAACAGGCCGCAGCAGTGGCAGAAGCAAGGGCAAAGGGAGAGAGATCGAGGCGCCCGTAGTGGAGACGTCGACGACGGGAAGGGGATCGCGAGCTGCGAAGACGCAGGCGAATTTGAAGTTGGATGCGCAGGCGAAAGAGTTGGCGGCGTTGCAGAGGATGGCGGCGATGGAGAGCAGCGGTGGGAGTCCGCGAAAGTCCCGGGGTGGCGCTGCGCCTGTTGATTCTGCGTACGGTGTTGGTGTTGGTGTTGGTGGGAGTCCTAGTAAAGGGGGGAGGGTGATGAGGTCGGCGAGGACGCCGATTGTGGCGGGGACGAGGACGAGTGCGAGGTTGAGAGGGACGGTGCAGGAGGAGGAGAAGGAGTGGCAGAGTGTACCGGAGGAGTGGTTGATGGAGGGAGTTGAGGTCGTGGAGGAGGCTGATGGTGAGGGCGAAGGCGAAGGCTTGGAGGCCGAGAAGACTGCGAAGACAGGCTTGGAGGCCGAGAAGACTGCGAAGACAGGCTTGGAGGATGATGATGATACGATCAGCGAGTTGACGGCGTTGAGTGAGGATGAGGATTCCGAAGCGGCAGAGACGACGAAGGATGAGAAGGTGGCTGTCAATGGCAATGGTAAGGGCAAGGGCAAGGGTAAGGGCGCCGTGGTCAACGGGAAAGGAAAAGGAAAAGGGAAGGGGAAGGGGAAGGGGAAGACCGTCAAGGTCGAACTGCCCGTCGAGGAGACGGTGGAGGAGCCTGAGCCCGAACCCGAACCTGAGTGGAAACCACCGGCGGACTGGGTCGAATGGGAGACGGTGAGACTTGAGTCATATCTGTCAGTTTTGAAGCTGACTTATCGTTCCTGTTGTTGTCGATGTTGTAGCTCTGCGTCACGCTCTACGATTGGGAGCATATCGCTGAGCGCTGGGAGAACGCTACACATTATACTGAGAAGTCGCTCTACAAGGTCTTGACCCAGATCATCATTCCGACCATCGTCGCTGAACTCAGGGTTAGTCCCTCTCGTCCATTAGACTTCGCGCTACTTTTGGTTTAGTGTGCTTTATTAATTAATTAACGACATCTGCAGGAAATCGAGAACCAGCGACGCTTGGAAGAAGCCATTGCTTCGCGCAAGCGCTCATCTCGGCTGCAGATGAAGGAGAGCGAGAAGGAAGAGATGAAGCTCGCCGCGCTTAAGAAAGTGGAAGAGGAAGAGAAGATGTCGCGGGCGAAACGGATGGAGGCGAGGGCGAAGAAAGAGGAGGAAGAAAGGGAGAAGAGGGAGGAGGCGAAGAATGCGAGGGAGAAGAGGAGAAGGGATAGAGAGGAGAAGGAGGAGAGGGAGAGGCTGAACAAGGAGCAGACGGCGGAGCAGAGGTAAGTTTGGCTCGTTTGCCTCTTGGCATTATATTTTAGGTGGCTGACAATTGTGATTTGTCACAGCTCTAACGTTGGCACACCTACTATCGATGTCGTCGGCGACGAGGAAGTTGAGCCACCCAAGCCCAGGAAGAGAGCGAAGCCCATTCATAAACCTTCGAAGCCATCGAAGCCCACCGGGAAGACGCCCACCGGAAAGACGCGCGGCACAACTACGAGTGGAACGCACACTCCCACTAGTACTGGCGATGACTGGGAGTTGGACTGCGAAGTTTGCGGACGCAAAGGTCTTAATCAGGTCTGTTCAGCCTTCCATCAACATCTAAGGCCATGACTTACAGTCTATCGATATTTGGTTTGGTTTTCAGGATGGAGCTCTCGCGCTCCTCTGCTGTGGCAAGTGCTCGAAATGGCAACATATAGCTTGCCACGACATGGTCGATCGCAAAGCCGGGCGACCACAACGGAATTGGGACGCAGAAGAATTCGTCTGCCAGCGTTGTCGTTCGCAAATAAACGGCAATGGTACATATTCTCGGTCATCATCCCAAGGCATCATGTCCAACGGCCGATCGCATCCTCAAGCGGGCTCTTATACTCACCATCCACCAACGTCGACCTATATCAACTCCATTGCTGGTGGCTCTACGCAGTCTCCGCCGTACCTCGCTGCTGCTAAGGATCCACGGACTGTCAGTCCCCTCCCTGCAGGATCTGTGCAGTGGAGACCCGATCCAAGGTCGAGCCATGCCTCCCTTGCACCGTACTCGCCTTATTCGTCGTCCAACATGGGATATCAGCAACCTGGCTATCCTTCGTCGTCGCATACAGCCCAATATGGAACACAAGCATATGGCACCGGCTACGGAATGGCCAATGGAGGTGGATATGTTAACGGGTACGGCACGTCGCAGGCTGTGAGTTGTCATTTTAGCCTATATATATTTGAACCCTCGTCCTCATGATCTGTCATTTCAGTACCGTTCGTATCTTCCTGGAGGCGTGAATGGCACCAATGGTGCCGCCGTTCAACAATGGTCTGGTACTCCGGCCGGTACGGTTCCTCCCATAGGTGCTCTTCCCTACAACGTCGGTAAAAGTACCTCACCGTCCCCCTATGTCTTACCACCAACTACAAACAACTACGGCGCAAGCGCGGAGTACTCCTCCAGTGCCGAACGTTCATCCGCTGCTCTTCCGGTCTCGACACAGTGGAGGGCACCTGGACCGGCGGTGTACGGAAATGGTTCGATGGCAGCGGGGTCGCGCGCTGTGGGCTTGAATGGTGTGGGTGTGGGTCCTGGCAATGCGCCAGTTGGTGGTGGCGCTGGATCATACCCCCAAGAGTACGAGCACTCTACTCGATCTTAGATGTCGAATGTGAAATTCGACGGACTCGATGTGGCCCAAACCGGGTCACCTTTATTTTTCTTCGTTATTGCTTGTGTTATATTAGGCTGTGTCGGCTGTGCTCAGTAATGCACCATAGGGGGGTAGTGTTGCTGTTGTAGGTGATTGTTTTGTCCTTTTTTTTTGTCTGGCTTGTGTTTGTCTCCGGTCTCGAGATGTATTTTATTGTCGTTGCATGTTCAACTTTCCTCAGCGTTTTGCGTTGTGGTGGATTTTGTTAGATTACCTTCGTACCCTGTCTGTTGTGCGTTTTTGGTTTGTGTATAATCCAACTACGTGGATGCATCGAGATTGAATATTGGCTGCTGGCTGGAACGATTTAAGAACGATGACAAGGGCTGCTGGTAAGGTGTGGCGATCAGCGAATTTTGTTCGCACGAGTCACCACCGATTCGATCTTGCTGACACGGACGGCATTTGCCGTCGTCTTTGAAGCGCCGACCCTCTTCCGCCCAATTTATCTCAGATCTCCTTTTTCCAATAATGTAAGTTACGATCTCCCGATATCGCTCTGGGCATGCTGTCGTTTTTAAAAAAAAAATGAAGAGACCCAAACCATCCTCCGAATCCTGCACTCGAGCGAAAACCTGGGGTCAGTCGACGATGGCGTTCGACCAACGTTCGACCCTACCAAAAAAAAAGCAACAATCATTGGCATTCGGCTCCTGGACTGGTTTAAACAAGGTTTAAACAGGTTTAAATCAGAGACGCAATTTCCGTGCCGGCGGCTCAAGTCATCGCGGATCTTGTCGCGGATACCTCCTGTTGTCAAGCCAGTTCCATAAGGAGACCAGGTATACGGCTTCGACTGTAAGTGGTCCAACCATCTCTAACGGACAGTCGGCCACGACGGATATCGAATGTTGAAAGATCTTTAGCGGCAACGATCCGGACGATTGTTTTGCCGAAACCCCCGTTGCATGCTACTACAAATATGTTTGTGTTGCCGTCAGTTTTTCTTGGAATTCTGTATCTCGCTGTGACCGGTTGCTTCAGCGTCGATGAAGCCCTCCTCGCTTTGCTCTAAACCACCATCAGGTACTGCTCTCTTTGCTTCGTCTTCGCGCTCCACTGGTCATCTACCCCGGCCAAACCCCATCTGAAGACGTATACATCTCTGCCAGAAGGAGCTCGCATGTTTTGAGATAGAGGGGGGGGCGACCAGCGTTATGAGCGACTCGCTGTCGGTAAAGGAGGAATCTGTGCTCAACCTGTATGTATCTTCACGGCTCTATGGATCGCTTGACCGGGAGGCTAACGTCGGGCTATCTCAATTCTAGGCGAATATTTCGATCGATCAATCTTGTAGTCTATGGTGCGCATCGCTCCCGATAGTATCGGTGATCAGTCTGAAGCTTATGCGAGGCGTTGCAGCTCTCTTATATTATGGTTCGCTCCAACCATTCCGTTGATCTTGCGCGTGCTCTAAACAGATACGACGCTCAGATTACACGCTCACTGTTACTCACGAGATCCAATACTACTGGCGTCGCAAAGGCCTATTTACTTATGGAACAATCCTTTTTTTCATCACGCGATATCTTGCTCTGTTGGGATATCCGCTCATAATCATGCACACCTTTGTCGACCCCCCTCTGACGAGGTTGTGAGTGTGCATGCCTTCCCAAATCATCATCAAATTCCCGACGCTAACCGCCTGATCTTTTAGATGTCCTGTATTGACGACATGTCTGATCTATCTTGAAAGCATCATTCAATGCTGTGTGAACCGTTAGTCTTTACATCTACCACTTCCTCGTAGATTGTGATAAAACAAATGTCGGTTTAGTATCCTGTAGTCATCGTGTTGCAGCTCTCTACTCTGGAACACAGCGGCGTATCGTGATTGCCATCCTCGCAATTTCGCTATTCGCCGTCAATAGCATCACTGTGGTATGCTAGCCTTGTTCCAATTACTTCGACGATATGTAGACCTTCTAATTACGATTCGTGTTCTCAACGTTAGTGGGCGTTATTCAGCAAGAAACCAAGCGATTCAGAGCCGGAGGATGTGCTTATTGCGTATGAGGCTTTAGGGTGCCCGGTGCCCATCTCAGGAGACCTGTACGTCTCCCAACTCTCCGTTCGTCCGATGGCGTGCCTCTAAATGTTCATGGCAATCCCTCTCGTCTCTTTGACGTCAAAGCGCTCTAGGTATGTCCTATCTGTTCTCCTGGCTTCGATCCCATTCACTGATGCACCCACTTTTCTTCAGCTTTGGCAGAGCCATGGGCCGCCAATTTAGTATTCGACATCATAATATTCTCTCTCACAATACACAAAGCCTTAATTTTCGGCTGGAAAAATCATGCTACGCTGTGGAGAGTTATTCTACAAGATGGTACGTTATATATGCACTGTTCCGACGGTTGGTCTTGGTTCTCAATCTATTCTATCAGGTACTCTTGTATGGAGGTGGGTAAATCGACCATGAATCCCGGTACCTCTCTGAGCACTGAACCGCTCGCATTCTCTATGCAATTCCCCTCGATCTAGCGTTCTATTTGTAGCCAATCTGATGAACATCGTGGTGCTGTTTGTGGGTTCTCGTCCCTGTCATATTTCACTCAATCTTCAATGAAAGCTGACGATCGTCGCCCTGATTTTTGATACTAGACTGCTGCAGTGGGTTTTCGTCGTTGTCTTGATACTTTCTCTTTTATCATATTGACCCGTGGCGAAGCCCGCCTTCCGTCCAGTGGCAGGGACGATAGTAAATGTGTGAGTCGCTCAATATTCTCGTCATCAATGTTCTCTTCGTCTCCATTCACTGTCTCCGGATGCTCAAATCCTCTGAAAACACTTGCAGACTTTACATCATCCTCGTTGGTCGTATGATGATCAACCTCCGTGTTCAATACCACAAGATGGAAGAAAATCGAGTCCAAGCATTCGAGCTCACCGAGCTCACCATCGGTACCCTGGAATTTTCGAACCATGACGAGACGGGACGTTTGGGGTCAGGTCATGCGGATGACAAAGGTTTTGATGAGCTAAGTCCCAGATACGGCTCTCCGGGCAGATCGAGAGCTGTGGGGAAAGGAAAATGGCTGGAAGATGAGGAGGGCAGTTACGAGGATCGAGGTAGGGAGGTCAGTGCTATTACTGTTGAAGGATGGAGTGATTCACGGCCTGGAACGTCGCGCTGTGGCGAAGAGTTGCCTGCGACCTGTAGTGCTCGCGCTGGGAGCTCCAGGGAAAGGGATACGATTCGGACAAATCGATGGTCTGTCGGGGGTCAGGACGGTGTATCTGCTAACATCAATATTGAGGATAGATAGGACATTTCGATGATGAATCACCCTCTACGTCTGAAATGTAGTAACTTGTGCGCAACGTGACTCGTCCAAGGCTAGGATGTAGCATTGTTAATCCTTCACTTGTATTATTCGCAAGCGGTGCTGTCCTAACTATACATTATTCTCTGTAGCATGGGTAATCTGACTCCTTTCGGGTATGCTTTCGTGGGACTGCTTCAAGGGAAGGGATGCAACCATCTGCTCGTCTCATCGGTCTGTAGATATGCCAGATTAACACACCTATGATCCTACACAGAGTCCTACACTGGTTTTCTAGCACGGGTGGCACCCACTAACATGTGGCCCTTGCGCCGGTAAGCCACTGAAAACGCGGCAACGTGATTGGCCTCCGGTCGCTCGCGTGCCTCCGAATATCACATCAGCAGCTGAAATTCATTTCCCCGCATTTTGTGCTTCGCAGGTGAACATAAACTCCTATCGGTCCTTCAAGCTTAAGTGCTTTGTTACCCCCACACTTGACTTTCGATTCCAGTTATCATTTACTTGACCTTATTTTTATATTTTTTGCGACGTTCTTGGACTACATGGCCACTACAAAGACCATGAAGGAGTTCTCAAGAGAGGAGATCGAGCAGGTGTGCTGGCAGTTTGAAGTGTCCGCTCGAGGGAGAAATCATCCATGCTTACTATTTCTCAATGTGGCCAGCACAATAAACACGGCGATATTGTCAGTTCTTTCTTGCTCAATCGCTTAGTCTTGTGCTGACCGAGACGGATGGGCCGCAGTGGATCATCGTTGACGCCAAAGTATACGACCTCTCCCGCTTCGTAGACCTTCATCCAGGAGGTGCCTCAGTTCTTCTTGACCCCGAAGTTGCAGGTCAGGATGCTACCGAGACCTTCTACGGACTGCATAGGCATGAGGTGCTCGAGAAGCCGCAGTACGCGCGTTTGCAGATCGGGACGATTAAGGGAGAGCAGAGCATCATCACGGGCAAAGTTGCTGGAGAGATCAGCAAGGTGCCTTATGCTGGTGCGTACTCTTTCTACTTGTGTATAGGAAGCATGCGGAGCTGTGCTGATGCGCAATAATGGTACTTGCAGAGCCATCATGGTTAGCAGAGGGCTTCCATAGTCCTTATTTCACCGAGGTTCGTCTTCTCTCTACTCTAAGTCATGTACATCGATATTCATAACTGACTCGACTCGCAGGGGCACAGGAAGTTCCAGAAGGCAATGCGCCAATTTGTGGATGAGTACATCTATCCAGATGCCCAAGCACGCGAAGAAGATGGCAAGCGCGTTAGTCAAGAGGTCATCGACAAGATGACGTTCGTCCTGTTGTATTGGTGGCAGCAGAGAAACTCTCTAACAACGACTATTTATAGGGAGGTAAACTTGCACGCAATGCGAATGGGACCCGGAAAGCATCTCAAAGGCTTAAAGCTTATGAATGGCTTGGTAACTCCCGAAGAGGTACGCCAGTCTCATACCATTATTCGAATCTTAGCTCTAATTATTCCCTATAGTTCGACTATTTTCACGAAGTAGGTGTCCAATTGTCGTGGTTTTTCTATTAGCACCGTGCTTACCGAGCTCTCCGTATAGCTTATTATCACGCAAGAAATTTGCCGGTGTGGCGCAAGAGGTTATGGAGATGGTACTCATGCTTTTATTACGACGGTTTATTTTGCCCTTGTCGACTATTGATGTTCCTTCGCAATACATCAGGTATTCTCGGTGGCAAAGTCATCGGCTTGCCACCATTACTCAACTTCGGTACAGACGAGATGAAGAAGACCGTATGTGTGGTCTCATAATATCTCCTGCTCTCCCATCTCCCATATTCCTACTTCATCCCTCTCACTTACGTTTCCTTGTCCCGTCACGACATAGATTGTTCCGGAGATCCTATCAGGCAAGAAATTTATATGCCTCGCCATCTCAGAGGCCCATGCCGGTAGCGACGTGATGGGGATGCAGACGTCCGCGGTGAAGAGTGAGGACGGCAAGGAATGGATCATTAACGGGACGAAGAAGTGGATTACGAACGGACAGTATGTTCTGTGTTCCTACCTGAGCACCTGAGTATCCTATTGATAAGACTGTGCTTCGTCCAGCATGGCAGATTAGTGAGTATGAGAAAACGGACATGGTGGAATTACATGAACGCGAGCTGATACCTTTGTTATAGCTTTACGACTGGTTGCAAGACCGAGGTTGGTCATGTTCGATGTTCAGCGAACAAACTAAGGCTAATTTGAGGATTTCCAGGATGGCTTCACCGTCATTCTTATTCCCCGCATTGAGGGAGTCTCCACCAAACTCATCAAGACCTCGTACTCCACCACCGCCCAAACGGCATATATCACCTTCGACAATGTCCGGGTACCTGTAACAAATACTCTCGGCCCTGAGGGCGGAGGTATTTTCGTCATCCTGAGGTGTGTCTAGTGTCATCTTCTCGGCAACGTTCAGCCAGTATTCAGTGCTGAAATTCGCCCTTGTTTGACGGCAGCAACTTCAACCACGAGCGATGGGTCATGTGCTGTGCATCGGCGCGGAGCCAGAGGTTGATCATCGAGGAGTGCCTTAAGTAAGTCATGGTTGTGTGTTGTGTCCATGATGTTCAGATACTAATTAGGTCTCCTCGAAAATGTAGATGGATTAACCAGCGCAAAGCCTTCGGAAAACCCCTCGCATCACAGGCCGTCATCCGGAACAAGATAGCCAATATGGTCGCCCGTGCGGAGAGTATTCAAGCTTGGTTGGAGAGCATCACACACCAGATGTGCAACATGGTACGCCTCTCATGTGTATCTTCTTCGGTTCTTTTCGCCCCCTTGGTATGCATCCTGACTGTCACCTTAATAATTTTCGATGTGGTGGTGCAGTCGTACAAGGAGCAGGCGACGAAACTTGCTGGTCAGATCGCCTTTTTGAAGATGTATAGCACGCAGTCAGCACAAACGACGGCGAGGGATGCAGTCCAGATATTCGGTGGACGGGGGATCACGAAGAGTGGAATGGGCCGGTTTATTGAGCATGTAAGTTTATTTCGTGCCGTTCCACTTCTCGTACCTTTCCACTTCTCGTACCTGATCCAACCGTATACTGACATACGCTGTGGTCGCTGTTCCCGTGGTGCAGGCCTATCGAACGGCGCCATTCGACGCGTTGCTTGGAGGTGCGGAGGACGTGCTCGGCGATTTAGGCGTTAGGCAGGCGATGAGGGCTATGCCGAAGAATGCGAGGCTGTGAGCTTGCCATAGCGGTGCTTTACGGACGCCGGCAGTGGCAGGGTCAAGACGAGGGTTATTATTAAGGATGTAGTTGTATACATAAGACGAGTATCCCGGTCAGGATGGGCGGGCCAAGTTCACTTAGGTTGCCATTTATTTTTGTACTCTCATAGTATTTCACTCTCGATTGGATTTCCACATTCTATGTATAGTTTACTATCTGTACAATCACAATATATTGTCCCTGACACAATAATCTGGAGTTTGCGGAAGAACATAGTTTCCTCTCTGTAAACCGACCGACCGACCAACCCGCCGATTAGTTCTGCTTTGATAAACGTTCGCTGCAATCTTGGCTGCACACCATATGGTCCAATGAATATAGTCCACCCTTGAGCCAAAAGGAGTTTACAGTATGGTACGAATGATATATATGACCGCTTCAATCAAACTGTACCCCTCCATCGATGATGACGGTTTGACCTAGAAAGTTATGTCAATATTTCAAAGATACGAAGTTCATACGATTGACCTACCGCTGATGAAACTCGCCTCGGGAGAGGAGATATAGGACACCCAGCTCGCGATGGCCTCCTTGTCGACCGTACGTGAGTTCGATATGTTCAAAGCCTGTGGTGTTCACATATAAGTGATATATGTCAGACGTCTAGACGTGTTCAGAAAGGTGTACTCACATTTTTCAGAGTTTGCACGCCCATCTTAACTTTGTGGATGGTCAAATCTGTGAATCACTGAAGTAGCGTACGTGTCCTCACCGATTGCCGTGTCAACTACACCAGGTGCGTAGGCATTGACGGTAATATTGTGCTCGACCAACTCACAGGCTGCTTATATAGTCAACTCGTCTGCTAAATTTTGAATGAAGCTCAGTTACGCACCAACACTTTGGGTTATCCCGCGGACGGCAAATTTCGACGCACAGTACGGTGCGATTCCCTTGACCCCTGATGAAATTCATTTGCTAAGGATGATATTGGGGTGAACCAATCGTAAGCAACGTGCCTCTCTTTCCAAGAACTGAGGACGCTCCTGTTGAGAGTCAGGATCGGGAATGAGAATACAGAGCGAGCAGGTCACGGTGATGATCAAATGCACGTACCAATAATCCTGCCGCCTTCTCCCTGTTTGACCATTTGTATTGCTGCGTATTTGTAGCACAGGACTACACCGTCAACGTTCACGCCCATGAGTTTATGCCATTGTTCCATGTCAACTGAAAGCATTTTTAGCGCACGTAAAATCATCAGTGAAGGACCGATGGATGAACAATACCAGTGAGGATAGAACTCCCTTTGCCTGCTCCGCCGATTCCCGCGTTCGCAACCATCTACCAATCGTGAGGAAGGAAGTTAGGTTTCTCGTAAAGAGGCCCAGGACTCATCAGCTTCGCTGATGGACTTCGTTCGGATGATGACCATACCACGTCAAGCCTCCCCAAGTGCTCTACCGTCTTCTCGACCATATTTTTGACGTCCTCCTCAGATGACACATCAGCAGTTAACGCGACAGCTTTCCTGCCTTTCGCCTGTATCTCAGATACAACAGCGTCTAGAGCCTGCCTTTGGCTCTCCACGTCATTCACCGCTACATTGAGGCCGTCGGCGGCTAGACGAAGAGCGATGGAACGACCAATGCCTTGTGCTGCACCGGTGACGATTGCTACACGAGTTGGGGACATTAGAAAGGCAGGTATTCGAGTCTGAAGTGTGTCGAACGATAGAGAAAGAGGCGGTTGATGGAGAGAAGCAAAGCCGTACAGCACCTCTTTTTATAGAGTCGCTGCTTTAGTCCATTCAGTGGCCCAGGCACATATGTGAACAGCAGCGGCGCTCAGCGCTCAGCGCCTGACTCTTGTCAGCTGAAGAACGCGTGAGGATATGTACTCCCTTCAACGGAGTCTGACCAGTGTTGGCCCGTTGGAACTTGGAAGAAGAAGGCCAAGGGAAGGAAATGGAGGTTCTTCCCGGAGCCTCCCGGCCGAGTCCGGTTCAACAATTGCTTGATTGATCCCCATTACCGAAATAGAAGTACATGAACGTGATTGAAGAAAAAAATGCAACCAATTCACCCAACATATCATACAGCTTCGTGTTCGTGATGTTCATGGTCCCCAATAGAGATCTTCTCGTGACTTCCGTGCACCTTCCCATTCTGCTCTTTCGTCGTCGGCCGGCCATGCTCATGCAATATCTCTCGAGGATCGACCTTATCTCCAAAGACAATCGCCATATCTTCCAAGGACTTGCCTATATGGCGGTGCGTCGTGATTTATCAGTGCCAATTATTTGCGAGAAGATTATATGCAAAGCAGCGTACCTTTAGTTTCGGGGAAGAACCATAGAATTACGATGAAGTCTACTGCGTTCAAGACGATGAACAGAATATAAAATTTATATCCTGAGTTGTCGAGTCCAATGGGCGCGACCTCCGAGATCAACACATTCATGGCCCAATTTGCACATCTAAATTTTGAGAAACTGGTTAGCATGGGAGCTCTCGTTAGACGATATCAGTCACATACGTCGCAGCGGCTGTTCCAATAGCTCTCGTCCTCGTGGGGAAGACCTGCACAAAATGATTAATGGCGCTTAGCAAGTAGGCCTTATGAGCCAGGCTGATATGGATTGACTGACCTCTGAAGCTAACACCCAACTGACAGGACCGAAACTCAACGAGAACACAATACTCAACATGAAAATCATGCCAATACCAGCCCGCTGTGCTGCAAAGTTGGTAACTCCATCGCCTGGAGGGAAAGAGGCAAGGATAGCAGCTAAGACAGAGAAGAGGGCGACGTTTGCGGCACATCCGAAGAGAAGGGGCTTTTTTCGTCCGACGGTGTCGAGGATGAGCGTGATGAAGCTGTGGATAAAATTGTGAGATTGAAGTCGAGGAATGTTGTGAATGATACGCACATGAAATTGGTAATAGGACCAACGGCGCCGTAGATACCCTGAATCAGGAGCAGCTTCCCGGCTTCAATGCCCAGGGAAGCATACCTAGAACAATGTAGCTGCGGTAAGTACACACCCTCCCCCGACATAATAGTCATAGAAAACGGTACTTACATTCTTGGGCCATAATAGTTGATAACATTTACACCTGTAAACTGCCCGAACACCTGCACCCCAATCGCGACCAAAGACCGCTTCACCGTCCCTGCATCCGCCCACAAATCGCTAACCCTCTTACTTTTCATGAGTAATTCTGCCTTGATGGTGTCGCTCATAGAGAGGAAATCTGCGTCCGCGACGGCCTTGGCTTCGGGAGTAGAGACATCATGCAGTTTGTATATAACTTCGCGCGCCTCGTCGTCCCGGCCTTGTTCAAGGAGCCAACGTGGGCTTTGCGGAAGAAATTGGATACCGACAAGGAGGAGGAACGCTGGCGCCATCTGTGAAAAAATGCGGCGTAAATCTTATGGGGATGAATGCGCGACGACAGGATTGGCTGCTAACCTGAAGGCCTAGAGGAAGTCGCCATTCTGAACTTCCGTCGAGGTATTGGCAGCCGTAGCCGACCCAGTTAGCGACGATGAAACCGATGCCAAGCATCTGTTGAGTCAAGCCGACCAAAAATCCACGAATCTTCGGGGGTGCAACTTCGGTCTACACATGTCGCACAGATTAATGGGATTTAAGGTATACATTGGTAGCGAGACGTACGTTGTAAAGGGGGACGGTCATTGACAGAAGTCTAGGACAAACATGGCACGTTCAGCAATACTATGTCGATATGCCATTATGCAGGTAAGTGCGCTTACCCAATCGCTAGGCCTCCAACTACACGCCCTACGAACAGCGTCGCGATGTTACGCGCTCCAGTCTGCATCGCGCATCCCCACAGTGCAATCACTGCGCCGATCTACGGCAATAATTAACCTTGCAAGCACTCTTTTAGAACAATACAAGCTCGTACCTGAATGGCTATCTTTCTACCAAGCCTGTCACTTATCCTGTACGCGCATTCTCTCAGCGACTGTCTGTAGCTGAAAAGCACCAGTGACGAGAACGCACCAACCGCCGGCCATAGAGCCGAAGAAACATCCGCCCGTGAACGTTGAGACGATTGCTCCCGTTAGTGCGGGGCTTGGATTGTCGAAATCGCCCAGGAAGGTGTTGAATGTAAGCACCGAAGAGATGATGCCACTGAACGAGAATTCGCCCGTCAGCATCTCCGTATTGGATATAGAGCAGAAGGGCTTGAGTGTTGCTCACCTATCATATCTGAGAAACGGGGATGTAAGGGGAAGACGTAGTTCAGGATGGCGACGAATTAAGGTTGAGGATGTGAAAAATACCCACCCGAACAAGAACGATCCTATGGCCCGGCAGAAAGAATGAGTTGCCGCGCAACATCAAGGTCCGAAGACAATAAATGAGCAGGACGCTGGCTTACCGATGGAACAGAATGTCGCGACGAAGATATTGAAGGCTAACCCCATCTGCTTCGTAACTCGTTGAACGTCGACCTCAAATCCAACGAACCAAACTGCGTGGATGCTTGTTCTTGATCGTCAGTTAAGCTCGAAGAAGTCGGGCGAATGGTAGAACCTGTGAAGGTGTCAAGCAAACAGAGTATTTCTCGAGTGAGTTATGGTAAGTTACCAGTGGGACGCCCTCTGATAGACCCACCATCGTTTTATACGTCTTCGCACGAACTATTCCGTTACGGTCTGGGACGTGCTCCGGAGAAACTACGGGTCTCATTGTCGAGGTCATTCGGTTCATGTCGTGAGCTCTGGTCGATGAAAAGGTGGTCGTAGTGGTCATGAGGCTGATGGTGAGCGTGGATCCGACTCTTTATAATAGACACCGAGCGGGCCGGAGAGCTTGCAAGCGCGGACTTGAAGCAAAGGAGCAGGATTGACTATCCTGAGGAGGAAAATGTTTGGTACCTTTCGAGTTTAGAGGATAGACGGTGTGAATAGAACGAAGACGAAGAAGTGCGGGGAAATAGGAAAGAAGCGTTGTGGGGAAGAGGAGAACGACGATTGCACTCTGGGGAAGAGTCTTCGGATCCGATCTCAGATATCATCGTTCACAACCACGAGGTCCGTTCCATGAATGTGGGACATTTTCTATGGCCAGGCCGACCTCAGACAGCCTCAAGGGTTTCTGGCACTCAGAAAGCCTGCGTATCCGGCCCTGCGGCCTTGAGCGCTCCTTAGCGTTCCGGACTCTACGCTCTCGGCATGGCCATCTTCATCCAGTTGTGTGAGGCATGTAGACTCCGTAGAGCCAAGAAATAATATCAGCCTGTTGATACAATTGGGGAAACTTCGTACTTAACAGACACCAAGAATACATTGTTTATAAACTTCTACGCAGGCCATGAGACCTATGCTCATTCTGCAGGGTGAGCGGGTCTCATGATCACAGCACATGATAGGGATTGTTCAAGAATCGGAAGGCGCTGAGCTGTCGGGTTCGGGTTCTGCAGCGGGCTCGGGGAAGTACAGTGGAAGCAGCTCCCTATAAATGGGGACCACCAAGTCAATTGTGAGGGACGCGGCGAGCATGGAGACGTGAGCAGAAAGTAACACTCACTCATATGTCTCTCTATCCTTATCACTGAACACGACGAAGACGACTCTTTCGAACTGAGATGAGTAACGCAATTTGTCAGTATTGTTGACAGTCATTGTTTGAGAACAAATGCAGAAAAAGACTGACCTCCTTGCCTTCATCCGAATCAAGGAACGTCCGCGTCTCCCTCAATGCAATGTGTGTGGCGCTATCTATCGGATAGCCGTATATCCCAGTGGATATTGATGGGAATGCCTATGTAGATACAACGCCGTGTCACCAACGAAGTTTCCAGATAAGTGGATCTTCGTAAAGAAGCTGGAGGTGGAAGAGCATTCCCAATGCTTACGATCTGCTTCAATCCATTCTGAACGGCCAGTTTCAAGCTCTTTGAGTAGCATGAAGAGAGCTCCTCAGCGCATTGCTCGTCCTCGTCCTCGTCGTAGATGGGACCGACGGTGTGAATGACGTGTTTTCTGCAGCAGGTCAGTTCCAATTTCGAATGAGTATGTGAGCAGACATGCAGTCGGAAGAGGATGGTGCAGTAAGTAATATAGCTCACGAGGGTAGGTCGTAGCCTTTAGTGATCTTGGCGTCACCGGTTTCGCATCCGTTCAAAGTACGACCTGAAAAACAAAGTTATAAGGTCAATGTCCACTCGAACAACAGAAATGTGGATATCTTACATTCTTCAAGGAGCTCCTTCCCCGCCGCCCGGTGGATGGCACCGTCGACTGCGATTGGGCTGCGTTAATTTAACTTGACCGGCTGTGTAGTAAAAGTGGATATTCGACATACCACCGCCACCACCTAGAATCGAAGCATAACGCACACAAATGAGCACATCTATGGACCGATATGTTAACGGTACTGAAGCTTGGGATACTGACCGAGCAAACTTCTATTTGCCGCATTGACGATTGAATGCAGTTCAACTTTCGTTATATCGCCTTGACTATGTCGGCCAATAACTGTCAGCTATCAGTCACACTACCTGAGATCGCTTGCCTCCACTCAAGATATGTACCGCCGAAAAGGGGCGTACATGAAAGCAAGTCGGGACCCATACGTACTAAAGTGCCACCCGATCCAATAATCCCGCAGCAGCAGGAAACTTGGGCGTCGACAAAGGCTTTTTCAGTACGGAGCGAGCGTAGAGTTCGCGCAGAGTTGGGAGTTGAGCGAGACTCAGTATCGTTCGGGACATCTCAGACATCAGAGTCAGATCTCAGATCTGTGAAGAGTGTGGGTGGTGGCGTGGAAGAAGGCCGAGTTCGAGTTTGTCAATGTGTCAGAGCCCGATATGGATCCGACGGCAGATTCCGGCGTGTCGCCTTAGATGGTGTGGCGCCTGTACATATTAATTTTACGGACATCTACTCCTCGTCGGTGGCCTACTTTTCGAGAGCATTTGGAGAGTGTATATAGTCCCATGAAACTAAGGACAGTGTAACCCGTATGTGCCTTACTATCCATCAGTGCAGTGTAAAAGTTAGGTCTCGTTCGTTGACTGTGGTACTATCGCTATACTTATCATGGTAAGCGCTTTGCTTCTCAATTTATTTCTCCCTCATTCATACACAAGCTGACATATGTTCTTTATGGTTGAGGGGACGGCAGAGGCGACTTACAATGGTCAGAAGGTGTCCTTAAGCTGTACAGACCATACCAACCGAGCTCTGACACGCGCGTTCCCTCGCGTTCCGCGTCCTGGTCCGTGCGCACCCTTCCATCCTTCATAACCGCGCCTTCGACATCTGGAAAAGGCATACTTACCTTGATGGGATATTCCCCTTCATGTACCTGGGAGTGTCGGCCGTTGGGTTCTTCCATTGCACGGCGACCTTGTCCCCAGAGGAACCTGGCGGTTTGTACGGCCCTATGGGTCGTGCACCGTCTCAATATTTTCCTGTCCCGCTCCGGCCCTCGGGCTGGGCGGGCCATTCTTTTGTCGTTTAATTAGGCTAACCCTAACCCCAAATATACTATATCAATCATCATTTTGTGTGAAACTGAGACGAGAAGGGAAACATCTCTCCTAAACCTAAGAATGAGAAATGTTCGAATTCTGTGATGAAACGTCACAGTCGCCGACCACCATCACCTTCACGTTTGCCACTTCGCCACCGTCGCGTACGTTCCAGCTTCACGAATTAATCTCACTACTTTCCATCTAATATCTGCGACGCCATGGAGGAAAGCATCAGCTTGGAGGAAACGAACAAGATTCGTATCTCGCTCGGTCTCAAGCCTCTAACAGACGACAAAGCGCCCGCGGACGACAAGGACAAACAGGCTGAGGACAATTATGCTGCTCAGCGCGACAAGGAGGCGAAGGACAGGACGGCAAAGTAAGTCCTTCCCGTTTCCATCTTCTCTGTATAAGTTATAATGATTGTTTGTCGCGCCTTGCGTATTTAGGAAGATCAAGGACCAGATAGCCAAGTGAGTGCCACTTTCCTTCTGTACCCCCTCTTTTGTTTTGGTCTATCAGCGGTTGCTTCTACCACTTGTTCTGGGCTTTCAGGATGCCCAGACAACGCCAAATACGACCACAATCATGCGTGCTTGAAGGAACCTAGTGCTCATGGAACCCGTCCTTCGTGTGTAGGGTGAGGAATAAGAAGGAGCTCAATTCGTCGCTCAAGGGAGCCACACTTGGTGACGCCGATGCGGACACAGACGATACCCTGAAATGGCTGAAGAAGTCGAAGAAACGGGAGAAGGAGCTCGCGAGGAAGAGGCAGGCTGAGTTGGAGAGCATGGACAAGATCTTCCAGGGTGATGATTACACTGAGAGTGAGTCATTCGCTGTTCCAAAAGGTTGTGTTTTGGTAGACGCTGATGCCTTATACCGGTGCACTCTACTTGTAATATAAGAGGACCTGGAGGGGCTTAAGGTCAGCCATGACTTCGAGGGTATGGACGAGGGAGAGGCACGGATACTTACGCTCAAAGATAGTCGGATTTTGGATAATGAAGGTAGGGTCTTTTTCTCTTATGCTCTCCGATCGCCTAAATAATATTGTCCTTCGTGTTCGTTTTTCTCAAGAGGATGAGCTGCAAAACGTTGAGATGGCAGAAGAAGAAAAGACGAAGGAGCGCAACGAGACGAAGATCAAGCGGCGGGACTACACTGGGTACGACGACGAAGAATTCGTTGCTGGGAGAGAAGGTATGAAGAGGGCTGTCTTGTCTAAATACGACGAGTTTTTGGAGGGTCCGAAGGATACGGTCAGTCCTCTCCTGATCGTATTTTCGTCATGGATAGTGCTGAGTATCGTTCTACGTGTCGGGTGGTGGCATAGGCATTTCGCTTGGGAGCTTCAGCGCCATCAGGCAGCAAAGCCGCCCGTCTTGAAAAAGAACAAGCTGCCGCGTCCGTCAACAAGTCATTGCTTTCGATTGACTACGCAAGTAAGTCAATGTTTCTGCCACCCAGTATAGATCATCTTATCAACTGAATACTCACTTCGTATCGTAGAAAATCTCGAAATCGTAGACTACATTCAGCCAGGCGATATTGGCTTCAAAAAACCCAAGGTCGGTCCCGATACCTTTCGTTTCTTAATAAGAATCATTGTACTTACGGTGAATCACTGTCCTGTAGACCAAGAAGAAACGTCCATCACGCCGCGTTGCCGATGAATACGATATACCGCCCACAAACGGTGAAGACAGTAACGCCATGGACGTGGATCAGAAGCCTATTCCCGTGCAACGCGATCTGGATGCGAATTTCGTGGACGACGATGAACTGCAAGCCGCGCTCGCACGTACGAGAAGGTCAAAGATCAAGACAAAGAAACTCTCGCCGGAAGAAGTCGCGAAGAAAGGTCAGTCATTTCCAATCTCACTTTCTCCAGTCCCAATACTAATTTTCGACGTCCATATCGTTTAGTGGCAGAGGAGAGGGCCCGCGCAGAAGAAGATGCCGCGAACGCAATGAAGATTGAGGACGAAGCATCCGGCGCCAATATCGACGATGACGACGATTCAGGCGAAGGCGGTCTTGTCTTCGATGATACCTCAGAATTTGTCCGTGCGATCACCCATAACCCCGTACCCGTCAAACAGGAACCCAAGGAATCAAGCCCCACACGTACCCCCGCACCGACTGAGCCCACACCCAGAGACGAGCCCATGGAGATCGTGCAGGAGATCGAGGCGGGTGAAGTCGTAGTGAAGGAGGAGGACGAAGAGGACGCTGAGGCGATGTTGAACGCGATCGAGAGCGCGATTAAGCATACCGAGGCCGAGGAACGCAAGGCCGGTATTGCAGCGGAGGATGTGGCCGTGGGGACGTCGACGGAGCAGACGTTCAACTCTGGTATGGCCTCCACGCTCAATATTCTTCGTCAACAGGGCATCCTCGCCACGCCGAGTGCAGACCAGACCGAACGGGAGAAGATTCAGTTACAGCGCGATTTGTGGCTTGCGGATCAGCGGCGTCGTGTCGCTGAGAGAGAGATCGAGAAATTGCGCTCTCGGGGGTCGAATAAGGATCAGGCGCAGCGAGAGTACGAGAACCGGTTGCGCGAACAGCAGGAGGCGCGGGCTAACCTGGAAGCGTTCAAGAACTACAAGCCCGATGTGAATATCGTGTATTATGACGAGTTCGGGAGGCAGCTGGGTCCGAAGGAGGCGTGGAAGGCCTTGAGTCATAAGTTCCACGGGAAGGGTAGCGGAAAGATGAAGACGGAGAAGAGGCTGAAGAAGATCGAGGAGGAGAAGAAAAAGGAGGCGATGAGCAGTGGGGATACGCCGTTGAGTATGAGCAAGGCGTTCCAGATGAGGCAGGAGAAGACTGGACAAGCTCATTTCGTCCTTTCGGTTGGAAACAGAGGGTACGTACTTGCGTTTAACCTTCCTCGTACATAGACCTCAGGATTCTTGTGCTAACGATTGATTTCGTTGCCTAGCGCCGTTCCACAGGCGACAGAGTTCCTCGACCCCCAGCCCCTGTCCAAAGGCAAAACTGAGAAGTCGAAATCCAAGGCCAAGTCCAACAAAGACTCCAAAGCCGCAACCTCACAGACCCTCGATGGTGGCTTCATCACTTTGCCCGCTCCCCACATATCGCACAACACTCATTCGGCTTCCCCTGCCCTTGGAAGCGAGACGGGGTCTCCGGCGCCGAAGCCTGGGTTTGCCAGGATTGGAGGCGGCGGTGGGTTCAACGAAGTTGGCAATGGCAGTGGTAGTGGTGTGGGGACGCCCGTTCCAGGTCAGGGAGATCGGACTAGGGTTACGTTCGGGTTGAAGAGGAAGGCTGGGGAGGATGCGGGTGGGACGCCACCGAGCAAGTCGCAGAGGTATCAGTGATTATGCTGCTTTCGTCTGACTGTTCAGCTCAGTCGAAAGGCTCTACGTGGCACTGCTGCTGCTGCTGCTATCTGGAGTTCGGCAGGTCTTTTGTATTGACGCACTGGTACGAGCCTGGACTTGTATGGGACATCTCTATCTATGAAAACTTTTTAATGTCCCAGTGACATCTCTGTCCCTTGTTTAGTCTGCACTGGCAAGCTGGGTCCTCTTCGACGTCTCCCGCTGGCGCCACAAACACAATACTGTGGGAACTCTTCGGCACCGAAATAGCGAGTCAGTTCGTCCAGGTTCGTCCCAAATAGACGCCCTCGTCAGCTCTGCGCTTTCATCTGGTCCCTCACTGGCACGACGAATCTCTATCTCATCCTAGCAGAGATTTTGACAGTATGGACGTGTCCTGGATGTATCTGACATGTAGTGGCCCAGCAGGTTTGTTTGAGGCAATGCCTCCTATACCTGACGAGATCATTGGCATGATACTCACGGAGGTGCGTCTGCTGTATCCGATACAGTTGGCTTCAAACAGAACGTCATGCTGGTACCTTTATTCAGTTACGTCACTTATCGTGCCCGGCCCTTCTCCGCGCCGCACTTGCGAATCGCCAATTCTACGAGCTTTCTCAACGCCACATATGGAGGCACCTCATAATTAAGACCCCTTGGCCCATGGAACGAATACAGGGTTGCCTGTCCATGTTCCGGTTCGTAAAAACTATGAAGGTTCAAAGTAAATCGCATGGTAGAGTGGACCATCAGAAGACACAGGAAGTGGTGAACTCAATTTCACAATTTCTGCGAGAACACGGGAGTCATTTCAGCCTCGAGTCTTTCCGGTGAGCTATGTTCCTACGATTTGTCTGCAAGTGAACATATACTGAAGCCGCTTCGTTGACTTTTCTCAATCAGGTGGGACTCACTCATATCGCTTCCATCTGCATTTGTCGAATTGCTGTTGGAACTCTATCCTACATGTCAAATCCATATTGGCCACTATAGCGGGTACCCCATGCCACGTAGTATCCCAATCCCAAACCTCAATCTTACCTCACTCGATGTATACAAGCAAGTGCGCCCCAGCACCACAACCGAGCCTCTCCCCATTGTCCTCGACTTGATGCTCCAGTCCGCGACCCTCCGTCGTCTGAAACTGCATATGCTAAGGGAGCAATCGATGAATGCCAACCCCAATCAACCTACCCACTCCTTTCCGTTCCGTTCGCATCTCCGCTCTAATTCATTTTCAACTTCCGAGACAAGTCCACATGTGGAACGCACACCGGCCTTGGAGACACTCGAATCGTGGGGATACGAGTTCTGTGACGATGACATCGAATACTGGGCAGACAGGTTCATTTGGAGCCGTTTGCGGACGCTCAAGCTGTTTCGGGCATCGATGGTCTCCGCATTGGCCTCGGGTTTCCTCGTTCACACCGCGCAGAAGATGACCTCCCTCACAGTCTTGGATATGTCAATACCTCCCGTCGCTCCGGTAGGATCTTCTCCATCCATTGCGACCCAGGACACAGACCGAGCCTCGTTGTCTGCCGCCATTATTGCTGTTCGAGCTACATTGATGAATTTAACGTTGACCGGCGACTATCGTCCTCATCTGCACGCAATTGCGGAGTGTCAAGAGTTGAGGAGGTTGAGCTTGCACATGTTGGAGGGCGAAGAGAGAATGATGATGACGAAGAATGATTTAATGCTAGTTGGGAGGGGATGTGCGAAGCTGGAGGAGGTATGCGTCGATCTGGACCCGGAGGTTCGCGTAGGGACGGATATTAATCGTTACAGCGAGCAACAGGTTCGTGCTACCGTCTGAGTCTTCTTCATTGCGCTCATATTCGAATAACAGGACAATGACCATATATCGTCGAGCCGCATAGTCTGGGTGCGTTTCTGTCATTGTACAAACAGCTCGCACCCCCTCGCCTCTCTGACCACCAATCATAATACCGTCAGCCACAAGAGTTTATCTCCATGTTCGGACATCGCGCCCCGCCTGCATCCGACCCCATCTCGCTCCCATTCCCTCACCTGCGGGCCGTCACGTTCTTCGCCCTCGGTCCATCCAAATACCTGACAGCCTTAAGGCCACACGGACAAGTATCCATGGCTGAGCTCGTGGAATTGAAGAAGAAGGAAGATCAGCGTCGACAATTTCGCGACATCGCATATTCACTCTTCACGTTTCGGGATACGGCAGGGGGCAGCGACTCTTTCTTGACGGGTGCTCCTCCTTCCCAGACTGTCGCAGGGTTTGAATCCGCTATACGGCCACAGACATTGACGTTGGCCGTGGTAACTATCAAGCAGGGAGAGTTCGCCCGGAACACTATATTCGGGGGTGACGTCCCGGCTCAGTCATACATGGCTACAATACAGGTGCGATTTCAGGAGGGCCAAGACCGGAATGATTATGTGTTCAGGTGGGAGGAATTTCTATAACTTCGATGCGCATAAGCCCTCCTGCCCATAGGAGCATAACGGGTTGTAGTGATCACAAGGGGATAGAAGCTTTGTCTGACATTCAAGGCTATTGAGGTAGGCCTTGCGTTGCGCTGTATTTCAGAACGCATCGGATACTTTGTAATGGTCATGATCACTACTATCGGTTGATTAAGCTGCTTCACTGACATGTACAATCCGTCTGCCTTGGACAATTTCCATATCTCGCAGTACGCCCTCGGAGGAGTTCCAATTATCCTTATATCCAGGTGGCCTACAAGGGCGGCGTGTCTGCAAATAACGTCTCCGCCATTCCGGGCGGATACCTCAGTCCACCCTGACTCGCATCGCTCGCCTTCGCCACCCGGGTAACCTCCTCGACATCCTCCTTCGACAGTTTGATCTTTACCGCGTCCAAGTTCTCTTCAAGGTACTACACAATGATATAATACCAAAGGAAAATCAGTCAGAGCATAGATTACGACATTTTCCCGACCAAGAGACCTCGAGCTCATACGCACCTTGACTTTCTTTGTGCCTGGAATCGGCAGTACATCTTCTCCTTGAGCCAGCAACCACGCCAACGCTACTTGCCCCGCCGTCGCATTGTATTTCGCGCCAACTCTCTTCAAATTGTCTGCGAGTGCTAGAATATTCGGGAAGTTTTCTTTTGAATAACGAGGGACAAAACGGCGGAAGTCGTCTTCAGCGAAGTCGTCTGGGGATTTCTGGGTAGATGCGACACATTTGTTCGAACATCAGTATACATGAAGACATAGAACCACGGAAAAACGAAGGGCCGTACGCACGTATTGTCCAGTCAATAAGCCTCTGCCCAACGGGCTATACGCGATAACTGCTACTCCCAACTCCCTCGCTGTCTTCAACAATCCGATCTTCTCGTCCATGATATCTAGCGTGAATGGACTGAACTCAACCTGGACGGCCGCGATAGGATGTACTGCATGTGCGCGACGAAGAGTCTCCGAGTTCACCTCCGAGAGACCGAGATATCTGACTTTACCGGCTTTCACGAGTTCGGCCATCGCACCCACGGTTTTCTCGATAGGTACGGTGGGATCAGCACTATCGGATAATAAGTGCATCGTTATGGTCAATAGTATACGGTGACACTCAAAGGGAAGGTAGGCGAAAGCAAAAGGTGGCTTACCGGTGAAGATAATAAAGATCGATCTGGTCGACCCCAAGCCTCTTCAATGAGGTCTCACATGCTTCAGGGACATATTCCGGACGGCCGTCGACACCCTTCTTGTGTGGCGAGAAAAAGCCGAATTTAGTGGCAAGAAAGATCTCCTTGCGTTTTCCTGTTTCTTTGAACCTGCGGACGCATGAGTTAGAAAGACATTAATAGGCATCGTTGTGGCGTGAAGAATGAGTAAGTAAACCTTGAGAACGAAATAGATGACGAACCATTTCCCGATGAGGTCCTCAGAGTCCTTATAAATGTCTGCAGTGTCCCAGAAAGTGCAGCCCCGATTGTACACCTCTGTCAAGAACTATATGCTCGAATGAACCCAGTTTGATGCAAGTCAGGTCGTGCATTACGAGAATGTCATGCGTCTGCGAACAGTAGCACCGTCACTGACCTTGATACGCTCTTCATCCGACTCGGTTTCTCCATAAAATGCTGATATACCCATCGCCCCATAACCGATGGCGGACACTTGGTCGCTACCGATCTTGCGAGTAGGGTAGGAAGTCATGGTTGTCTGTAGTATCCGAATATCTGTGGTGGTGGTAGAGTAGATCGAGAGAGTCTGGAGAAGCCGGAATACAGGTGGGTTTAAGACAGGCGGGTTTATATGTACGCCAATGAAGCAGTCTGACCCACCGTGAATCAACGTGAATAATCAGCGGGCGCGGTGGATCAGGGTAGATCAGGGTGGATCAATCCCATCTTCGATCTGTGAGCGCTCGAGTGACGTCGTAAACTGTGTTGAAAGGAGCTGGTTCCTTCTATTGTAGGGTACAACCTCGGCGATCACGGTCGATAGATTGGGAGAAATCAACACCGCGCCAAAACGTAAAGTATATCAGACTTATGGTCTAAAGCCTACTCCAGCTTACCGGTCGTTGAGCAGAAATGCCAGGCAATGTATATGGCTGCTGAGAACTTCTGGTACGCATGTGGCACCAACTTTGCTCAGGGCTCACCTCAGCCCTCCCAGCGCACGGTGTCTATGGGAACACGTCCTGTACTAACGATCGATACACCATCCAACTTGAACAAGAAGTGCCGATTCTTCCGAGCGCTTGCGCTTCGACGTCAGCGAGCAAAATAAGATCATGTAGATGGGATTCCCTGCTACATTAGTAATCAGCCGCTCGGGCGCATTTGGCCATCGAAATTGTCTGTGCAGAAAGTGGATTGTTGTTCCATGTTGTATTGTCGAGGCTCCGGACTCGATCTGAAGGCTCGGCTGTGCTCTTACCTGGAGTAATACCTAGTAATACTCATCAATAATCACAGGTCATCAGAAGATCCAAAGGACAGCAATCAATATACATCTTGTTACAGTTATAATCGAGAGAAGGCACCTGATAACCCAGACCGAGAACCCAGAACAGAAATAGCCACTCACATCTGGCTGCATATTCGGAAGCGAGACTGTCGCAGCATTACAATCTGATAACACTCCACTCCATGAAATAGAACCTCAGGTCCCTCATCTCCTCCACCTCCCTCCTGTATTCGTCCCTAACCACTTCCTCTAGTTTCGCCTCCACTTTGACATTCCCTACCCCAAAGATACTCTCCCAAAGCTCCTTCCAACTCTCTGGCGAATGGCAAAACATCGCCACCCCTTTCCCATCACTGCTGCTAATGGGTTTGTGCCTCAGCCCTTTCTCACCAGGCTTCGCGCCATGTTTTCCAAAGATCATCGACCCAGGAGTGGAAGAGAGAAGAGAAGCAAGACATTGAGCAAGATGGAGTTGCTGAGGTTCATTGAACAGATGGAAGAAGAAAGACGCGTAGATCGCGGTGGTGTGCTGAATGAGGGGGTTCAGAGACGTGAGAGACGTAAGATCGAGATACTCAGTAGGGGCTGAGTTGGACGCCAGGAAAGACGGGTCCATTACGTCGCCTGGGACGAAATGAGCAGGAAAAGAGGAGGGAGAGTCGTTGAATAGTTTGTAGCCTAGCTCCCAGAATTCTGTGACGAGGTCAATATGTCAGAATCATGTACGAAGTTAACCGAGCAGCTTCACTCACTCGGCACCAGATCCGAGGCAACAATATTTTGCGCCGGCCAACCATCCACTGCGGGTTTCCTCGCATCGTTCCCAACTATACGAGGTATATACCATACATCATGAAGGTGAATGACCAATGCTTCATCCCAGGACGGAGAACATATCACGTACACGCACACCCAATATCAAGGAAAATGGCGTCCTTCTTATTCTTCCCGAGCTTGAGGAAGTCCTCATATGCGGAATGGCGCGATATGTTTAGCCTAAAACCCAGAGATATAACAGAAACAAGGAAAAAGACGCATCAACAAGATTGTTCGGTAGCGAGGGCTCGCTGAGATAGATCTTAAATATTACATACCTCGTGAAGTTGAACCTTCGTATACAGGGGTATGGATCTGAACAAATACACTAATATCAGCATCATGGCTACGGAACGGTTCCACATCTATGGAAGCAGACAGAGACGACTTACAGACCACATACGCTTCCCTAGCTACCGACATGACATACTCTTTCAACGCCGCATCATCCTGTATACCTGTGCGTTCCTTGAGGAAGCGACTGTCTTCCTCGTCCATTCCGTAGAAGGTGTCATCCAGCGCAAATTTATGATGATAGTGGGGCAGGGTGTTTCTGGCTGGATCCATGGCTGTCACTGGTTATGCACCTTTGTGGCGGGGGAGGTAGAGCTAAAGGAGGAGACAAGCGTTAAGAGAGTGGGGGATAAGCACAAGTCAGGCGAATTGGGCACGGTTCAAATAGGCTACCACCATTAAGTACCTGTGAACATGGGTCTACGGGTGCCCGAGTGGTATTCTTGTCACCAGTCCATAAAATTAGAATAAGGTAAGAAGGTGGCCTATTCAAAGATGGCTAAATTTGCGAGAACCTCTCACAAACCCTCGACAAAAATATCTCGACCGTTTGATCTGGAGAACAGGTACTGGTGTTGAGAGCGAACTTTGACTGGTCCCGTGGCCGATGAGACCACCCACTGCACTAATACCCCCATGAGTGACAATGGGTCCTCCAAGTTGGCACCAATAGTAGGTATATATACGAGAAATGTGTTCGACAGTCTACAAGACGTCAGGATGGATGCAGAGTCGTTTGTACCTACCGAGCGAGGATCAGTAACGACAGTCAAGGCAGATGTGTGCTCAAAAGGAGAAGAGAAGGGCGTGGGACATACATATTCCTCAAAGTGATGCAACACTTCTCTCAATTGCTTCCTTGTGATTTCAGCGCGGAAGAGGATCTCATCGTCAGTACATTTCCCATCAAAGTACCGGTTAATCCTGTCCAATATGAAAGCTCTGGTAAGCACGCCGGTGAAGTCAAGAGACGAATAGGGGGTGAGTCAACAGACAGAGGTAGGGAAGACGTACTGCTGAAAGCGTCTCGCCACAACGGAGTCCTTCCCTTCCAACATTGCCTCCAACCACTGTCTCTCCTTATACGTTGCTCTCCCAGGATCGACGATGATACTCGACACGCTGTCGTCCTTCTCACCTTCCTTTGTCTCGAACTCTATCTCGCCTATCTCCAGATCAAAGTCCTCGCCCCTCCCAGGTTCGCTCTCTTCCACGTCAACCTCTTCGTCTTCATCCTCATTGTCGAGCTCAAGGTCACCAGTCTCTTCAGCAATGGGCGGTTCAGTGAGGTCAGCGAGAATGGGCCTGGGGTCGAGCCCACTCGAGCCACGACGAGTACTCTGCCGAATTGATTTCGGTGAGAGCGAGAGCCAAGGTGGAGACTGACTCTCTTCAAACAGTTCGTCTCCTAATGTCGACATCTCGTCAGTTTCCTTCTTGTCCTCTTCGTCATCCAGGAGCACCGGCTTCCTCCTCCTCCCTCTCCCGGTGAACGCAGAATATTTGTTCGACTTCTCATCCTCAAATGAAATATACGTGCCCAACTTTCTCCTTATTTCCCTTCTCCTCTTCGCTCCCGCCCTCTTCCTACCCCATTCCTTTCTTACCCTCGCCTTCAGCTCGCTCGGGACGACAACCCTGATTCTTAAGTGAAGCGTCACCAAGAGGTCCTTCTTCAGCATCCACTGCACCACGCTCAAGTATTGCGGAATGCGTTCTTTGGAGCGTACTACGGCCGCATAGAAGTGTTTGGATTGGGCGGAGGAGACCGTGGAAAGCAGCGAAGGGAGAGGGGGGATAGAAGAGTCGGGGAAGGCAGTGCGGAACTCGGACGAAAGCTGTCTGACACTGAGAGGCATATTGTTAGGAGCAAAAAGGAAAACAATACGGATGCAAGCAAGTAGACGCACGGAGCTTCGAATTTGGGACTAACTGTAAACACAGTTTTGAGGCCACGGTGAACGATATCGACGACTTTGGCTCGACGGTGATGCACAAGCCACCTTACGATAGGAAAAACTTGTGACTCCAGATTCCAATCGAGCAAACTTGCCATATCAACAAATCTGTCGAAATGGAATGGGAGGTCAGCGTCGGCCTGCCTGCGCGGTCTGTAGTAAGAAAACATACGAAAGTGTGACATCTGCCATCTCCAAGAATCGCACCAACTGCTCGCCCAGCACCCGATCCTCTTCCTTGACAGCCCCTGACTTCAAACTTGCATAGACCTCCATCCAGTCCTTGCCTTCTGATCCGTCTAAGAGCAACAAACTCTTCCAGGGATCCAAACTCGGCAACCGCCACGCGAAGCTCAACTCCTTCCCCCACCCTCCTCCACTTCCTCTGCCTGTTATACCGCTCATACTGCTATCAAGGCTTATACCATGAGACGACTCGGTTCCCAGATAATTTAGGTCTGCGTCGGTGTCGTCTACGCTATGTAGGAGGGAGTCGATGTAAGGTGGGAGTTGCAGTTCGAGAGTAAGGTTATGGATCGTCAGTTGGGCCAGAGAACGAGACTTGATGCATTCGTAGAGGGTTCTCATGGCGGGAGCGATGGAACAGTTGAGAATGGCTTCGGTTATGAATTGTTCGAATGGTTCGCCTAATGAGTGAAATCAAGAAGCCTTAGATATAACAGTTTGAGGCATGGAAGATCAAACCAACAAACCTCTGGCTGCACAGTCGTCTTTCAGTCTCCCTAACACTTCACATTCCGACTCGACAAAATTCGCCAACACCTGCTCTTGGAACAACACCGCAGTGACCGTGAACGCGATCTGTTCATATATGACGTCGAAGTACTTCGAGATGTTGCCTGATGCAGAAGACGAGGGGTCCGGTAGATCGTGTACGAGCACTAGATGGAAAGAATGCAACCATGAAGACTTCGCGTTCGACGTCTCGGGCACCGGTGATGTATTCCTCCCCAGCTCGGTAGATCCGGACAGGTCTTCGCTTGACATTGTACGCTTCCTCGAACCTCTCCCTCTCGAATAATCCCTTTTCTCGGACTTGAACCTCCATACTCCGTCCGACTCTGCACAGACTGGATGCCCGATGAAACACAAATCGTCCACCACGAGCTCGAACTTTTGGTGGCACAAAGCCGGCTGAGGCGACAATATGTTGGCCAAAAACTCACTTTCATACCCCAAGAAGTCATCGAAGCTGTCCTTCAGCGGTGGATCGTCAGCCCCGTCATCCATCGTACCCGTGAACCCTCCTCCATCTTTTACGGGCGATGTCCGTCCGGAATGCGCGTGGTGGGAGGAAGACTGGTGCGAAAATGAGATGGAGCGGTCGCGAGCGTTCTGGTGAGGCCGTTGCCATATGTAATCCCATTCATCTTTGGCTTCGGGCAAATTGAAAGGAACATTCGACTGTGATCCATCGGGCATGTTAGATGCGCGCCAGGGATTATCGAAACGGTTAGCATGGTTATTGTAATTGGGCCGAGGACGAGAAAGACGAGGAGATGATTGGGGAGCGGGCGGCCAGCGACAGACTAGGTGGCTTCCTCTTGCCGATGAGGTTACTAACACGATGGCTAGCAATGTCTCAGCCATTACAACCTCAAAACTTGATGTTAAAATCTGTGCCCCACGACGTGAACATGTTATAGAAGTGAGCGACGGAGCGAGGAGCCATACCGAATGTGATAGAGGAAAATTCCAGGACAAGGCTTCACGACTTACATACTGTACAAGTCGAACCGGTTACGCTCAGATCCAAGTGAAAGCGACTGGTACGTTCGTCAGAATGATCAGGATCGAAAAGAATTCTGGATGGCTGCAGGCGCTGGCAGTAGCCTGCAGTAGCAAGGATGATTGATGTTACAGTCTAGGGTGTTGTGGCACCGCGGGATTTCGAATTGTATGGTCATCTTTACCTGTTGCCACACACTCGAATGCAGTGACTGTAGCGGCTGGGATCGAATAAACCAGACTAATCATTCTTGATTGACGGAGACAGCATGGATAGCAGTAGGTAGTGTAAGTGATGTATACCAAGAAGAGTGTTACATAAATAATCGGTACTGAAGAAAGATCGAGCACTCAACCCAAATCCAACGCTCGCGTACTCTCCCATGCCATGGTGCGTTTACGATCACTCGTTATTTTCTGGCTGACACCAACTAGGCAGTATCTGTGCCTCACCGTCAAATTGTCCCTCTGCCATAGCCTTCTTTACATCCTCTTCGAACCACGCTAACCTCTGCAGCGCTTGATCCCTCCCTTGCATACCCATCGCCGAGTTCTCCCATATCTTCGCCTTACGCATCGTGTTGTGGGCTTTGCGAATACGTTCCATGATGGGAAGGGAGACTTTGAGCGGGATACCGGTACGCCAGTAGATGTCGATACCACAGTTGAGGTACCCTGGTGCGATGAGGTGAGAGTTAGTGATCGTGGTCGCATGTAAGTGTGTGCAGAACGGAATGGTGAGAGTGGGGGCTTACAAACGTGCGCTTCATCGTCTTCCGGGAACTTGTCCGCAGCCTCAAAATACGCTTTGGCAGACTCTTGGAAAGACTTCATGAATGTGGTCTCGATCTCTTCCCGTGTGCTAGCATTGCCAAATTGACCAACACGAGGAGCCCAGTTCTTGACGAAGCCGATCATCCTAGACATCAAAATCAACAAAATATGCCGGAGAACGGAGACACGAGAGCAAGTACGGTTGATACAGGGGTACAAATGTGACTTACGCCAGTGCATGCCCCTCAACGTACGACCAAAAAGCCAGAGCGAAGCCAGGGATTTCGCGCTTCATCTCTTCCGTACAAGGATGAGCTCTGACTTCTGCTAGTATATCTTCCGCCTCTTTCAGAAGGTCATCAAGTGTAAATTTCTTGGATTTTTTGTTAGTCATCCAGGCCTGGCCATCGCATAGACATATCGTCAGTCAGGTATCAAACAATCTTGAGAATCAGCGATTTAGCACATGGAAATACAACATACCTCCATGTACGCCTCTAGGCGTAGGTCTCTCACACCTCTCATAAACGAATCCTCAAAGATGGTTCCTCTGTCGTCCTTCGGAACATCCTTCCAGTGCTCCCTTCCCCATCTCAGGATGGCGAGGGCTTGATCGTACCGTTCGACTGCTAACTCGTGCTTACGTTGAAGACCAGCCTCCACATTAGCCAGCATGATGATGCTCCTATTAGGTTGTAACAAGACAGGCGATCATGAGCTGGCGAGCTTCAGGGTGATGTTGGAAAACGAACCTGACTGCGACGCTGGCGCATGGCCGAGCTACATCAAAGCCTCCCTCATCGAACCTCTGACGAATTCCGTCTATGATACTCTCGGTGCTGCCTCTGACGTTTGGACCGTTCACCCTGCCCGTCTCCATAGACACTTTCGCATATTGTTAGAAGATAGCAATGTGAGACAGACGAATGAGGGCGCACTCTGGTCATTATACTTCTGAACCCACTCCATACTTTCGAGACGGAAGACACGCCTATCCATCATGACGGCATTGCTCAGTGATTCGATAGCCTGCCGACCAGATGAGGATGGGAGAGACGGTTACAATAGGTGAGAGTGTATATCGAGTTGTTTGTGGGACATACCCCGGTCACGCCGAAGTACATTGGACCCATGGGACTCGGGACCTTCCTCAGGCTGTTCATTATCTGATTTGCTTGCTGGAAGCACTATACGAAAGCACTTAACAAAGTTTCCTAGGTCGGCCAAACAAAGACACCCAACGCACCATTTCAGCTTCGCCAATGAGATACGCCTACGGGCGATATAGGTAACACATCATCCACCACGTGCATGAGTTTCGCGCGCTATCTACAAGGTATGAAAGGGACTTACGCTGCTAAAATAATTCTCTTTCAGCCTCAGAGTCGGGATCAACTCGTTCGCCACCACCCACGGCATTCTCTGCGTGTTGGTGTTCATACGGATGTATGGCTCTTCAGCAGTAGGTTGCTGCCGAGGTCTGTTTCTCGCGGCTTCCAGGTTCTGCTGCTTGATCGCGACTGCATCGCGAGCGGCCTCGTATTGCTTCTTTTGTGTGAGCTCTGTAGGTGTCGGAGACTCTTTTGGAAGTGTATCGATGGCGCGTTGGTACGATTTTATGGCGTTGGGGTAGAGATCAAGGGCCTGTCATAGGGCGCGAAGTTGAGACACAGCAATGTCAAAGATAAATATCGACCCGACTCACGTCCTGAGCAGCGGCAAGACGATTCCAAGCTTTCGAGTAGGCGGGGTCCAATTCTGTTGCCTGTCATCCGTGCGGAACGCGTGAGTACCGAGGCTAGCCAGGTATATGACAACACGCGAAGATTACCTTCTCTGAGTCGGTGATCGCCTCTTTATATCTTCAAGGGCGATTCTCGACATCAGAACCAAGTACTCTAGCCCTGTATTTTCGCACAAGTGATAGACTCTTGGACCACTCACTGTTGTAAGTTTAGGTGGCACGCAGCCCTGTTGGAGTATAAAACTGCGTTATTTCCATCCACATCGATGGCTTCGCCGTACTTCTGAATAGCTTGCTTGAAATCCTTCTTCGCGAACAAGGCGTTGCCCTCTGCTTTCAACTGGGCAGCTTTGTTGGTGGGCGTAGACATTGTGCCAGAAGTTGTGCTAAATAAACCTTAGGCTGAGGAGAAAGGTAGGAGGCGAAGATTGAAGGACTAGGGACTGAGGACAGCAGAGGACAAAGATGAGGGTGGAGAGAAGAAACCCCGTTGTCGTGATCGCTCAACACGGTGACCTCGCGGCGAACTGACATACGGCATGTCTTTGGTCTTGTGGCAAAGAGGTAAAGGGGTTTCGGGTAACTCCGAGAAAGTTCCTCTCGCGACGCGTCGTGCCTTGGTCGTGCCAGCGCGATGGATGCGAGATACTTACTAGAGAACAAAACAGCGGCAAATACATGCACTCTTCATAAGTAATTATTGGAGATTATGGATTCAATTTGGCACCAATGTGTAGTACCGTAGAGTACGAGTCAACAAACGATTATAAACAAGCCCGATCACTGGAAGAGTCCTGACTTTGCCAATATGTTCTTCCACGATGTAATGCAATATTCGACGAGAGCTATACCATGCGAGACCCAAAAAGAAAATGCAAACGTTCCACCAAGTACGTCTTAGAGCTTCTGTCAACAGAAGACGAATCTGAACGCGAAGGAGAGATCGGAACGCATAACGAAGCAGTGGTACGAGTATCCGGTACGATATCTGTGATAAACAATTGGCAACGCCAACATTAAGCTATGTCTTCGCAAGATATCTTCACTAAATAGAGCTCACCAGAAGGAATGTGATCCACCCGAGAATCCAGATTCGATACAACAATTCTACCACTGTCTTTTGCCACAGCCATCTAATTACCAGCTCCAGGTATCTTGAACAAGGGTTGGCCCGTCCCAATAGCGTTAAAGTCCACTTCGACAGGCGGAACAAGACTTTTAGGGACAGGAAACACAACGTCAAACATGTTTTGGAAGTGGAGTAGGTTGCCGAGGCCGCTGGGAAACATCCAGATGAATATGCCCCAAATGGAAGGTAACCAAGGGACCTTGGACCGGATGGTACGTTCGTAGAATTGAATCATGCCCCAGGCGGGAAGTAACTGATTCGAAGATATATAATTAGGAGCGAGGCTAAGCGCACAAGAAAAGGAGATGCTCACCGAAAGATGAACGATTATCTGCTGAATTGCGTGCGTGAACGTGAAGAACCAGCTGATCGGCAGGAAGAATATATAGTACAGCCTCTTGAATAGCTCCTTCAGCTGGTCGCCGAACGTGGATATCCTCTCCTCAGGCTTTTTTGACGAATCGAATAACGCTCTGACGTTGGGGATGTTGTCGACCAACTCCCGGGCCTGCTGGAAGGGTAATTTCGAAGTATTGAGGGGCATAGCGGGTGCATGAGGGTTAGCTGGATCCTGAGTGGCACTTGACCCTGAGAAGGGGTTGGCTATGTTCTGCGCAAGATTGGTGACCTGGATGTGATATTGATTTGTTAAACGAATTATATGACTGTAGACGAGGGGAGAGAAAACGTACCCCGTTCGGAGGCCCCTGAAGTAAGCTGGAGAACATAGTGCTCAAAAGATTCTGACTAGACACTGTTTCGGTATCTGGAACGTTGTTGTCGTCCGAGCTGTTATCTGTCGAAGGGCTGTGGACGGCGGTTGGTGAGGAAGCTGATCCGCTCGGGGTAGTTGGGATAGCTGGGGTAGGCAGCAAATCAGGTGCCGGACCTTTATACCGCAGATCGCTGGTTGATATGCCTAATTTTGAGATGATTTGAGTAGGCGGTGGATTGGACGAAGAACTTTTGAGTGACTGGTCGCGAGTCGATGAGCCTTTGTCCGCTAGCTCAACGAGTTTGGCACCTACTGGTTGACCAGAAGACTTCGATGGCGAGAAAAGGGATATGACCTCGCGAGGGAGCTCTTTCCTGTGCTCTTTTGTGCTGGTGTTGCACTGCCCAGGCACAAATTCTCGAGGGGAGAGCCGGTTCTGAGAGATACCTGAAAATGATGAAGGTAAGGACGCCATGTTCTAGAATGCATCCACGAAAACCGGACGAAAACCGGACGAGTGAGCGAAGCACGAAACTCACAGTACTTGAAAGCTCACGGCTGAAGTAGAGTCCGAGTAGACAGGTGACCTAGACGAGAGGGCGACCACAGGGGTCGAGGGTGTTAAGAGATCGGGAGGGATGCGGAACTTGTTTGCTCGCTTGAAGCCACTAGACATGCAATAGGTTGAGATCTCAGCTTTTATATTGGAGCTCGGGTGGAGGGTACTTATGTGTCGAGGCCTTGCTATGTGAGTAAGCTTTGGTCAAGCATACAATGGACAGAGCCTATGTCGGCTGGAGGAAGGGTGATTCCATTACTTACCTGGCATAATCATGCTCAATGCTTCGTCGAGGTGGCATCGATATGGAACTTTTAGATTCTCTGCTGCCATGTTTGCCCTGAATGATGAATGATTGTTACACCCACTTTCCCTATATCGACTGATGGTCGTGCAGAGCTTGCATCTTGATCTCAGCGTTCGACTCGGACTACTTTAATTATATTCTTCCTTCGAACTTCAAGCGGTCAAGGGTCCAAGCCTAGAGTAACATTGCCACCATCCATAAGTCTTGAACGATTGTTACATTGTGGCCCAATAGTGCAGCAATACTGCCCGGCAAACATACGGCCGCCGTTATTCGGCGAATCTTGCATACGTTTGTACGAAGACCATTCCATCGAATGACTACACCCAAGTTGCCGAAGCGAAACACCTTGCTCGGAACCTTCAACTTTGATTAAGTATGATTTCAACCATATAAAATGCCTGCTCGGCTATTACATACCTGCTGCATGCATACTCGTGTTTCCGGCGCAGAAGAGTCTAGTTTTAGAAGTGAAGGGAGCCTGAGTAAGAAGGTGCGTCGACGTTCGACGAGTTCATGAACTTGGCCAACGGAGCACAAGCTCTGCAGGTGCCGGTTGCTTTCTTTGCAGTTGTTTGTACGTGTTGAACTGTTGCCACTCTTCCGCCACAACGTCGTTTGAACCAAGTTTGAACCAAGCTTGTGCCTGGGCACGTCCGTGACGATCTTGCTGGCTTTAAGCTTTCTACGTAGAGTGCTCTGTCTTGCTTTTGACGAATTGCTCAATCTTCCGTGACACTGCCCTCCCCACAAATCTCGAATCCGCGTCAAGTCGCTGTCTGTGCCAGGACCGTGGCACCTATGCCAGGCAGAGACAATCGGAAACGCGGGCCTTTTTTTCTTTCGTCGTTCCCAGCATGAAGTGAGTACGGAAATATATCAGGCATCAACTGTGACGTTTGGTCGAGAATCTTCACTTTGAAATGCCCTCGAGCGCGTATGCTGCCACTGAACTTTCTTCAGTGGCAATATTAATCTCAACTTGAAGAAGTTTCAGTGGCGTCCTCGTTTTCGCCGATCTCTCCAGCACTCGTCAAATCTTCTGCTTCTACTACGAAAAGCCGACTGCTTGGGAACGAGAGGTCTTGTCACTCTCGTAGGGTTGGCAGGAATCGTGTGCACGGCCGTTATCCCAGTCAGTGATGTGGAGGAAGAACGCACACTCCCGCGAATCGGCCCGGTGTGGCCCACCGGAAATGTGGCACTTTGGTGCATGCGAACGCCACACACGAGGGGCAATGCCGATCGTGTTGGCGTTCATCGTGAGACAGCCCACATCGTGGTTCTTGGTCAGGGCGAGAGGCCATCTTAGCGTCGCAAACTCCCCACGTCCTGCAACAATCTCTCTGCTCTCACAATCGTCAAACCCCAGTCCTTCGAAGTGCGTCGGTTTCTTTATAGTTCACCCTATAAGTTTCCTTTATATCCAATTCTTCCTCCTAGTTATCATGCCGTCTTCATCCTACGATTTCATACATAACCCGAGTCTGCCCTCCGACGAGGACATCGTCGCCCGCTGCGAGGAGCACAAATTCCCCCAGGGAATCACCATCACCGATCCTTCTACTCATTCAGAAATCGCATGGGTCAAATGCGGTGTGAACGTTACCCTTGGCGAGGCGCACATGCAGCATTGGACAGCCATGGCTCTTCGCGAGGCCGGCATCTCAAGCGTACAAGTTGCTTCCGTTTTCCGTGCATTTACGGCAGATTATCACGGGTGCCGCGTCGGATACATAACCATGCAGTACATCGAGGGCACAGACTGCGACTCGAAGGATGTTGACCTCATTGCGAGGGCTGTCGAGGCGTTGATCAACCTCCGAGCACCATCAACCGCGACACTCGGACACTTCGGCAGCGACACAAGTTCTATTGTACACTCATTCTTCCCTGAATGGCTTCCGAACGCCGATTATAGAACCGACCAGGACTTCTATGATCACATCCAAAAGGTAAGTGTTCGCCAACGCCTCAAGGTGCTATGGCGAGCTCAGACCTATGTTAGATTCTTAAAATGCTGCGCATCGACTTCCAAGGCGATATATCGGATTACGATCGATACCTCTGTCTTTCCGATTTCAACCCTGGTAATTTCAGGAAGAGTACGACCCCGGATGGCCAGTCGGTAGTGGTGGTGTTGGACTTCGGGGCAACTTGCTTCATGCCGCTTCCCTTCATCGAGGTCGCACTCAAGAAAGATCGGGACATCTTTCGCCAATCACTTATCGAAAGGATCAAGTATCCTCGAGCGCGTTCGGAAGATGTACAGGCTTTACTCTCCGCGTCGTATCGGCTTGTTCAGTATGGTTGGGGCCCAATCGGTAAGCACAACCCTCCTATTTTGTTCTCACCCTCGAACTAAATTCGACCACCGTTCAGCACTCCCACCGGGCGTCAGCCCCAGATTCGGCCGCAAATGATGTGTTGCTTTACCTTGAACGAATACTTAGCTTTCTGTTGCTCTACGAGTCTTGGTCTAAGTTGCTGTCGTGACATCGGATACGCGTGAATATGTAAAAGACTTGTATGTGAACTGACATTGTACATGTTTATAGCTAATACGTGATCTAGAGTTCTTATATTGAGTCTCGAAGATTGAAAGCTGAATCTATAGCAATGACCGATAATCTCTCAATCCCCGCTGTTCACGAAGTAGAACGACCGAGTAAGTGTTGAAATTTGGGCACGGAGAAGCCTTTGTATGTTATGGTGGTTCGAAATCACCGGTTTTTCTTGTATAAGTATGTTGAACCGACTGACCGCGTAAACCTTCGTCTTCACTCTCACCGACAAATCATGGCTGTTATTCTCTTTGATATTTCCCAAAATGTACAGTCATCGCATCGTGTAAACCTCTACGCAGAAGGTTCAAGTTCTCGTATATACTCCCATCTGAATATGCGCACCCAGTAGATCGGTGCTGTCTTTTATATTCGTGGCGTATCGGAGCGGTGAGCTTCTTCTGGCGCCAGTAGACCGCCGGAGGGTCCAATTGGCAACGCCTGCCATATTTCAATACACCCGAGGAGCCCGCACCTCCCTGGGGAACGAGATTCAGATCCTGTCCAGAAGGTTGAAATTTTGAGAATTATTCAGGATGAGCCCTTGCCCCTGATGTTTCAGCAATTCGTACATAAGTCACTGCCGTATATATGGTTCATGGCATGTATATGTATCATCATTTTGCTCGCCCTCAGGCATAGAGCGTCATAAACAAGTCGTACTAAAGCACCACCACTACTAACTAGTGAGTATGTAAGTACGTGCGGAGGGCAATCAATTGCAAGGGCAAGGAAGAGAGAAACGGGAATGGGAATAACAGATCTAGGATACAGCGAGGGTGGAGAGCAGGTTGTATGGAAACGTGCGTGCGAGGAAACCGTGAACAAATGTGTGCGATGAGCAACGAGCAAAAGAAAAAAAAAGAGAAAGAAAAAGTAGGAAGGACAAAAGATAGCCCCAAAAAATCAAGATCGACGTAAAAACAACAACAAGAGACGAAGGAAGATCGAAGAGATGCATGCATGGACAAAGTCATTTGTGTGTGTATAGATATAGCAAAACAAAAAACAAAAAAAGGAGATCATTGAAGTGAAGTTGCAACGAAGAAAGAGAAAGCGTGTGGGACCGGTCCGGCGCGCTCGGTTGAATGGGTACATGTTCATGTTGGCCAAGATGACTGACACAGATAGAGACGAATAAATAGTGGGCTCGACAGTGTTATGCGCGGATGATGTAGGGAGACGACGGTCGATATTAGGGTAATTAATGGACAGTGTAGTTTTCGGGGTCCGGGACGATATAGCGTGGCACAGAGACGGAGGCGTTCGAGGTTACAATGTGAGACGGCAAGAGCACGAGGAAACGGGTACAGGGGGAGAGACCGCGATGGGAGTACAGCTGTCAAGATCAAAATTCGGTCAGCACATATCGAACAATTCAGATATGAGGAAGACTCACGGAGAGCGAGAAAGCGACGGAATAAAATTAAGATCATGTAGAATAGCGCTGCACACTCGTCGTTGGACCCATCCGATTCGGCTGCTCCGCGGTCCGATGTCGCGAGCCTGGGCGCGACTGCGACTGCGATGAAGGATGGCTGGACGTTTGCGAAGGCGTCCGGGAATGTGAATGTGCGCGAGAGGGGTGCTGCACGGGTCCGTTCGGATAGCCGTTCGCGAAGGAGATCGGGTGGCCAATCGCGTTCACGAACTGAGGTGATGGCGGCCTCGATCGCACCATCACGCGACTCTCCTGCTCCATCGTCCCCGTCCGACTTTGCACCAAAATCGTCCCGTCGTCCTCACCGTCCTTCGTGGCGACGATGGGCTCGTTCATCGGGTAATACGATCGTCGGGTTGTCGTGGTGAAATCATACATCGTGAATTGCTCCTCAAGCTGCCGCAGCTCGGGCCTCATCCGTTCAGGGTCTGGTCGGTTGGCCGCGGGCTTCTTGTGCTTGAGCGGCTTCTCGACCGCCATAAATTCGTCAAGTTCGTGCTGCACGTCGAAGTTGGGGACGCCCATCTGTGGAACGCATCAGCACATTGCGAATTTCGAAAGCAGAGCCGAAAAAGCTCACATTGGGCACGAATGGTGATACGAGCTGCTTTGACTCGAGTCGCTCCCAGTTGATGCGTGAGAACCATGGATGGTTCTTGAAATCATCGAGAGACGTAGCCAAGGACCGACAACCGAGCCTCGTCCTTGAATTTCGGTCCAGCAACTAAAATAAAACAAGCGGGCGAGTTAGTCACACGAATCACATTCCCGAAGCGGAACAATGGACAGAGCCTGGGAACGCCACCCAACGCAAAACCGCCGTCTAAAAAGAAGCGGTAAAGACTACGCACCCTAGAAATCGCATCACAGCCTTCCTGGCTGAGCTGCTGAACGCCAGCTCCGGTTCGCGCAGGTGGCAACCTAATCGGATCGTTCAAGATGCTCGCCCGCGTCTTCTCGGCGCTCTTCCCATCGAAGGGTCGCTTGTGCCACAGGAGCTCGTACGCACACACGCCGAGGCTCCACCAGTCCACTTGCCAGCTGTAGCCTCTTCGGTTCGGGTGGATGATCTCGGGCGCCATGTAGGCCATTGAGCCCGCGACGGACGTGTGCAGTCGCCGGTCGGAATAGTGAATCGCGATATTGAAGTCTGTCAGATGTGCGTGGCCGGAGGTGTCGAGCAGAATGTTGTCCGGTTTGACGTCGCTGAGAAGGAGCAGGGCGTCAGTTGCTGTACGTGAGGCGCGGCAATGAGGTCACACGAGTGATAAATGAAACCCCTTCTGGGGTGATTGGAATGTTGCATGCTATGCACCCCGTTCTATTTTTGACAGAAAGCCTGCCAGTTACAGTATTCGGGAAACGGGCGGTGCATAGCATGGAACAAGCTCGACACATGCAACGTCCTCAAGCAGCGGTCTGGGACGACCGTACGGGTGGTTGCAGCCGACTACGACCACAGTGTGATTGTCGCATCGCTGGATCCATACGATCCCACTGTGCGGTCGTTATGCGGACCAAGGTATGAAACGGAACAAAGCAACTCACCGATGCACGATTTTGTGGTCGTGAAGGTAGGAAATGGCACACGCAAGCTCTGCCATCCAGAAGCGGACAGTTTCTTCGGGGAAAGAGCCCAACTGATTTAGATGAACTAGAGGGGGAGGGTCAGAAAGACGGAGACAGAGATGTCATTGGCGCTCGCCACTCACAACGGGTGTCACCTCCGAGCATGAGGTCCAGGGCAAAATAGCAGTTGTAATCATCCTGGAATGCGTAGCGCAAGTTGACGACAAATGGATGATCGACCTGGGTATAACCGAAAGGGAACACGTTGAGCATGAGTAGGCCCAATAATTTGGGTGGCACACGCACCTCCTCGAGTAGCCGCCGCTCCTGAATGACATTGGCCACAGACTTCTTGTCGATACACTTCGACTTGTCGATATATTTGAGCGCGTAAAGAGCCTTTGTACGCTTATGTTCGACCACGCGAACCTGAACGCGACAAACATGAGCTGATGGGTTCAACAAAGGAGGAAAGGGGGGGACGCACCTTGCCAAACGCACCCTTGCCGATCGCTCTGTGGAGGTTAAAGTGATATAGATTGACCGCAGCGTCGAAATCTACGGGTTCGGAGAAGCAGCAGCCCATGTCTCAGGCAATATTGGGGCGGATAGATGACTAGGGAGGGACTAATGATACAAGTCGAAACGAGCCGGGGTATAAAAGCGAAACAAAAGATGGCGTTGTACCGGACAAGGCAGGCGACCGCATCTTGACTGATCGGGACCGTCCGCGGGCCTCGTGCCCTTCAAATCACAATAAGCCGCCGAGCAGACGCCCACGCGAAGTCGCTCGACTTCACAATTGCAGTTCCCACCTGAGCAATGCATAACAATAAGAGCACTATACCCGGTGCGCGCTGCAAAGACCGTCTCTTTTGTGTTTGCTAGCGAACAAAGTTCGCTTAGAGGATGGATAGGCTATCTGGCTTCTGTAGAACGTGGCAAATCAACCTAAATCTCGCGTCGATGTTCCCGATCGAAGACTAGTATCGAAGATCGCCCCGCCTCCAATGTGCGCAACATACTCGATCTAGCCGAACACGTTGTACCTCGAGTCCAACCGGAGCGTCATCGTCTGCGAGTCCCGCCGCGCTCTCTCCCTCAAGTCGTTCTCAAGAGCGAAGCTGGGAAGGATGGATACAGAAACACAGTTTGCCGCTCTTCTTTCTCCTCCAGCAGAATATTTGGCTGCAGTCAAGGTGTTCCCTGTAATATCTCATCTCCGAAGGGACGTCACAGTTAGTGCAATCTTTCTGCCATGATTGCAGTCTCATCATCCTGACAATCTTCAATCACGGAACTTTTTCGGACAGAAAAGCATCGGTGTGTTTCGTGTGGTGTTCCGACTCCATTCTACCGCAGCTTATTTGTTTGTTTCAGACAGCGCGCTAAGTTGGGAGTACGGCGCACATCCTCCATACTGTATACGGAACGCTCAACATTAACGTTGATTCTTCAGCCAATTAACGGCATCTGACATCAACTTTGCTATCGTTCGGCCTATTGTCTTCGTCAGTGCATATCATCCAACCAGGTGGCGGCCTGGCAGCACTTGTACTCATAACTTGTCCAGAAATACGCCCGGCTCCACAACCCTTCCATAGTCTACGCCTGCCTTGTAGTCCGCTCTCACTTCCTCGCTCTCGCCGAAGATGATCTCGCCTACTCTGGCGTATCCCTCTCTCGCGCAAGCCTCTGCGAAATCCTCGCCATGAAACTCGTATCCCACTTCGCCAACAACAGGATCCAGCTCGTCTCCGTTCTGACTACATGTTGGAGTCCATTGGCCGGAGCTCCAGAGAGCGTGATAGAGGAGGTGAAGGGTGTGCTTGGTGCTGCCGAGGAGAATGAGATAGATGATCCACAGAGTGCGCTCGAGGTGAGTGTGTTGATTGATAGCGGCTGTTGCCTTTGGGATCCTCCATGTTCGGAGGTATCCAGACTCCGGGGTTTCGCGCTGTGGTTGAGGATCACCTTCAGAGAGGGGACCAGAGATGTTGAAAAGACCTCTAGCAAGGAATTCAACTGACTCCAGTGCAGCGACGCAACACTCCGCTGAACAGAATTTCGTTGAGTGCCGTAAATTCCTCACCGGAGGATATCACGATATTTTGAGATCCCGACGTTCCACCAGATTGTGGTTCGTAAGTCTCACTAGGGCTATGCAAAGCATACGTGATGATCCTGAACATCAGAGGTGCAGCTGATTAGCGAAGGAGAGCGGTACCACATGGAGTACTGTCCGCTCTGAAACAGTGCCTCAATCAACAGAGTTCCCGCTTTGCCACTGTATTTTATCCCCGGAGCGCTGAGTTCATCCGCGCTCCTGAGCACTGTTCATTGATTTAATTCATGTGTCATGTTTTCTGTACCTTGTTGCTCAATCTGTGGATTTATTTTTGGCTTTACGATTTTTTAGATGGCTATCGCAACCCGCGCCAAAGCCTTCATCGCCTCTCCGATCATCCAGTAAGCCCTGCAATTTTTTCATCCGCTCACATTTGTCTGATTTTACTCGCCTACTGATAATTACTCAATCGCTCGCCCCCCACTCGCCCATATCTCGGGTCTCTCGGTCTTCTGTGTTCAATAATCGAAGGACGGTCGTGAATGACATCTACTCCGGCCAAGTCGTCTACTCAAGTTCCGCAGCGACCAACCGCTCCCTTGTAGCCGATAACTACAAGCAGCGAGCCATTGAAATCTACGATATACGCAAAGCCTCGCTGTTGCACCATCCACGGTAAGGACACCCATCTATTACCCCTCTCATCCGGTCTAATTCCTATCCATAATTGTTGTTGAATTGACGATAGGCTACGCGTGCCGAAGTATGGTGCACTATTAGAGTTTTTGAACTTTGTGGTGTTGTTCGTGATCTTTGTGTTGGCGCTGTCTAGTAAGCTCCGATGTCTGCTTCATGAAGATGTTGAATTAATCCGTTCCTGTGATGGCGCAGAGCAGGACAAGAACGCGATGAACGTGTTTGAAGTCGTATTCATCGTTTTCGCTTCAGCATTCACGTTGGCGGAATACACGGCATCTCAAGAACATGGTTGGGGAAGTGAGTTAATGTGGATCTTCACGATTTATCCCCGGGGTCACTGATTTAACGCTTGAAACATATCAGTTTATATCGCGAATGTTTGTTCACTTTCTCCTCCCATCGCTCGATAACGGTTGACTAACTACAAATGTAGATGTGGAATGTCTTCGACACATCATTCGTCATCGTCTTCCTGCTCTATATTATTCTACGCATAAAAGGCCTCGCCACGGGAGACCGTAAGTATCACTTTTTTCTCAAAACGAGCGCGAAGTGAGGCTGAGACCTTGCGTCATAAAGCATCTTCGTCGGAATTAGGCTTCGATATCTTGGCATGTGGCGCTTGTATACTATTTCCCAGGTGAGCCTGCACAATTTTAGAACTTCAACTCGCTGAGACGGGATGGTTGATGACTCGGATCACGTCTCCCAGGCTCGCGTTCTTCCTCGTATCCAACAACGTTGTCGTCCTGTTCGTAACCCCATCCTCCTTTCTCCTTCCTATCTACCCATTGAAGCCATTCCCTCACCAACTTACCAACTCCCCAACGCAGAGCCCTCCGTGGCATGATCGCCGAATTTATCTTCTTCATGTGCATCGCAGCGATATGTTTCTCCGGCCTGCTCTTCACCCTCTGGACGCTCGCATCGGACAAGTGGAAGCTCAAATCCATCGCGTGGCTCATGGTGCAGATCTGGTTCGGCAATACGTATCTCAGCTTTGGACAGGCGGAGAGCTTTCATCCGGTGTTTGGCCCGATATTGATGACTGGGTTTGCGGCGTTGAGTAATACGCTGCTTCTGACAAGTGCGTACTTTCTTGTTCTCTCTTGGGTTGCTGTAAGTGTTCGAATATTTAGCTCATGTCTGGGTGGGTGGTGGAATAGTTTTGATATCGATATTGTCGAATACGTTTGCGAGGATTGATGCCGTGAGTCCGTTTTCGCATTACTGTGCAATCAGATCGCTCAACGTTTATTTTCAACCCCATCTTAGAACGCGAATCAGGAGGTATTGTTTGGTTTTTTTCCTGTTACACAGAGTTATGACTGACTTGTTCTGTCCAGTACCTCTTCCAATTCACCATCATCACTCTCGAAGGGTACTGTCCATTTTTGTGGCGAATAAATTTCGATGGTCTGATTCATTTTACAACCACAGGATGAAGTCCGACGCACTGTTCAGTTACCAGCCTCCGTTCAATTTACTGGCCTTTGCCATTCTATGGCCAGCCAGTTTCGTACTCTCCCCACGCTCGCTTCACACCGCAAACGTATTCCTAATTCGACTAACAGTATGTCACCTCCCATCTTCCCCTGCGCTTGTCTCGCTGAACTTGCGCTAATATTACACGGTTTACTAGAGTTTCCCCATCCTGATCGCCATCTCGCTCTACGAACGATCCTTCCAACAACAGCCACGCCATCTTGACCACGCAAGACCCACAAACTCAAACAATCAAGGCCTCCGCCACACCACGCAGTCCGCCGCTCAGTCCTTATACAACTCCCTGCCCCGTGCCGTCAAGACCCTGCCTGTTCTCGAAGCCGTCATGGGAACGCACGCAGAGGACATCTATGAGGCTTTGTTCGACGTGGAACAATTGGTGGACGAGGATGACATCAGTCTGTTTGAGGATGAGGATGGCGAGGAAGACGATGATCGTGACAGGATCGGGCTGAGGAGCTGGGCGAGCCGGGAAAGGCATGTGCAAGGTATGACAGAAGAAGAAGGGGATATGAGCACGGAGCCCGCTAGCGCGACCACGAATAGGTTTTCGAACGGGAACAGGAATAGTCCGACTCGGCCGAGAAGCGAAACGCAAACTTCGACACCTGGTCGTCCAGGTCGTCCAGGTCGTCCGTCTAGTATTCCTCGTTCCCCGACTCAGACCTCCATCCGACAGTCGGCGTCCAGACCGCGGTATCTGTCTTTGCGTACTGAGGCGACACGGGTGCTTAACGCGGCGACTGGCGAGATACCGACTCCTGCTAGTCCTTTGGCCAGGTTGTTCGGAGGTGGGAGGAGGGGTCTCAACGAGAGTACGGGCGTCGGTGATGGAATGATGGTGGGCGATAGAATGGAGAAATTGGAGGAGAGACTGAAAAGAGTCCAGGAGCTGTTGGAAGAGCGGGAGAGCAACGGTGCAGAGGAGGACAGGGGTGGACGTGATAGCAAACGAAAGGATACGAAAAAGGGTGACATGAGTGGGTTGAAGGGGGAGATGAAAGAACTGCAGGAAAGGCAGGCGAGGATCGAGAGCTTGTTGATGATGTTGACTAGGTATGTCAGGGCGATCGCGTCTGCATTTATATTTTACTGACTGGTTACTTTTGGATAAACAGGGGTATGAGAAACGAGGTCGGGACACCTGGAACACCATCGAGGAATGATACGTTTTGAAGTTGAGGTCCTGCGTCGATTCATCTTGTGGCTGTATCGCTATGTAGACAACATTGTGGACATTTACGCCTTAAACTGTTACGCACTGTATTATGGTGTTGAGGTGAGTTTCCTCTTCGTTATGTGTATGCTTCAGTCACCCCTGACTGTTCTACGAAGGAGTGTATGTATAGTTCTGATGTAGATTGAATGGACAAGCTCTTTCTCCCGAACATGTCCCTGAAGTCCAGCTGCGCATGACGGCCAAGTAGAGCACTCGCTGGTCGCCCGGATCACTGGTCTCGTGAGACTCCTGCGCTCCCCACACAGAACGTCGAGCCATACGGCTCACAGCTCTCATTCTCGGGATTGCGGGTCTTGTATAAATATTAGAAGTACACGAAGAATCACTCGACAGAAGACGATATCAAGTAAGATGGGATCACTTCGGTGTGTCCGCCACCCTCACGACCATCTTCGCCCCGCTGATCTTCTTAGCCACCAACCTCGCAAATCCGTCCGGCAGTCCGCTCAACCCTCCTGGAAGCAGCTCGACCTTACTCGGCTTGATGTCACCATCTCTCAACATCTTCTCCAGCGCGACATACATGCTCTTCCCAAGCTGCACATCCCCTCCCACTTCATCATTGTGCACACTTCCAAAAACAGTAATAACCCTCCTTCCATCTTTTCCCTCAACACCAGGTTGTCCTATATCTTTGGAGGCATTAGGGTTTGCGACGACCAATCTCCCGCCCGGGGCGAGAATGGACCAGCAAGTCGTTTGTGAGGCCTCAGCGCTTATGGCATCGTAGATGAACTTGATCGGAGCGGTCGTGATGGCAGAGACGGCCTCAACGAAGGCTGGCCCATAAGGAGTCTTCTGGTAGTCGATGACGTGAGTCGCACCCGCCGCTTTGCAGTACGCAGTGTTGTGTGAGGAGGCGCTGGTGATGATTGGGTTGAATCCTGACATCTTCGCCAGTTGAATTGCTTTGCATCGAGGTACGTCAGCTCGAGTCAGCATAGGTTGTTCAGAGAGGAAAAGTCAGATTTCAATCACTCACCACACTGGCCAACGCCGCTTGCGCCTCCTATAACAATCGCAGGCTCGTTATGATATTTATTCCTACCACCCTCTGCCCAAGGTGCCACGAGACCCGCCCCTCCATGTGGCGTCTTCAGCACCCCGTACATTCCTACGGCCGCTGTGCCGAGGACAAGGGGGATCGTCGAGGCTTCCTCAAAGGTCATATTTTCAGGTATCTACCATTACCATCATAAGCAACCGAGAATATACGCCGCAACTTAGACTAATCGTGGCAACTTGCCTTGCAGGACGTCCATTCATAGCCGAGCGCATATTCCTGATAAGTGTGAAAATCTGGCTTGAAATCGCCCGCAGACAGACTATGCTGGGATGTCAGCCACGATCCGAGCATGATGGAGGGGAATACTGCCTACACTCTATCACCTTTGACGAATGTCTTGACATCCTCGCCAACCTCCTCTACGATGCCGGCCGCATCGCACCCGAGAGTAGCAGGGTAAGATTGAATGAAGGCTCCCATGAGACCCATGTATGCGTCGATGGGATTGATAGAGGTTGCGGAGACTTTCACCAAGATCTCATCTTTGCCTGGCTTAGGAGTTGGGCGTGTATCGACGGTGGGCGGTGCACCCTTCTCCAGAACCAAGAGCGCCCTGTGGATTGAGGAAGTCATGTAGAACAATCAAGTCGGTGTGCGGGTAAAAGCGGATGATTGAGAGAAGAGGGATACAGTTCGGGAGTAAGTCGGACGGTATCACTATATATGAGAACACAGACAAAGCGAGCAGGGCCATTTGGCGTAGTATTTCGCGGCACTCTGGGTGATGTGGATGTGATATCCACACGAGAGACTATGATCAACTAGTGACAGTCATGGGCCGTGAACAGTGGACAGGCTGAGCAACAGGATATCCACATGACTCCGATGTCTGTCTGAGCTTACGATGGAACGACATACATGGCAAAGGATACTTATTCATAGCACAGAAATGATGACACGGAGTCCAAACTCCTTATCGTTCCCAAAGAGGACACTGAGGCAGTGTACACGAACGCTGCTTTGCGCCCATCAACACTGGTAATTCAACAGAGTGAATGCCACGGGCCCGTTGTTAGTCGTCCATCAATGTCTTCCAATGGAACTACGATCCATTGAATACGTCCACCCACTCATTATCCGTAGGCTCATACATCCACGCAAAAACCACAGCCTACTGGCGCGAGAGCGAACCGTGCGACCACAATTGCAGGGCAGAACCTCAATGAAGAACAAGAGTGACAACAATGTCCATTGTGCTCGGCGCCTACCCGTTGACCAGAGCAATAAATAGCCAATGGAAGCCGTCGATATCTGGCCGACGTCGCACAACTTCACACTGAAGTTATAGAGGAGGCTCAGCCAGTTGACCCCTATAGTAGATACCCTGTCAGTTGTACCGTGAGCAGAACTGTGTCGATATAGACTAACTAGGACGTCAAAAATAGCCAGACCGGGTTTATAATCGCAAAATATCCTAGAAAGCAGACCATAAAGCGCATGAAGCTCAGTAGAGCCTCCGAGCCAGAGAATGACGTAGAGGAGGATTTCGGCAGCAAACTTGAGTTTTTTAAGAGTGCTTACTGAGGCAACATGTGTTAGGTACTTAGCCTTGCATTGCCATCGAGACTTGGAGAGTAACACCGATTATTCAGATCGAGCGCAGGATAATAGTACCTCATGACAGTAGAAGAAAAGAATTAAAAAAATTGAGAATGAGCGAGTTGCAGGTATGTACGACTGATTTTGTCTTCCGGCTATTCCCGAAGCGCCGCCCCAACTTGAGAGAATCGATTAACAGCGATTAACTATGATTGGCGCCGCGGGTCGACTCACTCCTCTTTGCTAACGTCTAACCTCCGTCGTCGTCGTTGAACGTGGGCACAAAATTATATGTGATTATTGAGCTGATGTTTCGGCCAATACTCCTATGTGAAAATTTGACACTTCGATCGCTTTCTGCGGGCAGAAAAACAACAACGGCAGTCTCAAGTTGCGATTACAAGCTCGTGGCGTTGTCGTTGCCCCACGTCACGTACAACGATGGAAAGTCTCGCTACATCTCCTGAGTAAGAGCTCAGATCCCTGCTCGTACTCGTTACATGCCTTTGCTGGACTCTGTGCCGACATGGACGGTCCTCATTGCTCTGCGACTATGCCTAGTATTCGGAAAGACACAGTCCACTGCTTACCGCTCTCGAATTATCCACGGTTATTGTTTGACCAGTGGATTGTGTAACGAAAAGGGTCACGATGGTCTTCATTACGATGAGCGTAACAGCTTTGTTGTAGGGCGTTTGATAGGGAGCATTCAGATGGGGAGCGTGAAGAGATGGAATGGGGTGTGGCTATTGGGGTGGATGGCCGATGCTTGATGAAGAAGGGCTCGTTTTCGAGGATTGAGTTGCCTCAAGAGTATAGGGCGGGCGAGTGGCTGCGAGTGGGCAGCGGGTTTGGGTCGTACGTCTCGTTAAAGAGTACATTGCACCGTATCTGAGAAACGCCGTATTCTGTACGCACAGTAAGCCAGAGTACTTACATAGTACCTCTAGTAACTGGTTTGATTATCAGTGGAACGAATGCGCGAGGTCGCTGCCGGCAGTGATAATGTGGACGGAGCACTTGGACTTCGACGAACCATTTCAAGACTCCCTAGGTAGCGCGTGCACCATAACTGTGCACCCAACTGATTTGTTGCTGGCCATGTCATGTCAGGTCTGCCTGTTGAGGTGTGAGGAAAGCAGATCGTCGAGCATGGATACGACTGGTCATTGTTAGAGCACATCGTTCGAGGTAGGGCTGGCAGAGAGGAAAAGCTTGACCGAAACTCTACGGTTCTTCGCCAGAGAGAGCAAAGTAGCACTGGGTCACTAACCCACTTAAAGCTCGTGATTCTGTGGCTGCTGCATCTGAAGCACATTCTCGAGTTACTCTATGGGGATACCGGTCGACACAATGCAAAAACCATGCGAGCCCGACGATCGCCACGACTGTGCGAGAAGGTAGTGATGTGGAACGTACATCTCCCATCAAATACGGCAAGCAGTCGTGCGTTCAGGCGGGGAAGGGCAGGGAAGGGCCTGTGGAATCGTACCCTTCTTGTATGGAAGGATTCATTCACGGATGATATTACGGTGACCATCACCAGGCCGCAGCTTTTGTCAAGTGACGAGGAAGCGAGGTCGGACCACGAAAATACCGGGGAGGGAAAGGAAGGAGGGCGACTTGAAGCAACTTCGAGAAACGGTCCTCAGGCTGATGGAACTCGTGATGGTTCAAACGGCTATTAGACATGTTCCTTGCGTCGGCCGCCATCGAAGCTAGCGGCAAGACGGGGGATGCCCATACCATTGTCCTCAGGTCCACGAGCATGCAGCACCACGAGCAGAAATTTCCTCTTCAGTCGTCTGCCGTTGAGGCTCGAGGAAAGGACTTGGCCAGCAAACCGGAGTAGATAAAAATGCGGGGAATTTGAAGGGCTTGGCAGGCGACGGAAGTTAGCGCAGCCGATTGGAAATTGATATGTTCGCGCCCCTTCCCACGTTTTCTCGGTCGATCGCTCCTTCAATCGTGTTCTTGACAGGTCAACACAAACCACCAGCTGCCAAATTATGTTCGCCTCTCCGACGCCACAATGCTCGCTGTGGTCTTGTGCAAACAAACAGACTTGTCATTTTAAAGAGGTACGAGGGGAGCAGGGGTTAGCTTGGAATTTGCGCTGCGGTTCGAGGCACCTTGGTTCACATGCGCATAAGTAAATCCGCCGACCTGGAGGCACAAGCACGGATATTCTCTCACATGTGGTTTCGCTGGCGAGCGAAACGGATGTTCAGCCGGGAGAGACGAGGCCATCCCCACATTCGTCACCCGATCACCCTCTTCTTTCTCTCGCACGCTTCCTCTAGATTGCTGATCGCGATACATATAAACAACGAACATGCACGGCTCCCCCTTCTTTCTCCTTTCCCCCATCGTCGTCGTCGTCTCTGACCGTGCTCGCGATGGACTCTTCCAAGCGTTTCAACGTTCGCATGGGTAAGAAGAAGACTCAGACGATCCATGCGAATCCTGGTGATTCCTCAGGCGACCACACCGAGCATGATTCGAATTCTCAACCAGCTAGGATGGCTCACAGACATGATCAGGAGACACCTTTGCCTCCCATCCCCAACGACCCAGCTAATCTCCAGCCCATTACCACGACTGGAGCCGGCGGTGCCAGAGCTACTTATACGCAGAACCAGACACAATCTCCGGTACACGCGTACGTCCTTTACCTTGCTGCTTAGTTTGGAATTCCGCTTGCACCCGCCTGTATCCGCACCACAATCGCTCCCGTCCCCACCGCCAAATCACCGCGGGTACACTGGCACTTGCATGGTATACCCGCACCGGCCCTGATCACCAGATCCTATGCTTGCTATCATACACCCCTGTTTCACCCTCGTCAGCTTTTAGGCAACTTCGTCCTATTAATGAATATAAGACATCCGCTCACCTCTCAAATTTTGTTTTTCTTTTCCCTATTATAGTTCGTCTTCCAACGGACCTACCTACGCCAAGGACAGTTCTCACCGTGACCGTCTGCGTACGACACCAGCTTTGACCTCGAGTCCCGTCGAACATTCAAGGTCCGTGCTTCTCTCATCTAACGAACTTTGAGCTACATTCATCTTACCATAAACTCTTCATGTGCGACATAGAACCACACAGGACAATTCCACGAACGCCATGCCCGTTCCCGCGACGTACGTATTTCCTCACATCTTTGCACCTTCCTTAAATTCGCAGTTCCTAATGACAACCACCCATGTCGATATTGAAATTCAGACACGCTTCTCAGTCGCCACCCCTCACTCACCAAAAATCCAAAGGCCTAATTAGCCGCCTAGGCACGAAATTGCGCCCCTCCACCACCGAGTCTGCAACCGCCAACGCCCCGACCGCCTTCCATAACCCGTTCTCTTCCCACTCTCATTCCGGACCCGATACACATGACCCAAACTCAAATCCAAACGTCGCTGTGAAGCGCAAACCCACACGAACTCGCATCCTCCACGCGCCACCCCTTGACAACGCATTCACACCGGAAGCTCGTGCTGCTGCTTTACGTGCGAGAGGCTTGATTCCGCAGAAACCGCTCTCGAAACTTGAGGAGGATGAGAATCGACGGTTGGCGATTTTGAAGCCTCGGGAGGGTGCTGGAGGCACGGGTGAAGGTGGCGACTCCGAGGCCAGGAAGATGGCGGAGATGTGGAGGGCGAGGAACAGTCTGAGTGGGTCTGAAGGGGCTGGGTCGGGCGGTGGCGAAGGTGGACAGGCAGACGATCAAGGCAAGGAACCGTCATTGTCTGTGTCCTTCCTTTCTGGGAGCCAAGTCTCGGATACTGACATACTCTCCATTTCCTTTCCCGATGTCCATTTCTAACAGGAAAGCCGCTCCCGCCCCGTCCTTGAAGGACACCGCCAGTGTTGACGTTCCCACGCCACCTCCTGCTGTCCCAGAGAAGTCCAAGGCTCGCAGTACTACCGCACCCACACCCACATCTCCATCTAGTTCCCCAAAGTCAAAGCGGACACCCCCTATCCCTCCCACGCCTACCGCTGCCGTCACTCAAATTGAGACACTGCGGGCACGATCAAGCTCTAGCACCGACAGCACGCAGAAAGTTACGCAGTGGTTACAGTATCATGGGTCTACCGGCACTACTACGCCCACACGATCAAAAAGCCAGACTCTGGAACCAATACAACCTCTCCCAACGACGTCATCTTCCTCGTTGAGGACAGCGACGCCCGGTGCTATCACCCCCAATCCCCGCGACACCACCAAATCTTCTGTTCCTAAATCATCACTGGCCACGCCTCCACAAAGTCCGACATCTACGCACCTGCAGCCGCCCTCTCGTTCATCTTCGCGTCGTGAGCCTGGCTCTCCCAGAGCTCGGAAGGCCTCTCTCCCTACGCCTGCTTCGTCGCCTTCCGGGCCTCTACCGCCTGTTCCTACAACTATCTCTCCCTCCAATTCTACCTCTCCTATCGCACAATTCTTTACCTCTTCGGATACACTCAACCTCACCCTCACAGGCGTTGGCGGCCCAGGTACCTCGCCCGACGACTCCGAACATGCGCTCTCTGGATCTTATTCGAGCCAGACGATGCCCTCGCTCGTCGAGTCCACGCCGTCTAACGTTTCGCATGTCTCGCGTATCTCGCAGAGCACAACAAACTCGAGTATGCCTGCGACGCCGTCGATAGGCGCCCCGAGTCTTAGCTTCCACGGTCATTCCACCAATCCGACCTCTGGATCAGGCTTGGGCGCATCTCTTTCGAAAAAGCCCACTGACCGGAGCAGCAGCCAGTCGCCGAGTCGGAAGGGTAGAGGAACTGCTGGACCTGTTATTGTTGAAGGCTCGGAGACTCCTCCTCTGGATCTTGGTATGAACGAGAAGATCGATCGCGTCCTTGAGGCTTCGGACCAGTGTATCCTCGAAGACCAAGAATTCGGCATTTTAGCACCTCCACCACCTCCTTTGCCGACTACTACTACTCCTTCCGCCACCAACGAATCGTCTACGTCACTCCGTCTTGCACCGCCTTCGGACTCTGCTGATCGCCCAAAATCATTCGGTATCTTCTCGTCGTCCACGAAGGAGCGTACCGGGATTCCTCCCTCGACTTCGGACCCTCAGACTCGCAAGATGAGCAAATAGCTTTCGTTCGGAAACTTGAGAAGAGCGGTCAGCGGTGCGGTGAGGCCTAAAGCCCTGTTCGTGGACGTGAATAAACAGACACTGCCTCCGCCGCTGAAGAGTGCGGGTGCTTTGTCGGAGGGTGCGACCGGGCGGAGGGAGTATCCCGCTACTGCATCGGGAAGGGTAGGTGGAGGCGCGGCACCACCATCTGCTTGGAGTACTGGTGGCGGTAGCGGCGGGAGTTCGAGGAGGACGGGGACGGGCGTGGGGCCGAGGGTGCCAAGGGCGGCGGTGGCGCCGACGATCCATAGCCATGGGACGATCGCGGATCAGGTTAGGGGGGTGGAGGACGAGGAGAGCAGGAGGTTGAGTGAGATGGCGTTCTTGGGATAGTGTTGCTGCTCGCTCTTGACCTGAACAAGCCTCCGATTGTATTGAAGAGTCGCTCTACTTGTTTCTCTACCGTTGATCTATCCTTTGGGCTGATCTAGTTTAGCCTATGTCGAATCTTGGATCACAATTTTACGTCCCTCGTTTGTACTTTTTTGATCCACCACGTATCCGTGTTCACCGTCCTCTCGTTTTCCGTCTTCGCGTCGATACTCCGCTATCCATCACCTTACACTAATCACTGGTACTGGCGTCTCACCACACTTCATAATCACAATGCGAACTCTTGCGTTACCGATATTACCCTCATTGATTCGGGATCTCTTTACTTTGCGCCTTTTCTATCTGGAGTTTTCTCCCCTCCGTCCTATCCTTCTTTCCATGGTTTCCCTTGTTCTTCACTCCAATTCCGTATCTCGCTCTCGTGGAACACATATTTAATTTTACCTTTCTGTAAGTTACTTCCCTATCACCAAATTCTGACATGAGTGCTTTGGAGGACCCGAGTCTCGGCTTGGAGCAACGTACAGGACAATGAACAAAGTTTCGGGGACTCTGGAATGGCAGGACGGTGCGTGCAGTGTGGCGCAAACACGATGTGGCGCCACATCATCGCAAGCTCCGACCGGCAATCTCCATGATGACCCGACGAACGACTCATCGCACAGGCTTTGCAAAGCGCCCGACGTGCAGCACTTCCCCTCTACCCCCTCGTCTCTTCCTCGCTCGCAGGCCTCAGGCCGCTCTACGCACCCAAAAGACAGACAAGGGCTAGCTTTAGGACAGCTCTACCGCAGTCAATATGCCTAAGGTGCGTACTTCCGTGGCGTGGAGGCCCGATGTGTGATATTGATCGAATTTTTCATCTGTAATATAGAACAAGGGAAAGGTCAGCTTCGTTCTTACTGAGCCCTTTACCATCCCTCTCTAATAGATATCTTCGAACATTCTCCTTGGATGCGCGCACTCTTTCCCTTCTGGCGATGCGACGGTCAAATCGGCGTGGGATGCGGGTGCGGATGTGGCTATGGAATTATTGGTGGATCGATGTGGCGGAGATTAGGGAGGCAAGAACCGGAGAAGAGGAAAGAACGAGAACGACGATGACAAGCGCGAGCTTGTCTTCCGTGAGGATGGGCAGGAATACGCTCAGGTGACGAAGATGTTGGGGAACGGACGATTGGAGGCGACTTGCTTCGACGGGGAGAAGCGGTTGGCCCATATTCGGGGCAAGATGCGGAAGAAGGTACGTTTTGACGCTTGGTCTTCGTAGACGCCCATCCTCCCAACATCTAATCTTCTGTCATGTACTATGTTGTGACTGACAATACTGGTTGCTGCTCGGTTTGTTGCGGATCTTTAGGTCTGGATTAACCAGGGAGACATCGTGCTCCTTTCGCTGCGAGACTTCCAAGATGACAAGGCAGATGTCATCGTGAAATACACCGCTGACGAGGCTCGCAATCGTGAGTCATATCTCATAATCTCTTCTGTCCCAGTGAATCTAAGTTTTTTGCACTCACAGTGAAAGCCTACGGCGAGTTGCCCGAGAATGCCAAGATCAACGAGACGGATACGTTCGGTGAAGAGGAGGGCGAATGCACGTTCGAGTTCGGTGACGAGGGCGAGGTCGATATCGACGACATTTAACGGTCTCACTTTCTCTTGCGTTCCGCTATCTCTTTCTGGAGGTGAGCATCGCCCTACCTTTGTTGATTTTGATAGCCTCTTATTTAGTATTTGTGCTGATTGGTCTTCTGCAACGGACAGCTCTGTATCACAACTGCGTTTCTCATGTGTTATTGTTTTTGTGTCCATTATTCTCACTGTTGACTAGTCACGCAATCGCTTGTTCTGCAAGTATATCATTTGCGTCTCCTACAATCTACGTGTGAAGTATGTGTGGCTAGAAGAAACATATGTGTGTCCATAATCAAGAAGTAGGAAAGAATAAGCTTAATCAAAATGTCCCGAGTGGCGGTTGGCATAAATATCGCCACATCCTCCTACCCATCACAGCTCCTGCTCCAGCCTCCTCAGGGTCAAGCTCAGGGTGCTCATTTCGGGCATGCAACCCTTCTCGTGCATCATCCAATTCGCTATGTGGGTAGCACGATGCTTGACCGCCGTATGAAGCAGCGCCGGAGTCACCTTCACCCTATCCTCCATCTTCCGTTTCTTCGCGCCCGACGCCACGTTCTCATCGTCCCCCTTCTCTGGCGTCCCACCCATCAAGGCCGCATTAACACCCTCGTCGCACCCCGCTCTACGGCCGGGGCTTGATGATCGAGGGACAGACGAAGGTGTATACGTGGATGGTGTGTGTCCTCGTTCGACCAACATCTTTACTAGCCCGAGATCGTGCATCTGGATCGCCACATCGACCGCTATCGCTCGCTTCAGCCTCGGATCCGCACCGTGCTCCAGCAGGAACGCAATCAGAGGCACGAAGTCCGCCAAAACAGCCTTCGTCAGAGCGTAGCCATCGTGCGCGTTCGTACTCGGTTTCGGGATCTTCGGGTGGCTATATAGGAACTTCAAGAACGGTAATGGGTCGTGACCTTCCTTCAAGGGTAAGTCTCCTGGCCTTTTCTGGCTCAACGAGCGGAATAGTCGTCGAGGAAGATCAGGGGGTGTGGATAGTAGGTGAGGGTGGGATGTTATGAGAGGGTGGGATAGGAGGGCCGAGATGACGGGTTGTGTGGCGAGGGGATAGCAGAGGATATGGCTCAAGAGGGAGGGGTGGTATGATTTCGTTGCGTCGAGTTCTTGATGTCTACCGAAGAGATATGTTGCGTGGACTGAGTGTGGTGCATGCCTGTAGACCGCATAGAGGTGTTTGCAGGTGAGTGGCAGGTGTTCCGACAAGGCGAAGAAGTGAATTTCATAGAGCAACTGTATATGATACAAATGAATGAGCGCTTCAGCAACATGTAACCAACCTCAGAAGACAAAATATGAGTAAAAACCTCGACTGGAAGTGTTGCCAAAGATTTTGGAGAGAAAGCCATTGTCGTTGTCGAAAGTGGCTAATGACTTGTCAGCGCCGCATCTGACATGAGAAAATCCGATAAGCGTGCGACGCGTCTCGGGTCAAGGAGCGAGAGGGTCCGACAGATTGGCGCACACTGTTTTGTTCGCATTGAAGGTCCGGTTAGAGCGGCGCCTGAACTCCCTGAACCGCTGACGAGGCTCTTCGCGCTCACGGGATTCGACTTGGCTCCGACGCGTCGTTCCCCATTTTCCGCATCATCGACTTACAACGCGTCCACACTGCCTAGAACCCTATTCTTACCTATAAAAGCCAGGCAAAATCATGCTGAATAATTACTTGCAACCTTTTTCCCCGCCCCGACCCACACATTCAATCGCCCACCCCTTTCCAAGAACAAACCATTGTCGTTGTCTCAGCAATGGCTGCCCCGAACCCAAACAAGTGAGTGGCCTGCACACGTCGGATATAATCATGCTTCTAACAGCCATACTATAGCAATATTACCCAGTGGCTTGCACCCAACGACGGTGGACGCTGGATTCTTAGGACTTACGCTATGAGAGATTACAATGTGAGTATCTCAGTCTCGTGGATGTGTAGTTCTATCATGCACATTCTGTGTCGGCTTACCCACGCACCAACTCAGCTTGCTGCCCGCGACCTGGACTCCATTCTTCCCAGAGAGATCAACCCGAATCCTTATGGCGGCCCGTATACTGAACTTATGTACAACGAGAACGACGTCGCGCAGTTGGCTGGAAACCTCAATGCCGTCCTCTTTACGGATACGAGCGCGAATTCACCCTTGGCAGCGCGTTCTGGGCAGGAGATCTCGAGATTCGAGGCTATGAATGTTTACAGAGTAAGCTCATTCAAATAATCTACTGTCCTTGTACTGAACATCGTTCTGTCTCAGCTCACAAGCTGCCAGCTGAACCGCATCATGCCCATTCGGATCGAGGTGAACCCAAATCCCAACAGTCATGTTGGGTTCATCCAGTACTATAACGAAAGTGACGTCTCGGTATGTGTTCTTGCTCCTAGCATGATTGGTTTCTGTTTACATTTTCCTCACCGACTGATTTGGCACTTCCGTCTGTCTAGACGCTCTACAACACCATCGAGCATGCCGCTGCCAACCCAACATCCCCCGGGCCACCCATTCCCTACAACCCGCCGGCCCCTCCCGATTTCCAAGGGAGCATTTGAGTGACATCTCGCAAATAGTTCGTCTCTCGGTTTCTTCGTTCGATGGTGAATGCGTACTAATCTCTCCTTTTGACCGCATGTTCGTAGTGCCCATTTTTTTCTCTCTACTTGATGATTCACTCTACTCGTTATGTTGTTGTATATGTTCCATATATTTCTCCTATCTCTCCATAAAAACATAAAAGCACTTTTTCTAGAAATACAAAATCCTATTCGTTTTTACTCGTAAAAACAATCATTAACAAATGTCGCAAGGACTATTGGCTGGAAGGTCGAGTGGTCTAGACGATGTGTGGTCATCGACCCTTCTGGGGCCAGCAAGGGTGAAAATCACACCTGAGGGCAAGCCCTTGTACAATCACTGGGGTCCCATTTTCGAGGAGCGCCCTCGAAGTCTTTGTGGGGCTTGTGGGTCCATGTGGATCCCCATCTTTTGCAAGCGGGATTATGAAGCCATGGTGAGACCTAGGACCGATCGCTCGGTACCTACGTGTCCGAACACGTACTTTCAGAACCTTGACTGTGGCGTCAACGTTTCGCTGCATCAACGTTGACGGTTGAATCTTCAATCAACGCTGAATCATCCTCAGTAATATTTACGGTCCTGCTTATTGAGAAATATTTGTAAGACAGATATCGTCCTGACTACACACGACTCTCGCGTCGAATCTTCATCTGCAAGTATGAGGCTGTTTTGTTATTGCTGGTATGAAAGTAGCGAACACAGAGAGTGAGAACACGGGGCCACCGCCACCACGCCAGTAAAATAGAACGTCCGAGATGCTCCGCGGCAGCTCGCACTCTGTTTATCTCTACGTTTTCCTTCCCTGAGGCCTGAGGTCTGAACCTTGAACTCGAATCATTCCTCAAGGCGAGCTGGTGGCTGGTCCATTTGAAGAGAGCTCTACGTGCTACTGCCGGCTCGGTTTCGCTGGGCCTTTGCTGGGACTGGTTCACGACTCGTCTAAGTACCTGAATCTTGACGTCGCTCGACTTTTTGGATCCCCTTTGACGACCGTACTGGCTCTGTAGGACCGTTCGAACCACTGGCATTCCCGTTCCGAATTGAACCACTACAACATGCTGAAAAGTTTACATCCATATCCATCTCCCTAACATCCCGGCGGCCCGCCGCACCGTCTGATGTTGTTTTCCACCAATCATCCGAACGGAAACATGGCACGATCCGTATGATAATAGTGCGGACCCGCCGACCGTTGTCTGCACTTTGTTCCGCAGACCGACTTTGAGGCTGGTTCGACGCGGACGCGCGGAAGTCCTGATCCAGAATTGTCAATCCCTGGGCCGCCTACCAACAGCTACTTTAGGCGATGTTTCCATTTCTGGTATCCTTCCGGTCAATGATGTCAACTCGCTGACCTCGCACTGTACATGTGTGTTCTTTGTATGGGACTGCATATGGACTAGCGTACACACGACATTTCGTTTCCCAGTGGCAATGACTCAAGATGATTTGCTGTCCCTCCGCCGCCGTCGAGGCTCCTCCGATCTCTCTCGCAGTTCTCGTTTAGGCTCGTTCAATTGCCGTCTACGGCGACACGACCATCTTACTATAAAAGCCGGGCATGCATACATGCTGAAGATGAAGATAGCTTCCTGTCTCCCGGTTTTTCTCCTCCTGCGTCTCAAACACCCACCTACGACAGTAGACCGCTATTGGTATCTCAACTCGGATGTCCGCCATGAACATAACCAAGTAAGTGGCCTGCACACTTAGACATAGGCCTTCGCCCAACAGTCATGTTACAGCACCGCTATTTTGCTCGCGCCTGACGACGGTGGGCGCTGGATCCTCAGGACCTACGCCATGAAGAAATATAACGTGAGTAGCCTGTTCACATTGAAATAATGAACCTCTATCTACGTGTCATTGCTTCCCTTCATTCGTATCTGACAGTGTCATTTTTAGCTGGCTGCGAGCGACCTCGACTCTATCCTGCCCAGATCCAGCGAACCAAACCGCTACGGAAGTCGTTGGACCGAACTCAAGTACAATGAGAGCGACGTCGTAGAACTAGCAGCGCGCCTAAATGCGGTTCTTTTCACCGGCAACGCGCCATTGGCGATGACAGTTGGTCCGGAGATAGCGAGACTTGACGCTATGATACAATATAAAGTACGTGCATTCGTTGGCTTATATCTTCAGTGCAGGCATTGAAGACCGCTCGTTTCTAGATCACGAACTGTCAGATGGATAGAATCCAGCCCGTTAGGATCGAAGTGGACCCGGACCCTAACAGCTCTACGGGCTTCATCAAGTACTACAACCAAAGTGACGTAGTGGTATGTTCTCTCTACATCTCCTCCTGATGTCGATTACATCTTGATTCACTCAACATTCGATCCCATTTAGGCCCTTTCCAATCAAATTTGGAATGCCGCCACTCATCCGACTTGTCATGGACAACCCATTCCATTCGACCCCTTCGCCTCGCCCAGTGACGATGTCGACATGGAATTTTGAGTGTTTCGCGACTGCAAAGGACTTCATTTTTCTGGCCTAGTCTCCCAGCGTATTCCCCTTTCCTCTGCGCACTAGTGGCGCCGTCAACTTCTCTTCCATCGACTTCTCACATCTTCCCTGTTTGGTCCGATTCTTCTGTGATACTTGTCCATGTACGATATAGTTCAGTGAGGTCTGCAAGTTTCTAGCAGATGCTCGGTTTTGTGGCTGAGTGAGGGGGCGAAGCTCTTCCACAAAGTCTACCTCATTTGCTCCAAATGTATGATCAGGAACCGTCACGGTCTCCATTCGCTCGTCTGAATGAGGTCAAGTTTCGTCAGTGTACACAGTTAGTATGACTAGCTGTCGCCAATTTCAAGTTCAAGCTGAGGCTCAAGGAGGAATTGTCGCTCTCCGATTTCGTACCTCGGACCCATACTTATGTTGCAGGGCATCTGTACAAGAACGCATCTGTGCATATATCTTCTCGCGCAATTGTATGGCACTCTGCATATCGCCAGGTCTGATTTAAGTGTCCAGCGGCGGCCTCCGAGCTCGATCAAAGACCGATCAAAAAGAACGGTGGGCCTCAGTGGCCGGACCCCGGATACTTTGTTGGTCCACGCTTTTTCCCCTTGTGCCTGTACGTTTAGCTCTATTGTTCTCCGGGTATATATATGACGCCTTCATGCGGAATCTCCCGGTACGTGAGGCTCACTGCGTCCGACAGCGTCCGACCCATCGGCCCTTGTGAGCATCTTCGAATATTTAGACCATGCGTTTACACAAGAGCTCCAGGCAAGCTCCTGGCGGGGACGCTGGAGATTGTTCGAATCCGAGGCAATGCGTGAGCATAGTACACCGCCACTGATCAGAACATCTATGTATAGAACGGATCTAAGATGCGCGCTCGGACTTGTCGCATCTCCCCGAAATCTCCCAGGTTCATGTGTGCAAATTCATCGCCTTCACGGGCTCTTCCATCCTTCGTGGAGGAGGCCTCTCTTCCGAATCATTCGAACTCTCACTCTTCAGCAGCTTCATGTGTAGTATCCTGGTCATCTCAGTTCTGGGCGCTCGGACATCCTCGCGTCTTCTCTTGGGTTTTCTCATGTCAGAAATGGGCTATCATTCTACGAAGCACTTTCTCCGTGGACTTCGACTTTGTGGGCTGCTCGAGTCACCTCGACACGGAGCAATTTCCCATACATATTTTATATTCTTGGCTATGTGATATGATTAGCCTGTTCTCGCTAACGAACGCGCACTTTTACTAAGTGCATGTGTAGCGCCTGTGCAGATGTAGCCATGTCAGTGACTCGGGGACTTGGATCATGATGCTTCGAAACTACCGATCCCTGAACATTTAGAGGGTAGCATGTGCTTCTTGCACAGCCATACCTGCCCTATGTGTGTTACTATAGGGTCCACTAGCGCCCCACAAATTTCATTTGTGGGTAAAGAAGGTGTGTCCCTCGCGACTTCCCGTGGTTGATTTCGTTTCACTTTCCCTAATCGAGCGTTACTAGGATGCGAGAAGACCCCGTTCGAGGCCTCCCACCCTAGGTATAAAACGGAGCAGCTACCCTGAAAAAAATTCAAGCTCTCTCTCATCTACCACTTTCTTCAGGCATCCTCTCGCTTCTTCCACTGCCAGCCATCTCTTATTCACAACTGCCTACATTTCGATGTCTGCTACAAACACATCCCAGTAGTAAGACCATTGCTCAAGACATGCAAGCCCTTTTTACTCACATAGACCTCCCGCAGCACCAGCACCACAGTCTGGCTCGCGCCTTCCAACAGTGGGCGTTGGATTTTCAAGACACAGGCCAGGGAGTTATGGGACGTAAGTTGATTACCCTTCGTTTCACAGTCCAAGTACTCTCACACACAGCTCATGACGTGCATTCTCAGCTCGCTGGTGGCGACCTCGACTCTATCCTTCCAAGGTCCATTGCACCAAATCGGCACGGTGGTCCATGGAACGAATACAAGTATAACGAGAGCGACGTTGCGAACTTGTCCGTGCGGCTGAACAGAGAGACATTCACGGATGTAAGCGCGAATGCTCCATTGGCCCCACGACTTGGTCCGGAGATCAAGAGGGATGACGCTATGAGCGAGTTCAGGGTATGTGGTCTTGTTGATTCTCCGTTCAGCACAATTCCTGACGGCTGTCTTCTTCTAGCTTGAGGATTACCAGACGAACCGTATCATGCCCGTTAGAATGGAGATATGCCCGGACCCTGACAATAGCACGAGATACTACAACCGGATCGACGTGGTGTTTTTTTTGTTCAGCTGTTGCTGGCTGAGTCATTTCTACTTCTATTAAGTACACCGCTTGATTGGCTGACTATTATACATTATAGGCGCTCTACGACAGGATTGAGAATGCCGCTGCTAACCCGACGTGCAACGGGCAGCGTATCCCCTTTGACCTTCTCACCTTGGCACCAGACAAGTCGCAAAACGGTGCGCACCCGTGAGCACCGCATTGGTAGCACATGTTAGTCCTATCTGGTTTTGTCGTTCCGGTTCTATGGAAAGCTCACACACAGTGCTTTCAAGCAGAATTCCTGTGGCGCTCTTAGCAGTGGATCCCGTCTCGATGTTTTAGGTTTCTCCTTCTGGATTGTTTCGTCTCTCGTATTTTTCATGAGATGCCCATGTATTCCAATGTTTTTGTTGCGATGATATGATTGTTTTCTCGTCGCAACAGTGTCTGCTGATACACATACTTACTTCGAGACCTCGTGCTCTTCTTTGATGAATATTTCTTTTACTACTGATATTGTAAGTCGTCGATTCAGAAGATCCTGGGCAATCCTGGACACCAGCCTTATATCAAGAAGGGGATATTGTGGTCCAATAGTACCCAAGCTTGGGCGTTTCATGAGCGCAGAGCGCTCGAACATCTGCATTTGGCGCAAGTTCGCCGTCTGAACTTCTCAGACTGCTGCATTCTGCGAAGTTTCCCGGCGCTTGCGCAGTCCGCAACTTATCGCAATAGAGCCTCCAGCTCGATCAAATACCAATCGAGGCGATGACTCTTAGACTCTGAGCAGCAGGAACGGCGATGATCCCTCCGAAGCCTTGTAGGTCCATGTTTTCTCGGCTAGTTCCCCCTGAATCGGAAGACTTGATCGATAGTAAAGGCTAGCTTGTTTAGTCACGACACGCAGCCGTTTTGGGAATACAATGAGCCATTGAGTCGGATTTTGAGAGTGGAGCTCGGAGCGGCGAACTATTCCTTCCGAATCTCTCCTCGGGCAGTTTCATCCAAGTCTATCCCGTCCCCTTCCACACCAAAGCTGTCCTCGGAGGATTTGGTGACTCTCCTGCGAAAATCCGTCAAGACCTTCCGAATGGCGTATTGATCCTTTTGATCCAACCCGATTTAGAGATTTGTCCGGCATCCACGTCATCCTTATGATTAACCGGCTTGTTATCCTGTTTAGCATAGGATCAGAGCCATGATACAGGGTCCTCCGTCTCGATCGACTCATCGGTGAATTCAATTCTCATGTCGCCTCCTCAATACCCCGTTCCTCCGTCCCCTGCTTACCACCTAACCCTCGTATCCTCGACCATATACGGCTCCACGAATTCCGTTACTCACGCTGAGGCCCACTGTGTTTCTCTGTACCTAGTTCTATCCAGAGCAAAGAGCAATCAAAGGATTGTTTCGGCCCCACGAGAACGCATACGAGAGTACATGCCGTATTCTGAATGAACCAAATTCATCTGATTCTCGGAGATCCACTAACTCAGTCGCAGTTGAATGGAAACATGTTCGTGAAGCTTCCTCCACATGTACACAAGCGATAGAGAGAACGGAGATACCATGGATTCAAAACCTAGACCATGTTGCGAAAGGGTTGTTTATATTCACAGATATTCACAGAAGAGGCAGGTTGCGGTTGAAGTACATGGTGGAGAGAGTTAGAAAGGCAGAAAGAAGAAGAAAAAAAGTAGGAGATACGACATATCGTTGCGCGTGGTCCCAGGCAACGCCACATCAAGGAAGCTGAGGACTCACTGAATGAGACAGTCTGCACGGTTCACGGGCATGATTACAGCACTGAGAAAAGAACTGGAACGTACAGGCTCAGCGCTGAGCTCTCCATGACTAGGTTCAAAAATATGAACAGTACCAAGGCGTTCTCGAACGTCCACGATGTTCCCGAAGCAATCAACTTGACTTCGTAAGGAGATGCGGCTGCTCCATTTCCAACACACAGCACAATAGCATAGCCTACCGGATACTATAGCAGCAAAAAGGACGTACCACGATGTCACAATCGACTCGTCTTGCAAGACCGGCTCATGGCACCAGAGTCCCGTTCTTCACTCTGCAATATGTGCTCTTCACTTAGTTTTCAGTCATTTCTGAGACTAAGTCTTCTACATAAACATCCGCAGATACGCGTACGTGTGAAGCGGAAAGAAGGTCATCAACGAAAGGTCTGCAGGTGGATGAGAGGTACTGCGCGAGCCCGACGGTAAAAATGTGTTTGTTCCATAGCTATGTGAAACCAGGAAAGCAAGGCTGCCAAAGAGATAAAGGAGCGAGAGTGGGCCCAGAGTGAAAAATCCCAAAGACTGGCAGAGCTGTTGGGACGGTGGAGGGCGGGGCATCAGTGTCGTCGCTGTGGTTCATGAGCGCTTCGGAAAGAAGAGAAACAGAGCGTGCAACGCGTCTCGGGTCAAGGAGCGCGCGGACCCGACAAATTGGCGCACGCGGGTTTGTTCTCGTTGAAAGTCCGATTCGGACGTCGCCGCTACCGACTACTAGGCGACCTGTGCCTCTATCTGCCTCCAAGACCCCGTCTGATGACAGCTGCGTTCGGCCTCCTTTCAAATCACCCACTCGCCATGAAAGCGCCGCATCTAGAAATTCGCTGCGCTATAAATTGAGCCCCTTGGGCCCAAGTAAACACCACCCACGACCTTGTCTCCCCCATCCCCCACTCCCACCTTTCTACGGCTCGGGCACTAACGTCCTACCTTCTTCTGTTCCATCCTTCTTGCACTCGTTATATTAAACAATGTCCAGGTAAGTATCGTGGCCGTTGTTCGTCCAAATTCTACATTTCACTCTGCTGACGTTCGAATTCGCTCGCAGACTCGCAGAGCCGAATGGCCATTATATCTACAGATCCGACCCCGATATCAAGAAGATCTACAAGGTACGCCTTTCGATTTTGAAGGCTGGGTTTGGAGACCGTCACTGACCTCGTCTTCTAGCTTTCTCCTAGCGACCTCGACTCCATCCTCCCCATTTCGGATACGCCTAATCCTCATGGCGGGCGCAACAACGTCCGCATCTATAACTTATGCGACGTTGTGAAGCTATCTCTAGAGCTCAACGTACCAACTTCACCTCCAAGCTCCCCCCCTCCTGCCTCAGGGAGTCAGTCAAGCAACCCTGCGCTCGCGGTGCAGAAGGGAGCAAAGATTCTTCGAACGAATGCTATGAAGGAGTATAAGGTATGCCTTGCTCTATCGGTGTCCTACTTACATTTTGCTGATAATGTCTTGATTATTCTCTGGCTATAGCTCACGGGGATACAGTTGGACAGGCTGAAACCCATCAGCATCGAGCCCAACCCGCATCGCTCTACAGGTACCATGCGTTACTATAACCTCTGCGACGTCAAGGTACGCTCCTTCCGCCTGTCACCCGCATTGACCTTCTTCTGTACGCCTTGCTTACGTGTTTGTTCTCGGCCCTCAAGGACTTGGCGCAGAAAGTAAACTCTGCTGCCGCATCTCCTACGAAGAAATATGTTCGGAAGCGTTACGCTCCATACTAGACGCAGGCAAGACTTGAATCAAAAGTCTGTCAAGGTTCCGAGACGTGACTGTTGTTTCTGTGTCTTGGATTCTTCGCCTATATTCCTGTGGACGTTCTACTATGGTTCCTTCTTCACTTCTCAGGTACATTATAGCTGTTAGTTATGTACGAGTACAGCACTCACCGAGCGCGATACGCACATTATGACTTTTGGGGTTTTTTTGTGCATGCGTCGTTTGCGTCGCGAGTGACTTCTCCTGTGATTTTGATGTGCGGTTTCACAATGTATTTTTATACCATCTCTTTATGCAGATGTCACCGCGTTACTTTTGCATCGATTTACAAGGTTGAAGGCGGGCTTTTGGGCCACCGCCACTGCGCTACCGAGTAATACTCCTCCGATCTAAACTCCGCCCATTTTTTTTTTTTTTTTTTTTTTTTTTTGGTTTAAACTCAGCGTCGAGCATTCGCCAAGGGCAAACCTCTTCCGCCTCATCGTCGGTGGGCGGGGGATCTCACCCCGCAGTCCAAAATGACAGAAACCCTGGGGAAATGCTTTACGCACGAACGACTAGATGTCGAACAGTGTAGGGCTATCATCCGTCTGGTCTCGGGTCTCGAGTCCTTCTTGATGGTATACCTACTAAAACCCCAGCCTGCCAGAGCCAGTTCTCCGGCAGATTTTCCTCGTTGAGGAGAGTCCCGTTCCATGTTTTGAGCACGAGATCTGGTCGGGTGGCTTTTGTTCCGAATTTCATTTTATTACTTGTGCTTCGGTCAAGTGATAGCCGTTGGTTCATAGTGAAGACCCATTTGTTATGGATTTCATTGTGGGAGAAGCTCATCTCAGGGTCATCTTCATGTTGTATGCGACGGATACAACACAATTTCCATATAAGGTGGGCGGATTCAGAGATGAGGATGCGCCACAGTCGGTTTGCCCCGGGTAGTCTCTTTCCGTCCCCCGTCTTGAAGTCGCTCACTCCGCAGCCTAGGATTGTACCATAGCTGAAAGCATTTGGCCATTGCATGCCCTTTCGCTCCCAGAGTCGTTTTGCCAGGCTCCAGATTAGTACTCTTCCTCTTGCTGAGCACTCTGTGAGTATGTGTCTTGTTGTTTCGCTCGTATCGTTACAGCATGGGCACGTTCCTCTATGCTCATAATTCTGTATGTTTTCCCAGTATGATCCGCATTTGAAACCAGCATGTAGTACCCTCCATATGAAGGTGCGGTATCCTCTGGAGAAGTCCCTGTGTCGTATGGAGTCCCAGATTTGGGCATCGGTTAACGTTCTGCCACATAGGTTTTTAACTCCCTGTCTCGCCTCGCTGAGCTCTTGGCTTGTCCTGTTACGGACCGGTTTGTTTTCTTTCATTCTTAGACCTTTGTATAAGAGCGACTGTGTCGCCTTAACTAGTTTGGCTCCTGTGAGCCTAAAACGTTGGGGTATGTGAACGTTGAGATCGCTGTGTTCAAGTTCCGTCCCCGCGCCGGCCAGTTCGTCAGCTCCTTCGTTCCCAGCGTTTCCATTGTGACCTTTGACCCATTCTAGGTACGACTTGTTTCCTCTTCGCTGGAGTATGGCCGCGGTGGCTTGGAAGAGGTAGGCGTTGGATATACCGATCCAACCCATGTCCGCCCACTTAGGTAGGTGCTTTGTGAGGCCGTTGATTCCGTATCGGGAATCTGATGTGATTGTGAGTGGAGCGGATAGAGGTGTTCTGTCCGCTGCATACCAGATCGCGAGGAGTTCTCCGGTCCGCCCACTTTTGTAATGCGGAAGCAACCGTTGAGTCGCTATTTCCGCTCGTCAACCACTGCTCCTGTCGACGAGGTTTACCTACCTCCTATGCTCGCATTTTTCTCCTTTGCCTTGTTTTTTAAGGGGAACGATTATGTTATGGCCTTCGAATGCTCGAGAACGCTAGGGAATGGATAAAATCTAGACTTTTCGGAAAGCACGCAACTATTCAAGCCCTCTCTTCCGTCTCGGACTTTCCGTTGCTACAATCATGTCAAAGTATGATATTACTTCTTTATATGGCCCCTAATATAATCTAAGATTGCACCCCATCGTACAGAAAACCTACACAGAGCCACGAAAGCAAGGAACCGGGAGAGGCCATCCCTCGAACGGAGGTCTTCAAGCGCTTCAAGGCGATTTACGCTCCCTGTATCTTCATAATCAGCGCATCTGACCTCCTTTGAGTGGCAGATCAAAGCAGAAGATCTTGACGAAGAGTTGTCATCGTATAGTGGCGCGAAGACGAGTCGGATACACAAGCTTTGCGATGTCCAAGACTTAGCTATACACCTCAAGCTTACTCGGTCCTCGGATCCCAATCTCATAACGGAAAGAGATGCGCGCAGAAAGTACAAAGTCAGTAGCATGTTTTCTCCTTTCCCGTTACTGAAGTAGGCTCGTTAATCATTTACATGATGACAGCTCAAAGTATGCGATATGAAAAAGCTAAACATCGTCCTCGTCGAAAAACGTGTGTATTATAGACGCTCTGACGTAGAGGTAAGTCTTTACCTCTTCCTTCCATCTGAGCTCTCTCATCGTCCAGTTCCTGTCCATTAAATAAATATGTTACCCCCACAGGAACTCAATGTGAAGATCAAGGCAGAACTAGTCAAGAAGGGCAGAACTCCGAGGATGCCTCGTAACCACTACATACCGCTTGATGATTGGGCATCTTCCGACGAGGATGATCATTGCGGACGGTACGATGGCATGTCTCATGAAGATGCAGCTGATCTCTGTGAGTTCCCACTGTCTTCGCACGTGCTGTCTCGAATAAACTTTTGTCATCGCAATTGCTGAGGACTTAGCATCTCTTGGGTGCTAGGAGACATCTATACGTAGACTGTGTAACTGTTGTCGCCCATGCTAAGCGAACATGCCCGACTACTCTCAGGATACGTCTCTTTCCTTGCACATTCTGAATTTACAGTTTAGCCACTCTATCAGCTGTTCCCAGACCCGATTACTGTTCAAAGCTTCATTGAAGCATTTTGGCTTTCTCCTCGGCATTGACATGTAGTAGCTTTTTATAACCAAAGCTGCTATGGTTCTGCCGGTCCTTCAACGCTTCTCACCCGCAAACTACTGCTGCCATCTACCCACTTCTCCATCTGTGTTTCACTTCTACCGCTCCACTGGAACACACAGAGTTCGGGCGTCCCTACCACTGCGCTTTACCCGCGGCTCGATGATTCCCCCCCTCGTGAGAGAGAAAAGCTGGGCGCGTAGTATAAGGCCCCATCTCTTCTGAGCATCGCACTTTGCCCCTCGCGCTGACTTGTACCATCGATTCTGCTCGCCCGGCTGTCCACCATGCCTTCTCCTGCGGAAGACTTACGCGCTCTGCTCTCATTAATCAACACCTCTGCGGAAGAGGCCATCTCAATCTACGAGGCAGCTGGCTCTGTTCCCACTTTAGACACTATCGAGGCGTTCAAGGTACCAGAAGGAAATATCTCGCTGAAACGAACTCTCCGCACTTTGGAGGCCGCATGTAACCAACTCACATCCACTCTCATGCCTCCTGACTTGAGCGTATATACAGTAAGTGGTTACTTTGCTGCGACCATCATGAAGTTGATGATGCAGGGACTACCTAGCGTTGCACAGCAGCTATGGACGCTGTCTGTACTCAAATTGTTATAAACAAGAAGATACCAGACATCCTGCTGAATCATTCTAAAGGCCTCCATATCTCCGATATTGCCTCAGAGACTCAGCTCGAGGAAGGAAAGCTCCTGCGAATCATGCGATTTTTAGCGGCAAAGCACTGTTTCCGCGAAGGTTAGCTCTCGCCTCCCATGACCTCCGAGTAGTACCTACATGGGCCTGTGGGTATCGCTAACTCGCACGATGCCCATGTGTGGCATATTACCAGTCGAACCCGCCACGTTCACGAACAACCCACTGTCTCTGTCTCTTCTCTCCGACACGCCACTCTGGGCTATTCTCGCTGTTCGGTTGAATCACTTTGATCCGATTGCCATTGGGAATTTCTTTGAGGCCTTGACATCTCCTGAATATAGCCACTCGTATAGTCCAAGCAAAGCACCGTTCTCACTTGGAATCAAGGACAGAATGCCGGACGGAACGGCCTTTGAATGGCTGCAGAAGAATGTCAGTCCATCTTGTACGCTAAGACCTTTTGGGTTCCAATGCCCTAATCATATCACTCTTGGACTCATTAGCCTGAGATGAGTGCGGTGGGTTTCTCCGACTTTCAAACAGCGAGTCCTTCAAGGGCTCACCTCGTCATCAATAACAGCTCTTCAATCGCAGCATGATGGCCTGGTTCAGCATGACCGATGTAGACATCGTTGACCGTGGTGAGTGTAGATTGTATCCACAACTTTCCCTGCTCTGCGTAATGATTCCTGCCTCAGAGTTCCCCTGGAAGGATCTTCCGGAGGGTACCACGGTCTGCGATATCGGTTGTGGCAATGGATTTGTGCCCCTCAGGATATCCAAGGCGCACCCACACCTTCGCTTCACCATGCAGGATAGAGAGTACGTCCTTGAAGATACCAAAGCGGTATGTGTCTCATTAGTCACAGCTTGCTATGGACGAGTTTACTGAGATCAAGCCTCGATAGTTATGGGAGAAAGAGCATCCCTCCCCTCAGACACACGCCAACTTCGTTCCCATAGACTTTTTCAAATCGCCTCCTGTGATGGCTCAGGACATCTACTATGTGGGTAGTTATGGCACTGTGCGCACGATAGACATGTTACTAAGCGTAGCATATGGGTAACAGATTCGGCAGGTCATTCACGACTGGCCTCGCGATGAATGCATCGCAATCCTGAAGAATATACGAATGGCGATGAAGGAGGGTAGTCGCCTGTTACTTCGTACGTGTTTGGTCTCTTCTCGAATAGGTTTCGTTCGGACTGACGTCCTTCTCTACCGGAAGATGAATACATTCTCTCGTCGACCGTTGTAGATAAGGGGAAGGCGAACGGTCATGGCGCCGCCAACGGCGTCAACGGAAAGACCGTTAATGGTGTCAGCGGAAAGGCCCTGAACGGTGTCAAGGGAGACGACAAACGCAGATCGCGATGGTGGACACTGGGCACGAAGGATCGCGCCACGTTCAAAAAATCCCAAGGACACACGGTAAGTTGCGCGACTATCTATTGTCTGCAGTTCAACTAAAGCATCTCCTGGAGACTTTGGAGGCAAACATTGATAGGGTATGTGTCCATTTGGTTAAGCTAGCGATCTACGACACTTGTACGATCTGACACTCCTTTCCGCACACAGGCACCCTATCCTCTCTTGCCGAACTACGGCTACGGAGCAGCCCGCAGCGGATTTTTGGATTTGGAAATGCTGGTTCTTTTCAACGCGTCGGAGAGAACTCTTGAACAGTTCAAAGATCTTGGGTAAGAACTGTTGTCTCGCGATTTTTTGTGTTTACAAGTATTGACAGCCCTGAACAGTGAGCAGGCGGGCCTCCGATTCGTCAAGGTGTGGCACCTTGCGGAGACCGGTCTCATCGAGTTCGCCCGAGACTAGACCTCGAAGACTAGGTCGCGACGTCGTGGTAGCTCACAAGACACAATATCTTCATCCCTGCTGCGCATTCCAGTCACATAAATGGTCTTTTTTTACATTCCATGTCGATCGTTTCGGTGGTGGGGAGCGCGGCGAGTGTCCTCTTGAATAGGAAATCAGGCCGGAGCTATACCCTTTACAATATTGTAGAACGCGTATTCTGTGGGCGACAGTCTCGATGAACAGCCTGAATGGTACAGAGTTTAGTAGTGAACCGCAATAGCTTTACACCCATATGATGGGAATACGAAAGAAGCAAGGCCCTTTGAAGTCGAGATTCGTCAGTCAACGGCCGGTACCAGCCTCTGCCGGTGAAATTTGCCCATGAAGTTACCGTCTACAATGCGTTGACCGACGGGCCGGGGGACGGATAGCTTTGTGCTGGCGTTGCTATGCACGAATTGAGACATGTCGCACTTTGTCGCGGCATGGACCCACGGTCCGCCGAAGGAACCGCCGGGACCCGTGTCTAGGACCCAAGAAAAATTAGGCCTCAGTCAAAAATGTGGCTGCACAAAGCCGAGCCTAAGGACTACATCACAGTATCCGCGAGGATCTGGGCGGACATCCTTACTAACAAATCAAGGTCATCGTGCACATCAGTGACTTTTCTCGAAATTAGTCCTACGACGAAAAAAAAAAAATAACGTGACTCAGAACCTGTACTAGCGCGCTTGGGCCCCTGAAACCACCTATTGTTCAATGTCGGTCCCAGGTGAAACCTATACAAAACTCTGGCCCTGGTCCGGCACGGAGCTTAGCCTAGCAACGACACCCCACGATTAGGGCGAAACGGAAGCAACGAGCAGACACGGCACCCAAAAGTTACTAAAAAGGGAAATGTCCAGATAAGGCAACGAACAAAGCGATTACGGAACCAAATAGAGCTAAGGGTATAAATACCCATGGGCGTCGCAACGGGAGAGCACTTCATTTCCCCCCCGCTCTATCCTCTAGTCCCATTCTCATCCCTGCTTTTCTGCCTTCCTCTCGCGATCACCGTACACGCCTAGAGGATATGAATCATACAAGCTACACTCAGTACGACCAAGGAACTTGGGACTGGGCGTTGCAGAACCTGCTGGAAACCTTCGGCCCTCAACCTTCTGCCTCCGTCCCTCAGATACCCCAACACACAATGCAACAAGCAACGATGCGGCACGTCTACCCACCGGCATCGTCGCAAGCTACGACGACCCAGCAGCTCAATGGCGCGTGTCCGAACTACTACGATGCACAACCACAGGTACGCATTAGACGGAGCTCTCCTTATGATCCACACACTGACACGCAACCTTGACAGTTCGCGTATCCCTTTGTTCCTCAAGACAACCTTCCGTCTCTGATGCAACCGCACTCAACGAATGCCCACACCAACATCAACAATTCCGACTGGAACTTCAACTTCACCTTCCCCTCCTACCTAGCGAACCCGTGCTCCTCTCAGGCTCCCCTCCCTAGGCAGACAAAGCCTTTGCCACGGCGTGTAGCTGCGATGGAGCCTGAGATGCCCCACTTGGCCCCACAAGCTCCCCCCGTCTCGTCGGAACCCTTTAGACCGCCCGGCTTCATGTTCGCTCCGTCGAATCCCCGGCCGGCGACTCCGGGTCAGAGGGCATCGCCAGGCGGGATGCGATCTGATACCACGGCTTCGTCTGCTGCTGCTCATCGCACTCCGTCCCCTGGCTCGTCTAGTGTACCTTCATCCAACATCCCTCCAGAGACCTCTACTCCGCCGGCTGTGCATGAGACTAGCTCCGAGGATGCCGCTTCTCTCGAAGCTCTGCTCCGCTTCGCTGCGTCCGTACGCGCAGAGGCGGCAGCGAAGAAAAAGTCAACCTCTTCTCGAAAGAGGAAGGCCCCGCAGCAGGACGCCCCGACGAAAAAGAAGACCAAGACAGGCACCTCGAAGTCTGTCTCAAATACAACGCGCAAGACCGCATCCGTGGTCCAGCAACAACACCAAATTTCAGCGGAGAGACCCGAAGGCAGGGAGGTCCCCACGCCCGAAGAGCCCCTCCCCTTGAATCCCAGTGGTGCCACTGGACCGATTCCGCACACGGACGACCAGGTTGCCCAGACGTCGACGCCGCCTGATCAAAAACTTCGTTGCCCCATCCCCGGCTGTTACGAGAAGAAACCCAAGATCTACAACCGGGATCTGGACGTCTACCGCCATATCTGCACCGTCAACCGCCACAAAGCCGAACGCGCCAAACCAGGTTGGGAAAAGCGCTGGGGCATCCCTGACGACTATCACGGAAAGTTGGTGGCGTGTCCGTACACCAGCTGTGAGGAGAACTGTGAGGGACGTGAGATCCGCAGGGACAGGCTGAATAAGCATATGCGGCGGGAGCACGGTATGGATTTGGAAGAGTGGCGCTGTAGGGTCCGTGTCTTGACTCGGCGGATGAAGAAAGCGGGCACCTGGACCGAGGAGGACGCGACTAGGAAGTATTGGAAGTACGAAGAGGAGGTGGACAACTTCCAGTACCTACCAAGCGATTGAGACTTTTAGCAGACGTAGGTGAAGGCGCGTATGGACCTCTTATGAACAGCGACGTACCTGATAGCTCGCATTAGATTCGTGTACATTTTTCTTTATATTTTCGCGCAGGGATTCTCGAGAATGACGTGGAAGCCGTAATATCTAGAGCAAACAGAATTGTGTAATGAATACGATTAAGTAGAATAAAATATGCCTCATATACGAATTACAGACGATGCCTGTGGTAAAAGACCTTCTGGTCGAATGACCCGTGGCTAGCGTGATAGCAAAGGGTGTGGCGAACTCATTACATGAGTGGCGAGACAGGCCATGCATATGGTCTGGCTGGATAGACTACCACTATGCGTAGAAATAGAGTAGTAATGCTCACTGAAGCGGCGGTGAAAGACGTCGTACATCCAACATGGGTCCAGAGAGGAAGAGTGATGGAGAGCCATCAAAATCGGGAGGATAACGCTTCGGGGACCACTGACATACCAACGCCTTTATACCGCGAGCAACTTCGCCTGGTGCTCTTCGGATTTCCCTTTGAACACCTCATGATTTCCGCAATCGAGGCTTCAGCCTTGTACTTCGACCCGTGAACAAAGGATGTTGTCGCTCGTTACGGATGAAAGCATGGGAGAGAGTATTATCTGAAAGGGATGCCAAATTTGGAGGTAGAGTTTGTTTCACAGGTCTGTAAGCCCACAGGGACTCGTAGCCTTGTTTCCAAGAAAGTCAGAAGGTCTCGGAACGGGGATGAGAACCGTTGTTAGGTGTAGTGCATCCGAATCGAACCAAAAGATACTGGCATGGACGAAACGAAGTCCTTACAATATCCGAGTCGAAACCACTGAGATGTCGGAAGAACCCAAAGGGGGCAGACTCGGAGCGGGTTTAACTTTTCCTGGGCATTTTAGCGAGTCGCTCACGGAAGGAGAAGCATGTATAGCTGAAAAGCTGTTTGATAGCACGAGTGGACGGCGAAATCAACGAGCGGGAGTCGCGCCCGCCGGTTGAACGATTGGCTGCTCTGCTCGATGCACGTGTCGAATCCTGATTCGGCCGGGCGACGTCGCTTTGGCGGCTGGCATGTCTAATTTCAAAATCGTCAACTTAGTACTCAACTTCCGTTTTCTTTGGTTTTCCCTCCTCTTCAAGTACACTGAACCATTCCATCGCGGTCTGCTGGTTGGACAGACCAGGCTCATCTAGTACGTAGGTCATGACTCCTAGGCCTGCGACCTTAATGGCTGACCAGTCACGGTGCAACGGCCCTGTACGTTTTCATCGGCATACTGAAGTCCGCACACTGCAATGACTGCCACGGTAGTCTCTTCATCTGAAAACTTTTCAAGTCCGCTTCCTTGACTTGTTCATGTCACTTATTCCCCCTTTGCATGCGAAACCTTGGCTCATGAGTACTCACAGGATGCGACAAGTGAGATGCCACCATCATGGTATTTTCTCCGCGGCAGGCCACCGTGACATATCCACAGGCCTGTTCTACGTTTTCTACCACTCGTAGCTGGTGTCCCAGCAGTACGCTTCCACCGTACCTATGGTGACTGTCAGCGTCTCAAACAACGGCTCCACGATACTCTGAGTGTGTTCGAAATTGTTACCATACTTACATCTTGTCTCCGACTCACTCTCACTGAGTTTGGTCAAAGCGGATGGAGGAGGACATAGACGCGAACACCACCATTGACCAGGCTTCTGCCGCGACTGTGGATTCAGGACCCCCCTCTCGTCCATCCGGTTCTCATGTCGTGTCTTGCATCTTGCGAACCATAGTATTGGCCAGCGGACGAGCTCTTCCTTATGGAGATGAAACCCTCAGAAGCAAGATTTCCGGAGCGCTTGAAAAGTTCATTTAGATCACCATCTTGACGATCACTTGACAAAAAAGGCTCGCCTCGCCCATCGTAATGAAGGCCTCCATTGCATATGTACTCGCAACTAGAGGGGCCCACCGTTCCTCGAGGATGTGCTGTCTCGAGTCTGCTGTCGTTCCCTGTGGGCATGCGGTGGAATGCGCGGCCAGAGATCGGCCTGGTTCTGAGCTTCTTTTCAATCTTTTTCTTCTTTGCTGATACCGTAAATCACGTCAAGCTGCCTCTATTGACCGACACTCTGTGCCCGCCACTGCATCGTAGAAGAATGTCGTCACGAAGGTGAGTCCGTGCACACTCAAGGCCTGACGTCGACATCTTTTTATTGAGATACAACACGCCAGTGAGAATTGTGCACCCGCACAGTCCCCTGCTCGATGAAAATTCACCGCTTCAAACCTGGAAACATTTTATTGCTCAGCGTGTTGGCAGGTGGGATCTCTTAACTCCACTTCCGTCTGTTACGGGACCAACTTGCAGCCACGGTCGGTGCTCTCTGACCGCTGTTTGGTGATATCCGACTGTGATCATCTCCTGGCCACGCTCCATGCGGCTATGTAATATTAGCCAGGGAACAAAGGATCGGAACAAAACGAGGCATGACGACTTCAATGGTGACAGCATTGCACTTGACATTTATTGTACTCCGCACCATGCTCGTCATCCTAAAAAAAATGGCATTTGCTTGACTCTATGTGAGTATATATAAAGGCAGACCTCAGACAATATACCTTATCCTCCATCCCTCAATCGCAAGCACACAATTTCGACCATGCAATCGTTCCTCGTTGTCTTCTTTGCGGTATGCACCCGACACCTTTCTTTCTTTCCGTTCATGTCCACTCTGACCAAGGTCTCCCCAAGATCGTGACCGTCGTCCTAGCGGCAGGCCCCGCCGCCGTTCCCCTCGGCAGTGCAGGAACATTCGTTATCCTTGCCAAATCAGGAGTCTCCACCGTTCCCCAGTCTATCATCGGTGCGTTTGTTCATACTGATACCTCGAGGTTGACTTACGGTAATGTATCCGATTTGCATAGATGGTAATATCGGCGTGAGCCCCGCGGCATCGAGCTCCCTCACCGGATTCTCTCTCACTAAAGCCGGCACCTTCGCGGCCTCGCACCAAGTCATTGGGGAGCTTTATGCCGCAGATTTCACCTCACCGACGCCAAGCCAATTGACTACTGCAATTTCGGACATGCAGACTGCCTTCGTCAACGCTGCAGGACGTGTTAACCCAGACTTCCTCAATCTCGGTAGTGGTACGTACATCACCAATCATCCATCCAGCCCATCTATCATGCGACATGTTGATCTCGTCTTGCTTATATATTTTCGGTTTGAATCACAGGCAGCATCGGTGGATTGACTCTCAAGCCTGGTCTGTACAAGTGGACCAACTCCGTCTCTATCCCATCCACGGTGACCATATCCGGCACTTCGTCCGATAGTATGTCTTTTCCTCCTTACTCTACGTACAATAGCTCTTAACAGTCCGTGGCATTCAGCGTGGATCTTCCAGATCTCCGGCGGGCTCTCCTCCGCTGCAGGTGTCAAAGTCATTTTGGCCGGCGGTGCGCGTGCAAGCAACATCGTCTGGGTCGTCTCTGGTGCGCATCAGTGATCCATCCATTAAAACTATGGTTCCGGTCCGAAAAATATTGAACTAATATTATATTTTGATCTTTACCGTGGCATAGGTGCCGTCACACTCGGCAGCACTTCGCATTTCGAAGGCGTATTGCTCGGCGCTACTTCTGCGACACTCGTCACGGGAGCGACGATGAACGGCAGGGTGTTGGTCCAGACCGCGGCTGCGCTCCAAAAGGCAACTCTCATTGAGCCTTGATCTTTGTGTCGATGTGGTGCTTGTAGAGTATCCCTCCTACTTATGCCCGCTTTCCTCTCTAACCCGATATTAGTACATCGGCTTTGTTACGGTCATGTGTCACTGGTCCTACTCTATTTCTCTGGCTTCATTTTTGGGAATTTGCCGTATACATAAATCATGATGATTACGCATCGATATCGTACCCAGATTTCATCTCAAATAAAACTGGCACGATTAAATGTGTAAAGAGCCGAAAAGGCTAATAGGGCATACGAGGAAAACAAGAAATGTGGAACAGAGGAAAGATAGAGGGGTCGGTAAGAGACGAGCGGATGGATAAATACTAGTATAAAGAATCAAGGACGAGTAGAGGTCTGTCCTAAAGGAAGATCGTTGCCCTAAAGCTGAAGGGAAAAAAAATCATGGTCCATTTGGGCTCTGCTCCCTCGTCGGAGGTATCATAGAGACACTAACCCTATGGCGATGACGGAGACTCGAGACACCGCTCTGCTCGCTCACGTTAGCGTGACCATGACCCAGTCTGGTCGTCAGTAGACGCCCTGCCCGAGACTTGTCCGGATAAATGGCGTGGAAGTTATCCAGAAGATTCTGTATCATCAGTCTCTGAGGGCCAACGACGTCGGAAGAAGTCGCGATCGATGTCAGGGATGTCGAGGAGCCCATGTTGAACATATCCTCGAAGAAGGGTATGATGAGTGCTCTGGGGCGATGCTGGTTTCGTTGTGCATTTCCCCGAAGTAGTGTACATAGCGATTGCAGTGCGAACTGCTTCGAAGACGTGCTGTACGCTATGTCTGCACGATGCTAGACTGGGAGTACATGAGAGTGAGGATATTATCGCAGAACCTTGTAAGGGGAGCGGACAGATTCTCAGATGCGAGATTACTGTACCTGGGACGTGACAGATGAATCACGCTGTTGATTGGGTAGTGTGCCACCAAGCGTTGGACGCCACCAGTAGCATGATAATTCAAGCCAGCCGGTAAGTAAAGCAGAAGTCGGCGACGGGTCACCTGACCATAATATAATCAGACACGGAGGGTATATTGTAGAACGAAGAAAAAGCTTGGGCGACGTTCACGAGGAGCCTTGTGGTGCCGAGTCGCCTTTCCACTGGACGAAGCAACAACGAAGAAGAAAAATAGGTTAGCAACAGCATGTGGCGTCTCGAATAGAGCAAAACGTATGCCAAGCCAGTTGAACAACTTACTTTAACCATAGCATAAATCTCATATCCAGTCGTTACTTCTGCATCGTCGCCCTTCTCCTTTCCCGATCGCTTGCCTTTACGCCTAGGTACTAGTCCCTTCGCGTTGCAGCATCCCTTGCCAAGGTGTATCGTACTTTCGAACTATGGATATAGCAAATGTTCAGCGTCTGAAAAAATCGAGTCGGAAGAGGTATCGTTTCACAGACCTGGAACCCTAAATGTTGGTAACGGTCCCTCGAGTTCTGAGTTGTAGCCTCGAGGATATAAGTCTCATTTGGGTGTTGGGCAAACGCATCACGAACCAAACGGGAGAGGTAACCTGTGATGCACGTCATTACATATTGTACGCAGACCAATGCACTTGAGTACGGAAAAAGTCATACCTTTCCCTTGCTCTTCCGGAGCAGTTGCAGCAAGTTGAAGGTACCACGCATCTACCTCCGTCTCGGCAGGCGATTTTCCTTTCTTGTGATACACATCATGGAAAGCTTTCTCCGCCGCAGGAGCATAGTCAAATGCCAAACGCTACCAAATGATTAACCATCAGTGATTGACGATCAACAGCGCCATCAGACGCGGATGTATGAACGACAGAAAGTTGTCAGAATGCCGCGTCTGGCGTGGAAGTCGCAAGAGAGCATAGACTGACCTTCAGGCCCTTGACGCCCCATCCCTTGAAAACCTTGAAGAAGCCAGCCCTGGCCATGGTGACGGGATGGTCGACCCCGATTCTGCACCGCGGAGGTAGCCAAACCGTCAAGGCGGCAATCTTCTCGTTCTTTCCCTGCTCCCCCTTTCCAGCCCCCTTATTTCCTTTCCCTGCGCTCTCTTTCTCTGAAGTAGATACATTCGACGTCTCCACTGCAGGGTTTTGAGGAACGGCGACGACGGTGACTAGGCCTTTCTGGAGGAACGCGCACCCTACGAGCATATGGTAAAAGGCTTCAAGGGTACGACGACCGGGCGTGTCATCGTCGTTCGAAAGGGGCTATAAGACAAAAAAAGGGAGTCTGAGACTTCATTTTGGCTTTGCACCATACGAGAGATGGTAGCTGGTATAAATATAGACTGCGTACTTGATTGGAAGGAACATCACCAGCGTAGTTCATCACCGGATCGTCAATGAAGCTTCGCCGACAGAGCGTCACCAATGCGTCGAGTTCGCTGGGATGCGCGGCGCGCACGTAGGGCTCTGCATTACTCGCTCCATCGTTTGTGTTGGATGGATCCGTTGACATCGTCCTGAAACGTGAAGAAAGAGGGAGACCAGCGTAGTGCGTACGCCATCTCGGTGTGATTATTCCGTCGGTGTTTTCGGGGTCGCGGCCGGCTACGAGTCACTAGGAATTTGTAGAGCAGACCATCCGGTCAATGGGCATTGTCTCTGGCAGGGACAGAGACACTCATACGAGAACGTTAACCAGCGTTAACCGTGTCGTTCCCTGCAGGTTTAAGCCTGCTGATCCGTGCGAGGATTCGCATCAGGGGAGTGTTACCGACACTCAGGCGCATGTCAATGCGCCACAGTGGCGCACGGAATGTGACACTTCAAAGTACAATAAAGTTTTGCGAATAATAATGACACCTCTGAAATTTCGCGCGGATAATCAAAACGACATGAGAATTTACAAAGCCAGTCTTAGAGGCGGAAGTACTTATCATCAAGTTCAGGGAACATGCAGGTGCAATGCAGGTGAGTGTCATATCGACACAGCACCTACACCCACTTGAAGTCGAAAACTACTGGTCGATTCCGATTTTTCAGCTATTCGGACATCTCACTGCTAGAGGCTCGAACCCCGAATCTCACAACACACACTTTCACTACTCATGAATCAATTCGTTATAATACTTCTATCCGTGTAGGGCCAACTCGCCAGGTTGATCAATGCAGACGTACCCATAGACCCTATAGAGACTTCGAGGACAGTTCAGGAGTCTTAGTTCTCCTGATGTCCTCCTATCGCAATTTGCGACAGCAGCGATTGTGGCCACCACCATCATTTAGAACTGGAAAGAAATTGAAAGTGTGTACGCAAGTGTCGGGTGACGTTCGTCCCTACCTGTCTGTGTCATCCTGATGTGAAGGTTCCATCAAGATCATGAACTCAGCTCAGGCCCGGGCCTACATAAGAGTAGACGCATGCGCTCTCTTTATTGACACAGTCCCCGAATAATCCTCCAGAGTAAAACAGCCTCAGTCGGAAAACCAATTCGGAAAATGTTCCACGTACCGATATCTACGACAACATACCGTAACAGTGTACGACCACAAGACTGACAGTCCGTGCGACACAAGATGGCCAAAACCCACGCCCAGACAAAGGAAAGCCCAAGGTATTGCGCCTTCACAAGCATCCAAAAATAAGTTACCGGGGTTCCAAGTTCGAGCCGTACCTCCAGAGTAGGAAGTTCTGATCGCACGTCGTCGAAGGCATACGATATCCATAGCGAACAAGTTTCACCCTCCAAGCCTCATTCATGCGCTTCACGACCGACAGAACGAATAAAGAACAAAGGAACTAGGACCTGAAGCACGAGGCCTTCCAAAGACAAAGCTAAATCCACGCATGGGCTGAGCACTTTCGCAAAGCCGACGGAAGGAACAACCACAATAGTTTCTATCCTTGGCACTCGTCATCTTGCAGGACCGAGGAAGCCGCGAGAGGACAGTAAAAGCGTGGACCTGCATCGTGGTAAGCTCCAAATGAACTCTCTTACTGAGTACCATGACTCGAAAAAGTAGCACACACACACACACACACAGACTATATCAGGCTAGGGGATGCCGAAGGTATTCTAAGCTGCCGAAAGATGACAGGTCTGGGAAAGCTCCAAGTTGGACGTCGACATCCAGGCTGGACAGCTTCCCTCCAGGAGGAGAGACATGAGGCGAAGTAGCACGCCCAAGTAATGATTCAGATACGCACCGTGCAAGTCTGGATCTATCAAAGCTTCGAGGCTTCAGTGAGCCGCAACCTACCATACCTCAATATGCAGGTGCAAAGTCGGCACAGGGAGTCGCTGTCAGCTTCGTCAAGGTCGGCACTGCATCAGCAATTCAACAACACCGGTCCGTAGCATGCCATTTATCACTGCGGTCGATCCGAGGCATGTATGCACATAGCATCGACCTGAAAGACAACCAGAACTGGCATCCTGCCACGAAGAGAGGTCAGCCTGAGGTTTCCATTCTTGAATGATACCGTGAGCTAACTTGGAAACAAACATCATACAGAGGTGCAGAACCACCATGTCCGCTCATACGAGAACCAAGTAAAAAGCAGTCTTCGTGGGGCTCGCGTTCGAGAGTTCGTTGGAAGTGACCGTTCGTCGGAACTTGAACTTGAACCCTGGGAACGCCTCCGTGTCCCACGCCCGGCAAACTCCGCCCAGATGAATGAACTTGCGCCACAGGTGTAGCGCTTTCGCCTTCCGACTTCTCGCTTCTTCCGAATCTGCTCACAGACACATACTCATCCAGAAGTTCTCACCAGCGAACAGTTGAAACGACGACTTCAGTTCCAGCAAAAAAGAGAGCTCAATGGATGCATCGTAGCAAGCCAAGTGATTATTTTCGGATCAGGATCGGTGGTAGGGCAGGTATGCACGTAGCGATACGCATAAAGAATGGCAGGAGGGTTCACTGGGCTGATCGAGGGTAGAAATGATGGGTGTGAGATGTGAGATGAGAGAGTGGGTAAACAGAGGAGAGATGGAGGATAGAAAGACACAAAGAAAAGAAAAATCAGAGCACCGTCCGTGGACGGTAACGACGTGGCATACTCGTGTCGATCCGACTAGCACTAACAACTACAACAAGGAAGCAAAAGGAAGTGGCATGAAGAATATATAGGTATCCTGGACGAACTCCGTACAATTATCGAACTACTCGGTAACAAGACTGCCGACCACCCAAAAATCTAAACGGCAACAGCGAGTGGAAATCGAACGAGGCCTTAAACGACGGGTCTGTCGTTCAATTCGGACTGATTGCCAGCAGGACCTAAAGAGTGAAAGAAACATAGATCATGAGCGCCAAGCTCGATGGAATGGAAGAAAAACACGACGTACCCTCGATGAATCCCTCCTGGTCCTCGTTCGATAGCTCCTCGAGTGACTTGTTCATCGTCTCAGGAAGGAGCAACGTCGAGAAAATACCCGTAAGCATGAACAGCGCAAAGATCTCAAGACTATATACAATAAAACATCAATCAGCATTAAACTCCTACAAAGCTAAACTAGAAGTAAGAAAGTATCAACGCACATATGTTTCAAGAACGCATTCTTCCCTCCGATGTTGATTAATCGCGCAAAGCCGACCTGGGCGATCACGGCTCCAAGCTTGCCGCTCGCAGCAGACATGCCGTGTGCCGTTGAACGGTAGCGAGTGGGGAAGACCTCTCCGGGGATGATGAACGTCGTCGTGTTCGGACCGAAGTTTTGGAAGAAGTTGGCGAGGCAGTAGAGGAAGACGAAAGCGGCTTTGCCCTTCGATGTTGCCTGCATCGCGTCGTATCCGAAGCCCTAATTACCAAAACACGTTAGCGACGAGGCACACAAATATATGAAGGGCGGCAAATGGAACAAAATGCTCACCATGCAGACGAAGATGATTGTGAGGAGAACGAAGCCCATAAGCTGGATTGGCTTACGTCCCCATGAGTCGACAAGGAGGAAAGTTGCGTAGTATCCAGGGATCAAGCCAGCGATGGCCAAGATGATGTTTCCCACGCAGACGTTATGCAGAGTGGTGTAAGCGCCGAGTGCGGTCTTCGTTGTGGAGCTACCGAAGCCGATGGTGGTAAGGATCGTCGAGGAATTGAGACCGAGACCGTAGAAAGCGATCTGTAGCAATTTGTGATAAGTTAGCACGAACAACGAGATGAAGAATATGGGCGACTGTGACTTACATCGAGAGCGAACCAAGAGTAACATGTCCCGAGTAAAACCTTGCCGTTCTTCCACTGGCTGAAATGACGGATGAAGTCCTTGCGGCTTGCCTTCGGTGCCTGGATACGCTCAACAACCGCGTCTGGGTCAACGTAGTACGAGCCCGTAGAAAGAACGTTATCGATATCCTGCGTGGCCTGCGCGACGTTACGCTCGATGTCCATCGTGAAACGGGGAGTCTCGGGGATGGTGAGACGGAAGTAGAGAGCGATGACACCGGGAACGCAACCGAGACCAATGAGGAGACGCCAACAGAAATCGACGGAGGGCAGGGAGGGGTAGGTGGCTTGGTCATTGGTGATGGAGCCCTTGTAGGCGGAGACGATGATGATACCGACAATAGCAGCGGCTACACGAGTAATACGTGGGCGGTTAATTATATGTTATCAAAAGCGGAATATTGGGGAGTAAACGGCTTTTGACTCACTGAAGTTACCCCAGCCCTGGGCTGCAAAAGTGGCGGTGATCATGCGGCCACGAATGCGAGTAGAGGCAAACTCGGAGGAGATGACAGCGGATAGAGGGTAGTCACCACCGATACCGATACCGAGAATGAAACGCCAGACGATGAGAACACCGATGATTCCAACGGCAGGGCCTGAGCCGCAGAGGGCCTGAGCGAAAGTGGCGAGGATGATGATCATGAGCTCGATACCGTCTGTACGCGAGGTACGGCGTCAGTAATTGAATACGATAACAGGAACTGGGAGATTGTACTTACACATGCGCTTACGACCAACGACATCTGCGAGCCAACCAAAGATGAGCTGACCGAAAATGTTGCCGATGGGGGTCGCAACCTTGACACCAAGGTCTTGGTTGGTGTTCAGGGACTTGATGGCGCCAGCGGAGGCCTGTGTACCGTAGACCATACCAAGCATGGTAGAGGCGATGGAAATGGCGAAGATGTCGTAGGCTGTGCGGCAAAAGCCGGGGTAAATAGCTGATGATAGGGGCAGAGTAAACGATGCATACCATCAGTGAAGAAACCGACACCGGCGACCAAACAGACTTTGGCATGGAACCAACTAATGAGCAGAAAAACGGCATGAATACAACGGGCTCGAACAAATTAAAACGGAGAAAGACGTACGAAAACTTGGCGTTATCAATCTCTGCGAGAGCTGCTCTCCTACGCTCGTCGAGCGAGTATCCAGCAGGCTCCTTGCCATTCTGAGTGCGGCCAAGTTTAGGAAGGGAGCCCTCGGACGAAGGGCGCTTCTCTCCATGGATGTTCTCGACGGTGGCCATTACGATCTGGGGGATGTGGGGGTCGCTGGCAGGGATACCGGAGGAGGGGACGATGGGCGTGCCATATCCTGAGACAGAGGCGCTAGCTTATAAGCTATCATGAGAGACCGCCGGAGGGGAATGCCGTCGAGTGTGGCGAGTGCCCCGTTCCTCGCACGTTGGTGGTGTGTCAGCCAATCAGGAGGCGTTGTTCCTACTTAGGAGGTGAACGTTCGTCGCTCGTTGATATCTCCATCAACCGTGTGCGCTATCCCTCTGATCCGTTCGCCAGTCTGACATGAACTGAGGCGAGCCTCGTCTCCCCGTCCAGCCCACCGCCACTTACCGCTACGACAGCCCCGGTCGTCTTTAAAGAAAATAGACCGACGAATTATATCTGTACTACACCAGTGCCTCCTTTTACGCTCGTTAAAGTAACGACGATGTTCTGCGCCGTAAGAGTCTTCAATGATAGCCGGGCCATTCAATAGCGTCACAACCAGGCTGAGCGCAAATACATACCTCATCTGGCGATTCAGAAAACCCACTCAATCGTCCAAATGAATCTCTGCTGCCGAAAGAAGGCACAGCAAATACTTACAAGCTTCTGTGCCTGGACTAGAGCAAAGCAGCAGCTCGGCGTTCTGACGACCTGTGCGAAGTTTCCCCAGTTGTGAGTCGTTTGTGAGAATCCTCCATCCGATCTTGGCAGCCTTTTTTTCGTCGTGGCAGAGAGGAGGTAGCAACTTTTTTTTGGTGTTTACGCCAAGCTGACCTGGACTTGGTATATTTTAGTGCGTGTTTGCATACGGATGCAAACAAGATAGACTAGGTGCGCTAGGAGCTGCGAGAAAGGCTAAAAAAACAGCTTTTGAGCAAAGAAGAAAAGACGAAAGACAACAAAACGGATTTCCAAATCCGCATCCGCCAGGCGCGGCGATAACACGTGGGTCGTGGGAGCACCGCCCTCCGCCCAGGGGCAGTTCCGGAGTCGACTCCGACAGCCATCCTACTTACGCGCTCGTCGCCATTGGCAGAGGACGACACCCGTGCGTCGTCTTCGCCGTGCGTTCATGTCGGCCAGCACGAGCAACAGGCTGCGTGCGCTAGCGCTGTATAAAGAGTTACACAGGCTCGGGAGGGAGTATCCGGATCCGAGGTACGTCTCGTTGAATTTACCCCGCATTCTCGTGCGTTATGTGTCTGGAGGCGCACTCATAATCGTCATCACCTTGCTTGCAAGGTCTCTGGACACCCACAAATCGTGGGAAGAACAACGCAGCATCAACCGGCGTTCCCCGGTACTCCCGGCGTATGCCGTCCACTGAGAATAAACCAATCTCGTCGTGCACCGTTGGGCGTTCTCGCTTCGAACCTCAACGACGTTGGTATTCCGGTACTTACTGCTATTGCAATGTCGCCAAACTCCAGCTAGACCTGGGCAACGCACTTCCACAATTTCTGGGCAATACAACGTGCCCAGCCTGCCATCCTCCGCCATCTACTCTGCGCAGTGTCCCTTCAACAAGAGTTTGTTTTCGAAAGCCCGAAGCAGTCGAACAGTCGATCTCCCTGAACTTCGCGATAATATCCATTAAAATCGAACAGGTTCAACTCTCTTCTCGGAGGCGAGGCAATGTCACTCAGTGCAGCGGGGAGTCCTTGTGCCCGGAAATCTGTGAAGCCGTACGCAGCTGTCATGGGGACTCGGAATTGATGTTGCTTGACGGTGCAATCTACTGTGGCCCCTCGCTGTGTTTGGACTCTCATCTTCGGTCTTTGCTTCTATGACATTGTGTGGCAAACCTTCTAGCTGTGTGGCGTGTGTGCGGTCTAGTTCGACAAGGATGCATGCTGGCATGTAATGAAGCACGACCGTTGACTCGTCTCCATCATGATTTTTTTTTGGTTGAACTCAGTGTCGAGCAATCGCCAAAGGCAACCCTCTTCCGCCTCATCGTCGGTGGGCGGGGAATCTCACCCCGCAGTCCAAAATGGCAAAAACCCTGGGGAAATGCATTACGCACGAACGACTAGATGTCGAACAGTGTAGGGCTATCACCCGTCCGGTCTCGGTAAACGAGGCCTCCTTGGTGGTATACCTACTAAAACCCCAGCCTGCCAGAGCCAGTTCTCTGGCAGGTTTTTTTCGTTGAAGAGAGTCCCGTTCCATGTTTTGAGCACGAGATCTGGTCTTGTAGCTTTTGGACCGAATTTCCGCTTGTTGCACGCGCTTCGGTCCAAGGAGAGCCTTTGGTTTATAGTGAAAACCCACTTATTGTGTATCTCGTTGTGAGATGGGTATTTATTTGGGTCGTCTTCGTGTTGTATGCGGCGTACACAGCGCAGCTTCCATATGAGGTGAGCTGACTCCGAGATCAGGATGCGCCACAGGCGGTTCGCACCAGACAATCTCTTTCCGCCTTCCGTTTTGAATCCACTCACTCCACATCCCAGAATCGTTCCGTAGCCAAAGTCGTTCGGCCACTGCATGCCTTTACCTTCCCAGAGCCTCCTGGCCAGGCTCCAGATCAGGATTCGTCCCCTCGCTGAACATTCGGTAAGTATGTGCTTAATTGTTTCGTCAGTGTCGTTACAGCACGGGCATTTCCCCCGGTGCTCGTAGTTTGTGATGTTTGACCAGTAGGTCCCGCACTTGAAGCCGACGTGCAGTACTCTCCATATGAACGTCGGGTACGTT